TTTTTCAAGGAATTTTCGTTGAAATCAAAAGTAGTGGAAAGGACGGGTTGGTCTAAAATTGTGATGGCTCTGCTCTGATGTCTCTGAATGTGTCTGAATGTCTGAACTAGTTTCCGGGTTTGACAATAATGGGCATTACCATACACATAGCATGCATTCTCTTCGTTTTTCGTACTAACCACCCACTTTTCCAAAAATAAATTAAGCCCGGGATGATTTTAGCAGATCCAAGGAAGACTAGGGTAAACTATTAACGTGTGTGCATGTAGTAATTTCTTTGGTTACCCTCTCCCTTCACTCTCTCACAAACACACACATACACATATAAAATACACATACTGTAATATTAATACCTTTAATTTATTGCTTTAGTCCCCAATTTCAATTGACTTAATACTAGTACTACTTTATAGATGATGCTAATTTTATTTGTGAAAAAAGGTGATGAGGGTAGAATAAAAATATGATGAAAGGGAATGAGCATTTAATGAAATATGTGCATGCTATTTGCTATGTATGTGGATATTTTCAACATATATTATAATTGCAGAATGTAAACTTGAATTTGGTAGTCTTTTTGAAGTATTAATTATGGAGGTTTTCCCCCTCTTTTTCAACCAAGAAAATAAAAAGGCTTTATGTATTACATTTGGTGTTTATTTAATTTAATGTTCTAACTTTTAATCTCCTTCCTTTAGTTTTTTTCTTTTATTTTTTTATTTAATTAGGGCAAAAGTATCGATTTAGTCCAAACATTTACTCTGGTCGTCGATTTAGTCTATACGTTTATTTTAGTTGTCGATTTCATCCAAAGGTATTACTTTGTAGTCGAGTTAGTCATTTGGATGAGAATACCCCTCAAACTAATTTAAATTAGGCGAAATAGTATAAAAGTTTTCAAAACTTAACCCTTATGGTATAAAAAAGATATTTAAATTTATTTATTAATTTTCATTTAATAGTCTCTTAATAAAAATTATTTAAAATTTTTTTTAGTTTGAAATATGAACTCCAATTTTTTTTTTTGTTTTTCCTCTATGTTATAGATACATAAAAAACTATATTACAAATTCTTTTTTATGACACCAGTTTTTCTATGTGTTATAAATATATACAAAATTATGTTACACCTTCATTTTTTTTTCAATAATTATTTCTTTTTTCTTTTATGTTAATTAAAAACTTGTATTTTTTTATTTTTTCTCGATCTGTTTTCATAACTTTTTGGTGCATACCAAAAAAAAAATATCAAGAAAAACAATGGACAAGAAAATTTAAAAGTAAAATACTTTTTATAAATTTTTATACCATAAGGAGCATTTTTAAAAAATTTCTAAACTATTTGGCCTAATTTCATTTAGTTTGAGGAATTTTTTCATCCAAGGGACTAAAACGACGACAAAAGTCATACCTTTGAATGAAATTGACAAGTAGAACAAATATTTGAACTAAATTGACAACCAAAATAAACGTTCGAACTAAATCGATACTTATTCCTTTAATTAGACTTTATGGGTTACATTTGGTGTTCCTTAATGTTCTGACTTTTGATCCCTTCAATTAATTTTTATTTTATTTTTAATTTAAATATTATAAACAAATTAAGGTTGATTGTTAGTTGAATTATTATTGGCCATGGTTTCAGTAAGTTTGTAGCTTTAAATTTTCATGTATCTTTTCTTCTTCTCTTCTTTAAATTTTAAGATTTCAGTAATGAGAATTGGAAATATTATTCCATAATTCAGATAAAATAGTAAGAGTTTTGTACTTTAAATGTGTCAATATATATAACTCTAAAAAATAAGAGTTTTATCACATCTATCCTTTTTTTTTTTTCTTTCATTTGTCTGTTTTCTGCGCTCGATGGCCTTTTCATCCCAAATTCACTGAAGGTAATCATCAACTCAATTATTTTTACTCTTTTTTTATGAAACTTTCAATTTCGATTTCTTTTTCCTTCCCTCTTTTTTTTTTTTTTTGAGGGAAGGGTGGAGGGAGTGGGAAAGGCATTGTTATGAAAAAAATTGATTGTATTATATTATTCACTTTGTGTATGTGTGTGTATTTTTTTTTTCAAGAGTTAAAATACTATTTATATTTACACTAAATTATGTTGAATATTTTTTACTATATAATAGTATGATTTACGTATGCGCGAAGTGCGTTCATTCCATCTAGTCTTGTCTTAATTAGCTTACAGTACCGGACCACATTTGTAGGGTCTCTTTTGTACTTTCTTGTACTATACTTTGGTGAAAAGGTATTTGCAAGTTTGCAACTCAACCTGCAAAAACAAAAACAATCCCCACCTTAATAAATGTCACCTTTAGAGATTAGACTACGGTAGGATTTTTCACAAGTTTTTTTATATATAAAAAAAAGAAAAGACGACATTGAAATAAATAAAAAAAAACGTGTACTATGACATTCTCCAAATAAAAATAATTAAAAGATATTACGTACTGAGTATTACTATTCTCATACATAGGACTTGGATTTTCTTGTCTTTCTTTTTTTTTTTTGTTTTCTAAGATTTTTTTATTTTAATTAGTCATGAATACATTCTTTAATTCATTCTCTATTTGTTAACGATGGATCATTTGTTTGTTATTCTCCCTCTCCTTGTTTTTAGAAGGAATATTACGTACTATGGCATGTTTGGAAGAAAGGTATTTGATTGCATTCAAAAGAGTTTAAAGGTACGAAAATGGGAATTCCTTCCTTCTTATAATTGTTCACACATTAATATACTGTAATAATTTGTTTCCTTTACTTGTTTTATAATTTTAAATTTTCTATTTATTTTATTTTTATTTTTTTGTTCAAAGCTTCGCAATTCTGCTACGAGCGTGAGGAGATTGGCAACTTGCCCCCACTACTTCTCTTGGGAGGATAAGAACGTAACCACTCGCGTTTTAAATCAGAAGAATAGTGAGTTTTAATTTCTCATTTTTTTTAGGTCTAATAATTTACTCATGTGTCTCCTATTCTCAAATAATACATTACACTGCCATCCATTAATTCTCATTTGCATTCGTTTTTTTTAAAAAAAAAAATGTAAGAAAAATCGACAATAAAATATGAAAGGTTTCGAACTAGGAAAAAAGTGTGTCAAAAGTAAATGGTTTAAAATATGGGTCAGCTTTGCTTTCTCTTTCTCTTCCTCCCTGAACTAATAAACGTTTGGGCTTTTTTTTTTTTTTTCCCCAGACCCAACCTGCCAAATTCATGCTGTTGTTACCGCAATGGAGATGAACTATAAAGTTCATCATCCTGGCAAAACTCTACTTCTTGGGGTAAATGAGTTCACGACTTCTGGCAAGGTATTTGGCACGGCCAAAGGCCGCTTTTGGAGGTTTAAGACGGCTATGCATGCAGTTTTACATGGGTTCTTCTATAGAATCCCTGTTGAGGAATAGAAGGTAATTTCTATTGCTCTTTTAGTTTTGTTTTGTTTTGTTTTATTAGAAAATTAATTATGATCCTCCATCCATGCTGCTTATTATCATAGGAAACTAAAAAAAGAAAATTGTTTTTGTAGGGTATTAGGTGCTACATGCCTGAGTTGTGGTTCCATAATGTCCGAGAGGCCCCTTACAAAGCTGAAGATCTAATTGGCGCAATTGAGAAACAACCCGTCGTTATTCGTCTCGTTAAGCAAAAAAAACAATCTCGCTGTACTATTGTGCACCCAATATCTCACAGTGTAAGTATAAAATTACTTATTTAACTTACAATTCTTTTGTTTAAAAGTATATAAATTTTAAATCCATCATGCATGAAATTAGGAAGAAACACAGATAGTGATTAAGCAGAGATATGGACCTCCACGCCAAGATGATGCAGCGCATGCTCTGGTGGCTATTGGGTACCTAGACGATGGTCAGAAATTGTTGATTGAGCCACCTTGTCCCAAACGTGTAAGTATTTAAATACGTAATTGCATAGGATATTTATAACTAAAAATATTCTTGTACTATATATATTTGACTAGTAAATTGCTCTTTGTAGGAAAAGTGGCTATCACCCATTGGGCGAGGGCACTAGTGCTGAAAATATTTTATTTCGCTAAGGAGAACTCCAGGCAACGGGCCTGTTCACGTGCATTGCACTCCAGGCTCGGCCGAATCACTACTCTCAGAATTGGATCCCTCATTTGAACTTTAATTTCTCTCCAGGCTCATCTGAGTTTCTACTCTCAGGATTGGATCAATCATACTCCTATTTTTGGCGTACTTGGTAATGCATATTGTCCACAACTGGTAATTTCAAATCCACTAAGGAAAACTGGTTTGATAAACTAGTTGGATTTGTTTCGTAATTTGCTATTAGTAAGTTATTATTTCATAGACACTTCAAACCAGTTGGATTTGTTTCGTTATTTGCTATTAGTTAGTTATTATGGTAGTTCTTATCAAATTCTGATGGATCAAACTTTCGGATTACTTAATACTATCTATCAAGAATTGTTTGATCACCAGTTTATTTATTTATTATGACTCAAATGCACGACTGTTCTAACAAAAATTATACGCGTCTACCAAACTCTCCCTATACTGCTTTGTGAAATTAATAACCACGAAGAATACACCCAAAAAATAGAATAAAATGAAGTAAATGTCTTTCCTTTTTAGTGAATCTAAACGTCACAATTGATCGGTCTTCTTCTACGGCTTACTTTCTCCGGCTATTCTTGCATGTACCCCGTAGGCACGTGTTTCTTCTCAAATCATGTTTCAATGCTAGTTTCTTATAATTAGGATTGGAGGGAATAAGTGATTATAATGTAGGTTGGACCCTAAAGTCCACATCAATATGTGCGACTCAAGACTGAGTTTTCTGCACTCATTCACATTCCAATGTCAAATCTCTCTCGTTTGTTCTTACTGAAGAGACTGTTCCCTCAACACAATCTAAAACTATATCTGTCCAAAAATAGAACAAGTCCATATTGAGTTTTCAAAGTTGTATTGTTTTTAGCGCAAATCTCAAAACTCATTGTCCTATTTTTTTTAGATAGGAGTAAAATTAAAATGTTCATCTCTTCGGTACATCCAAAAGCATGATTATCTCGACGAACAAATAACAATTAACATTGAAGAACGACCAAAACGGCAAGGAGGAAAACTACAATCTTTTCATACTCCTTGGTGCGCCAATGGTCTCCCAGTGCTGTTTCTGCATTACACTCCTAGACCTTCGGCAAGCTATCAACCACTTCTCATGCTAAACTCACAATATCTATCAATATGGCATTATTAGAACTACAGTTGGTCATAATCAGTTATCAAGAAAAAAATTATGGAATAAATGCTAAGAGAAACAAAAAAAATCAGTCACTCGAACATAACAGTAACGTACCCCAACTATCCTTTACATTTGTTTAATGATCTTTGTAGTCTCTAAAGGGCGGGGGGTGTGGGTGGGGGAAGAAAGAAGGAAAAAAAAAATACTACGTTGTAACCGGGGCACATTACATCAAACCTGAAAACTACGTGTGATCATTGTGGCTAACAGCAGTAGAGTTTCCAGTTCCATCATATCTGCAGGTTGTCAACATAAGTTATGATCTTAATTTCAGTTAAGAATGCTTGACTTAAAGTAGCGGCAATACAGTATGTCTTTTCATACAACTAAAAACATGATCTTAACTTCGGGTCTTTTGTTTCCAATGAGGAAGAAAGAAATAATATATCAAGGGAAAATTGCTAGTTCTACTTACAACAGCAGCAAATATTATGGTACCTTGAGAGCGCACAGCTCAAAGAATAACACAGAAAAAAGTCACCAGTTCACATCACCCACCTAAATTCTCAATTTAATCAGCATAAAGTTTTTCATATAAAAAAAACAAAGAAAGAAAGAAAGAAAAATGTTATGATGGAGCAAGTACCCTTGAAAGGATAAAACATTTCCTTTTCCTTTCTCAAAGAGAAGCACTTCTAGTCTTTAAAATCCTCATTTAAGCCATTTTCAGAGAGTTGCACTTAATCACCACCAAATTACACGACTTCCAAGAGAATTCCCCATCAAGCCCATACATAAACAAGTTTCGAACACCAGGCTTGCAGCTGAAGAGCCTGATGTTCCTAGATAAGGATGCTCAAATAACAATTCATGATGCCACAGACAGAAATGAACATGAGTTTCGGCATGTGACCAAATTATGCCTGGGTGTTTTAGCTAATAAATAATAGAAGAAATGAATACACTAGGGTGCTAAACTCGAAAACAAATCAAAACATACAGCAACTTCATATGGAAAGGGGGTTCACATGCTCAAATAATGCAATGATAAAGATACTTAAAGAAAAAGAACCTAAACTCGGAATCAAAGATCTCTAAGCCCATAGGCATTCAACAATAAGCCAACACGGTAACCATTTCAGACCGAAAAAAATGCAGTCTCAATTAAAGAATAACATGACAAAGATGGACAAACTATGAAAAACAGGTCAAATAAAACAAAACCGAATCACAAAATAGAGTAATGTAAAATCTTGGAAGGTTACACAAAGGCAATTAAAAAAAATAAAAAAGAGCATATCCAAATTTCTATTCAAAGATTCAACAAAAGGAATTTGAGTCTATCATAGAGCAGTTGGATCTAATAATGATATCCAACGGGTTTTAGCAAAGCTGACAAACTAATGAATTTAAAGTTCCAACAGTAATTCAAATTAATATTTTAGACCTCATGGACTACAAATTGTAAACATGAGTCCAAATGACGTTTCAAAACATCAATTAGATGATATTTAAATATACATTCCTAAATACACCTTCAAAGGTCAATCCATGTGGAGCCTATACAATTAAAATAATCTCGTTCTTAAAAAAAAGAAGCTGTCATTTAGACCTCTAACTACAGATAGCAGAAAAATTCTCTACAGCACAAATTTGCAATGCAAGGACTCTGTCATTACAGAAACAAAACAAACAGAAAGGAACATATTTAAATTCCCATTTTAAGCCAACTCTGTTTTTAATCATTCTCAACCCAAATCTTCAGTTTGAAAAGAAAGAATAACCATAGTAGAAAATTGCTGTGCATTTAAACCATGAAAACTTTAAACTCCTAAAGAAAATGAACTATATTTCAAATGTTTTGCCAGCTGTTAAAACTTCAAAGCACGTGCAAATGCCATAAGATGGTGCAACACCTTTACCAAATGGTTTCCTACGCATTTTTACCTGATACTCTTGCAGAGGCTTAGAAACAAACATCGGAACTTGATAATCCCAGAAGTCATTAGTTATAGCACAGTAAGTATTGGAATCCCCATTGCTGTCCTTAGCCCTCAATAACATAATGTAACAGATGCCAAGGTCAACCTCTGATTTTTTTGCACCCAACACCTTTTCGAGACAAATTTTATTAGCCTGCCACAATCATTTTTATTATTCAGTTAACAAGAAAATTTAGACAAGTGACAAAGATGGGAACAACGGCTTGTGAAACTCATTAGTTAGATAAAGCATAAACCAACATACCAACAGCGGATAAAAACACAAACAGACAGACAGAGAGAAAAGAGGTCAGGACCTGGCCATGATTGTGATTCTCAATAGCAGACAGAGCATACTTGCAGATTTGTTCAGTAATCTCAGAGTCAACAGGGACAATCGCATCACTTGCAACAGTAGAAGGAGGACGCTTACTTTTTGTTTTTGTCATTTGATCCAAACGATTAAATAAATGGAGGTTGCTTGCGTTAGAGTCCATCCTAGGGTCCGTCAAAACAAAATTTCTGAGCAGAATAGGGAAATCAATGCATTGCCAAAGAATTGATCATAAACAGAATAACACAATTTTCACTATAAAATGATGGGCAGTTGGGCACATTGGACAAGTAATTATAACAGATAAATATTTTTCACATTTGTAACCATCTGATAATCCTGTTTAATGAAAAATAATGCTTAAGTTACAAGGCGGCTTACTGAGATATAAATGGAGATCTCATTAAGTTAAACAAAACAACCCTATTCTGCTCTAGGATACTATGCATCAAACAATCTTCTCTAAAACGCTCATAGTGAAAATAAGTGCAGGAAAATGACCAAGTTTTACGGATAAAGGAAACTAGGATATCTTTTCTGGGCAAAAAAGCTCACGGTGAAATGATTACTAGAGTTTCCCCGGAAACGCGGAAGATGAAAAGATGTCAAAGTTTACAACTTGGAATTCTTGTGTTTCCTCATATCAGGGTCAAAGGGGTTCAGAAACTGTCATGTAAAGCCGGGAAAATGACTCTAAAAGATACTCTATAAAAAAGATTTGAACTTCCACAGCAGAAATTCAAAGTTGCACATACTAGTATGAATAAGAATAATAACCTAGGGTAGGGGAAGGTAGACTCGTTGACCCACTGCCAGCCGATCAATTCCTTCATCTGCTCCAATGGGTCGTGAAGAACTAGGGCGCGATAAACATTAAGGTCGCCTTTTTCAGTAATCCCACCCAGCAATAAGCTATGGATGGACAAACCAATCCGAATCGCGCTGGCCTTCACCACTCTTAAGAGACGAATACGAGGAAAGGTAGGTTCCTGACACAAACATTAAAAAATTATTCCAATCACTCCCAAGTCCCAATTCTTCGATCAAGCAACAGAAGTATCTATGATGCTGGAAAAAAATAATTAAATAAATTACCAACCATTTCATCAGAATAATCATTAAACGCGGTGACGGCGAAATCAGCAGCGAATAAGACCCCTTTGTCATCGTGGGCGCAGGAAACAGGGGTGAATTGGTGAGTGAAGTCCGTATCGAAGTTGATGTGAGAGGGAAGAATAGAAGAAGATTGGGAATAGCAGCGTCGGCCCACCACGACCATGGGATAGCTCTGCCTCTGAGTATCCCCCGTCGTAACTGATGGCTTTCCTTTTACAAGTTGATTGCCCCGACCCGATGCCCATGATTTTGCCCTGTTCAACACAGCTCGTACGCCCGCCGCCGCCGCCGCCATCACCATTGCAAATTTTCCGTGCAAACTGTAATTTGTGAGATCACACAAGGCACTGAGAATTTCGGATGATTATTATTGAAATTATAGCAAACCATATATGTTTAACCAAAAAAACTATTAATAATAATAATAAAAATAAAAATTGTGCTCTGCCTTTTTGGGCTTAGCCTTGTTTAAGGACAGGTGTCATGAAACTTGGACTTTGATATTCGTCCAAAGAAGAAAAATATAAAAGCTCAAATCTAAACCTAACTTCTAAGTTTTGTTCTTCTTAATCGTGATTCTCTATTGCCGCCGTCGGGAAAAGGAATGGCCTTGAGAGCGGTTGTGAAGATAGCCAAACCATGGGCATGGAGGGGCTGGCGTCATCAGTGTCACCATCTTTGTAATGGTGAATACGGAATTGTTGGTCCTCTGGGCAGTAGTAACAACAGGTATTCGGTGTTTCCCGGTAATTTCCCCGGTTTGTCGTCTATTCCCCTCATCAATTACTCATCCCGCCGGCGATACTATTTGCCGCCCGCTCCGTCAGAGTCCGTCTATGTGGAACCCATATTCGGCATAGAAGGATCCGATGGTCTTGTTCCCTACGATATTAAAAAAGCCTTACCCAGTGCTTATTTTGCCGTGAGGATGCACAATGAAACCCAGGTTTTTTGTTTCTTTAATTTCCTCAACGCTTGAAGCCTTTACTCTCTAGTTTCAGCGGAGTACAATTATTATTTTCGGGAAAAAATAATAAAAAAACAATCCTAAAATTATTATGTGTTTTCGGTTCTCTTGATTGTATGAAATATTTTAAGATTTTTTTCAATTGAAAATAGGAAGTAAGTGAAATGTAAGATAATCAAAATATCTTATATTAAGAACGAGAAGGAGTACTCAACAAACCGTTCAAATATTATTAGAATCAATATATATTCACTCTTTCCCAAAACTCAAAATTCAGAATTTTATTTTATTTTATTTTTTGGACAGAGATAGATATAATACTGCAATAGAGTTAGTTAAAGCCTGAGAAACTGTTGGTTGATTGTTTCAGGATCGGAATCTTAGGTTTGTAAAGGTGATCAGAGCGAGCGGCTACGAAGCTGCCGGGACAGTTTATTACCTTACGTTGGAGGCGATTGACGAGAATGGCGACCTCAATGTTTACTACGCAGAAGTGCATTCTTTTCTCAAGATGAAGAAGTTGCTCCATTGGCAGCTGGTCGATGAGTCCTTTACTTACGCTTATCACCACACAAGGTTGGTGGATTTTCTTTTCTTTTTTCGTTTTCACAAATTAAGTTCCCAGTAATTGGATTGATATGCTCCTTAGTTTCTGAAAACGTTATCTTTATTTTTATTTTTACTTTTTTTTTTGTATATCCACGCACACTAGCCTGATTAATTGATCTAAATCATAGTAGTACCAATAGTGTGGGTTTCGTTTATTCAGGTTTAGATTTCAAAACATGGTAATATAGATGTGGAAATTAGTCTTTTCACTATTCTACATTAATAACCCTTAGTAGGGATCTTGATGATAATTAGTGTCTCTCCGGTAGAAAGAATGATGGAGGCGGCCCATAGAAAGAATGTGAACAGCTCGCTTAATATCAGACTCAGTAGGCAATGCGTTGCCGGATTATTGAAGTTTTTTGAATTCTTTCCCCTTTTTCTTTCTGGCAGATACGTTTGCAGCTCGGAGTCGCTGGAACAAGATTAAAGAAACTCAGAAGTGATCCTTCTGCGTCTCTATGGGGCTAATGCTTTGATTTTGAGGCTTTAGCGTTGGGAAACCCCGTGTATTATGACTTATGTTAGAGAGTTTTAAACTATTATAACAAACCAGTTTCTTTTCTTTTTCCCCCTCTTGTACTTTCTGCATGGATTTTTTTCATCATTAATACGAATTGTGAATTGTGAATGCTGCATAGTATTAATTTGCTTTCATGTTTTAATCACTATTCCCACCAAAAATAAATACAAAAAATCATTTGGGATACTCAACGGTGAATTCTTATTATTAAAACGTGGACAACACAAGTTGTAGATGTTTCAGCTCTATGAAACATTGAGTTAATTAATACTGGGAGTAAAAAAACTCTATATATGCACCTCTTCCACCATCCGAAATTGTTGGCGCCCATTCCTGTTTTCTTACAACCCCTCCTATTTCCAAAGAGAATTAGTGATGTGGTGGGTGGTGGGCGGTGGGGGTAGATTTGATGCAAAACAGGGAATGGAGGAGAAGTCAGAGGTGTTCTTCAGATGGTAGTGCAGCCGTTAGGTCTGAGGTGGTCGTGGAGGTAATCATGGTGGCTGGCAAGGTGCAGTTTGATTGTTAATTCGAATTGCAAATAGAAAATTTCCGATTCTTGATTTGTATCAGGTTTAGGAAAACTACCAATCTCCTGATTTCTATTTAGGATTAGAAAATTATTACGAATAGGAATCTTTTCGTTGGTCACCATGTCTATAACTATAAATATAGCGAACCCCTTGAAATTAAAACCATGGGAATTTCAAAGTTGGGTAATATAATCGTTCCTCTTCAAGACTCTAGGACGCGCTGCTCTTCCTCAATCTTCTAGATTACACGGATATTCTTCAACTTCCAGGTTTCTTCGATGCTAGATTGTTTGGCTTCATTTTCAGATTGATTAATTGGTGGTAATAAGATATTGGATTGACAATTTATATATTCTTGTGGAAATTTGTATGTTTATAGTATTTAGTCATTACAAAAGATTAACAAAGTTTTGATTAGGTTTAGACCATGAGTTGTTCTAATTACATAAGAGAGCTTATATATTTTCTTTGTTAATTTATGCTTTGCTATATTTATTTATTGAGTAATCTGCTCAAAAGATCCTTTACATTTGTCCGAAAACTTAATTTTGTCCTTTACATTAAATATTCATTCATTTGGTCCCTTACATTTGTCTTTCAAACTAATTTGGTCCTTTTTATCTTTTTTTGGCCCTTTACATTTGTGAGTTCTTGGGTTGACCAATTCTTTGTCAACTCAATAGGGGCATTTTTTTTGGTAATTTATAAATATCAGATTTTTAAAATATGTTAAAAACCCAAAATGTATTAAAACAATACTAAACATATTATATTAATTTATAATTTATTATTAAAAAAGAAAAAAATTTAAAAATTCAAATATAATACTATTAAAAAATTTAAAAATTGAAAAATTGAAGCCATAATATTTTAGGCAATAATGTCCATCACCAAGGATAACATAAATTATCATCCATTTTCAGTAAGATATATAAAAGGAAAGATGTCACCAAGGACAATAATAGATGAGTTATGACCGCGTAATGACGCTGGAGTGATTGAACAATATTGAACTCCCAGTTTGGAGACTTGTCGATATTGGATGATGGTTTCTTGATGACTGTTTATAGCCAAGTACTGTAGTAATAATATCGCCTGCAGATAACGTGAGTCTTGCGTCGGAGACTCGGCCGCCGCGGCTGAAGATGATTTTGATGTTGAGTTAGCAGCTGCAGAAACACCGAAAAACTTCTGGTATACCCGACGTTGACCGGTAAGCATCAACAGCCATAAATTTATGAAATATATTGTGTGAATAGTTAGATTGTAGCCGTCGGATTAAGTTGTATTAGTTATATATCTGCAAATTTTGAGTGTTTAGGTTGCTAAGTATAATTAGGAATCTGTGTATATATATAGAGATGATTTTAAAGAGATTTGTATAGAATATACGAATACACTTCAATCAATAGAAGAAAGCTTATTCTTCAAGTTCTTGAAACCCTAGCATTTAATACGTATCTTATTCCTTTTGATTCTTAATACTACCATGTGATGATTGATCTCTTTTAAAAAAGGACATGAATCCGTTAAAAACTATACAACATATTTGATATAAGTCCGATATTACGTACTCTGATCTTTATTTTATTATTATTATTTTTTTTTATCAATTTCATAGGTGTGCTTTTTTTAGAAGCTAATTAAACAACTCAAGTCAATCTAATTCTTCAACGAGGCCAAGACTAACCGACAAAATTAGAAAACTCCAAGTAAAGGATTCTCCGTGTTTACAAAGTGGGAAGTGATACAATTTCATTAGGTGCACTTTTCTTGACTTCACATTGTTTAAAATGATTCCATTTACACGTTATATATTTTTCCCCTTTTTTTTTTGTTTATACTAGACAACGTCTAAAATGCAGTACGGCAATGACAATTCTTAGCTAAATCGAAAAGGATATAAGAGACTATGTAAAAAATGTACGTGTTTTTTGTTCTATTTTATTAAATATAAACTATTTTAGTACTTTCTTGCTAAGTTTGCGACGTCCAAACTAAGCTGGAGCTTAGAACAGGACTTGAAAGGGTGAGGCCAGACGATTGATCAGACAGTATAATGCATTTAAGCTAGCAATATTGGTCCATCTGTACAGATTTAAATTTGTGAACGCAGTGTCCTATTTTCATTGTTTCGCCATTTTGGTGTCTTTCTTTTTTTGTATAGTCCCACAATTGTCATTGTTTGGTTTTCTCTCCCTCTTATCCATAGAGTTTTTGTTATCGATATTTTTTTTTTCTTTTAGTTAGAAAATTTTCCCATGGCTTTCTGTTAACAACCTTAAAACTATGTCCTTTTTTCTTCTTCTTCTTCTTCTTTTGCCCTTCATAAATGCATATTTATCTACTTCCCTTAAAGTTATGGATTCTCCCCTTATTATATATTGTGGTATTTGCCAGTGATACACATGATACCATTTTAGAAGTGCACCATCTTTTTTTTTCTTTTTTTTTTTCCCCCTTTTTTTTGAAGTGCACCATCTTGAAATCTCACATGAAAAATTTTCCACTCCTCTATTTTAACTAATCAGGATTGGGTTTTTCTTGTCTTTTTTTCTTTGGGAACTAAAGGAAATAAGCAAGCAGCCAATCAATGCAATTTAGTTATGCATGGCCCCCATACAATCAAGTTGGTGAACTTCGTTTTCTTCATGCAGGAAGATTGGGACAGAACAGTGTAAATCATTATCATACCATTTAAGAAGATCTCAAACCTAACACCGATGCATGGTTGTCGTAATAATGTTCCACACTTAGAATAAATTCACTTACCAACAATTAATCAGGTCTCCTAGCTACTCTCCTAAATTACAAAGATAGAATTAAAAAGAACAAATAGGCTGAAAAAATAGAGTAGCAATGTGATGAGCCATGTTGGAATTTTGATGGCCGTGGCCGTCTCCGTGATGGTACATATAATGTCCAGCTCGAGCCATATCAATTGCAATTTGTTTGAGATTTTTCGACATGAAAGTGTCCGTAATTTGATACGTATTCATCTCCTTCCATGCATCATTCACCAACGATTGTATGTGTTCTCGTGCTTCTTCTTCAGATGCTCCATTCTCCTTTATGTAACACTCTATGGATTTAGGCACGTCATCACTTTTTAGCTTTTCCTGGAATAAATAAAATGTGAATAATTTGTTAGCATTATTATTATTATTATTTTTGAAAAAATATTTAATCTGCCTGATATATAAATGATGAAGAAAGGACAACAACAAGAATTGGTGACTAGCCGTTACCGTTAAGGGGGATTCGCCTAAGTCGTTAGTAAGCCGTAAAATCATTGCCGACGAACGAATAATATTTTCATAGTTGTGAATGGCTTCTAAGTCATTGTTTTCCACCGAATTGACAGTGAAAGCGTAAGCGTGGGTTATTGCTAGAGGAGCTGCCACTGAGATCCATGCATTGTTTAAATACTCTTCAAACGTGGGTACGTATTTCTTGAAATACCACTTTGCTTCTCGTAAATACGCTCCACATAAATCTGCCCACTGAATTCAAGTTATGATTGAGTTAGTACATGTTAATTATTACTCCCTCCGTCTCATAATTATTGTCCAGTTTGAGTTTTCATTTCTAGTTCAAAATGTACTAAATGTGAAATTTCAAACTGGACAATAATTTTGAGACAGATGGAGTACTAGAAATTAAGCTTGTCACAAGGGGATAAAATGGCAGGTAATGATGTTTGGTATATATTCATTTGTTATTAACAAAAAAAAAAAAAAGAACAGAGAGAGGGAAGAAAAGTAACTTTATATTCTTCTCATAAAACTTAACAAATACTTTTATTTTTATTAACCAGCATTTGGAATGAGCGCTCTTATTAGATTTTGTATTAGATATTTTCTCATGCATTAATGGTTTAAAAGAAATAATTAAACTTGATAGGTAACTGAAAGTTGGCAAGAGATGCTTAACTGATTTGGTCAAGTATGGAACGAGATTTACTCCTTGTCCTTTTGGTGCAAAATAAGCAGCTTCATTAATAAAGCTATGGAGGGCAAGAAACAATTGTTTCATGTACCCCGGAAGCTCATTCACTGAGTTGACATCCCACCTGAGGAAAAAGAAAATCCACACTTTTAATAATGTTGTTATCGGCTAGCTTTTGTGTACCTAAAAAATAAAAATAAATGCAGCTAATTTATTAATCCGGCCCCGACCTTTGGATCGCAGAAGTGAAGAGTTCCAGTTCCTCCAAATTAGCATAAGTATCATATAGGTCGTCTAACATGGTTATGAAGATAACAGCCTTGGTTCCCATAATCCTAGAATATCCTTGTTCATGTTTCCAAACAAATCCTACATTCCATAAGAAGTTCTCCACCAATATGTCCCTCGCGAAATTCAATTCTTCTCCCATTCCTGTATTCCTCCACCATCTGGACCAAACAAAAATCATCAGCAAGAGATCAAGACTACGTATAAAGAATGCGCCTAATTTGGTGAAGTGTGCAGTTAAATAATAATCCACTTGTTTATCTATTAATTTCCAAAAAGTGAGATATACTGTGTCTCCGTCATATATTACTAATATATATACTCCCTCCGGTCCTTAATATAAGACATTTTGATTTGTCATAAATTTCAACTAGTATATTTTTTAATTGACAAAAAAACTTTAAAAATATTTCCTAATAATCAAGAGAACACGTATATTTTTTAATTGACAAAAAAACTTTAAAAATATTTCCTAATAATCAAGAGAACACAAAGGATGTGAAAATATATTTTTATGGTTCTTTCTTCAATTAAAAATTCATGCTAGGTGAAATCTATAACAGATAAAAAAGGCCTTACATTAAAGATCAGAGAGGGAGTATTTCACTTTATGCAACTATTATTGCAAAAAGTAACACCAAAATATGGGTGGTTTTGACCCAATCTCTTAAGTACCTGGATACGTGTTTGAGTTCATCTTGATATGATTTCTGAACAATGTTAAAATCAATTTTTGCAAGCTCAAGAAGAATGGGATTCATGTTAGGGCTTTTCTCGTACAAGTCCAAAAACCATCGTGACTCCAAACGCTTCATCCTCCAATGCTGTGGAATCTCCAAGGAATGTTGTACTAACTCAGCAAGTGTTGGTTCTTTGTCATCAAATCCATTTTCGTCCAATTGCTTCTTAAGATATTTGGCCGTGAACTGTCTGGCCATTTCTAAGTTGGTTTCATCATTTGTTAATTGAAGGTGTGAAGCTTCATACAAGTATAGCATTCCCTTGGGATCCCTCAGAAGACTTGTTGTGAAAGTCCCTTTCTCATCTTTAAAAGCATCAAAAACATCTGCTAAATGTGGCCTAACTTAGTGATACTATAATGACCAAACTAACTAGTTAGACATTTTGGCTCAAACTTCAGTTTTTTTTTTTTATTATTATTTAAAAAAAACAGAAATTACAAGTTGAAAAATGAACCTGGAGAGACATCGAATCCGTGCTGTCGGAGGAGTTTAAATTCAAGTGCCTTTGAATAAAGGTCTTGCTGCTCATTAGTAGGGTCTCGGCTGTGGATTCTGGATAAGTTGGATAGGATTCTTGGTTCAAAGTGGTAACAAATCCCAAGCCTTTCCAAGTTATCAATTAATTCCAGTCGATGGATAAGCTCCACTTCTTCTGCGTCCAGCATTAACCTCACTAATTCCTTCAGTACTTCGAATCGTTTCATTTGCTCTTCTCCCTGAACCCATCAAATCATTTCGCGTCACGTAAAATATGCAAAAGAATTTTTAATGATTGCCCCTATGCAACACACAAAACTATAACAAATTCAATAGTTATATAAAAGAAAACATTAAACTAGAAACCCATTAATCTTGCCTTCAACTTGGTTTCATTTATGTACTCATGCATTTGTACCAAAAAGGGAAGGAACAAAAAACAAAAAAAAAAAAAGATTTCGGTGAAAATAATTCGAGATGATTACCGCGTAGTTATGTTGGAGGGACTGAAGAAGGTTGAAATCCCAGTTGGGAGACGTGTGATATTCGTGGGATGATCGTTTTCTCGATGGCTGCAGCTTATGTCGACTATTATCATTGTGTGATAGTCCCGCGGCGTCAGCGGTTGAAGACGGTGTTGTGGTTGAGTTTGCAGCAGAAACGACACGGAATTTTACATGAAAACGACGATTTTGACCAGTAGCTGCGAGTTGGAGAGAATTGAAGAAGTGTTTTTGTGCTAAGTTAGCCATTCCTCACAATCAGTGTCTCCGAAAACTTATATTTAACTACTAACTAAAGCTTAATTAGAACAAGAGAACTTGGAAAGTTGATGAGGGACGATTGATGGAATTTAGGCCGTGGGTTTATATAGAGAACCAATTTTGTGATTATAAATTTAAGAAAAGAATGTTTTACATAGCAAATCCGTTTCAGTACTTAAATCAGCTTGCCCGTGCATGAGGAAAGCAATTATCACGTGTAGCGTGTACTACTGGGGGCAATTCTTGGACGATACATGTCCACAAGATTCATCGACCATTTTACAAACACAAGAGTAAACTTCATTGACTATTAGGATGTCCTTTTTTTTTTTTAAGGAGCCTGCAGGACAACCACCACTCTGGTTCGCTACCAAGAAAATGGGAAAAAAAAAATTGATGTTCCGTCCATCACGATTTTTATTTGGGAAGAGAAGGGAAGGCCATTATTTTTTCGTTACATAATAATATACTTATATGATAATTATTATAGAACAATAAAAACTCCATAGGAAGGTGGACACAAGTCAATCCAATGCAGGGAGAAGAGAACTAAAACAGTGGAATTAGAGCCCTCTCTTAGTCTCTTATACTTGAATTATGTATTTAAAAAAAAGGAGTATTCCGTTTCAAAGGTTCATCAAATAACAAAGGGTACGTAAAGACTTCGTACAATCTGAACTTAATTAACGGAACAAATGTGAAAAAGACAAACGAAATGGCATCATCATTTTCAAAGGTGCGTGAGGAACAAGAACTATCACACGCACGTCGTACGTACTTTTGGTTAGGCACCGGCCGGAGACTGCTTTAACAATTACAAAAAGACCTTAACATTGGGGAAAAAAAAACATTTAAAACATTCTGCGCAAATAATTATCTTCATTCCATTAATACTCGAATTTAGTTTTTAGATAATTTAAGCATAATTCTTAAGTAAAAACAGAAAAAAAAAAAAAGGGTACTTCATTTTACAGCCGGCCGGGGACATTGGATCCTTACAATTGACCATTTCCCACCTAAATCTTACATGAAAATTTATTTATTTATTTTTTCTAATTCATGTTCTTCAATACAGTACATTTATATGTGGTCCTTAAAAGTTGTTGTGTCGCATTTTTTTGTTTCAATAATAATACTATACTTTTTCTGTCTCACAAAAATAATTCACATTGTAAATTGTGAATTGCATTATTTTTAAGTGCAATTTAAAAAATACACTTAGACGAATGCAATAATTAGCACTCCAAATATATATATATATATATTTATGAGCAATAAATTTGAAGCAATTCAGCCAAAACATAATGGTGTTTGCGTGGTACGTAGAATAGATCCATAATAATCATGGAGTAATCATTGTCTAAGCATATAATTAACATCACCAAACTAGCAAAGCAAGTAGAAACTGATTAAAACAGTTTTTAAAAACCTAAAAGAATGTCAGCTCACAATAAGCAAAATCACGGGGGACAAACTCCGTAAAAGTGGATGTTTGACGTTGGACCTCTTTGGTCCAGCCATTAGGCAAGAAAGAGTAACAGACCAATAAGTTAGTTGGAGGAGAAAGAGGCCTAGCCAAATTTCTTAAATTGAGTGCATAAAAACTTCTAAAATGAGTATTTAGGCTTTACATTATTTGGCAAACGGATATCTCCGCACTGTTGGAGTAATTCTTTAATTAGTTTATAGAAGTCTTTCTTCACAAAAAAAAAATAAAAATTGCAGCGATCGATCCAGAAAATATGAAACATTGGTACCAAAAAGTTGGGTGTGTTAAATTTTTTTCCCTTGAAAGTGTGCATTATTGAGCAGCATTAATCACAACAATCATACTCATATAATTAAGCATTCTCTTGTATGGTATCCAATAAATGATAATCACATTCTGTTAAGCAATAAATTTCACCACGTACCCAAGCAAATAGAAACAAGATTAGAACACTTCTCTAACCAAATAGAATATAACCACATGAGGTTCCCCATCTACCGAAACACACAAATTTATTTATCTTTTTATTGAGACTACCGAAGAACCTTTTTTGAAAAAAATTGCAAATTGTTCACTAAATTCTTGAATAAAACTTCTAAAACGCACTCCTGCAGAATATTTTCTATTGTTTTTCTTGGTGGGATGGAAAAAATGGAAAGAAAAAAAAAACTTGAATTCACGACCATATTCAAGTGTCGTCTATTATTTGATATAAAGAAAATGATACATATAGTAAATAAAAATAGTGACAAAATATAGTAACTGATGTGGACTAATCATGGCTCCTAACTTTTTGTTACTTTCTCGTTGAAGTTTTATTTTTCCTTCAAAATTATATTTTTACCATTGATAATAAATAAACATGTTTAGTAAGTCGATAGTGTATTTGTCTTTTCATTTGTCACTATATATTTTCAGTGTATGTTGTCACTGGATGTATCATTGTTATTGATATAAATATAATCCCTTCACACATTCCACATTTCATAAGTTTTAAATAGCTAATGATATTGGCCTTTTAGGGTATTCAAATTATATTGATTTACAATCAAACAATATGATTTGATCGGTTATAGTTGGCTTTAAATACAGCAGTAGCCAGAGAATGAATTTACCAGCAATTGAAACATATGCACTTGTTTTTCTCATTATCGGAAGAATCAGAACTGGTTTTCTAATTAAACAAATAAATAGCAACTGGGGTACCAAAAAGTAATCTTCTCAACAAGCGAGAAAACGATATTCGAGGGAAACTAAATTAAGAGTATCTATATATGATAGGAGTTATATATTAACTAGAGTTGTAACATCAAATTAATTTTGTAGTACGTGTGACACAATCGAACTCCAAAAATGTAAATTAAAAAGTACAAATGGGCTGAAAGAATAGACCAGCAATGTCACGTGCCATGTTGGAATTTTGATGGGCGTGACCATCTCCGTGATGGTACATGTAGTGTCCAGCCCGTGCCATATCAATAGCAATTTCTTTAAGATTTTCAGATATAAAAGTGTCTGTAACTCCATACCTATTCATCTCTTTCCATGCATCATTCACCAGCAATCGTATGCGTTCTCGTGCATCTTTCTCAGATGCTCCATTCTCCTTCATGTAACACTCTATGGCCTTGGGCGTATCTTCGCTTTTAAGCTTCTCCTGAGTTTCAAATACAGTGACAATAGGACATCCTATGTTACTTGCTCTTTTAGTGCTAGAATAAATGTGAACGGTTGTTTTGTCCGTTTTACCAAATATGCTATACCAGTAAAAAGGAGCAATGTTACAGTTGATCCGACTTTACCGTTAACGGGGATTCTCCCAAGTCATTAGTGAGCCGTAGAATAATTGCTGTTGAACGAATGATGTTGTCATTCCGGTCAATGCAGTCTAGGTCACCCTTTTCGATTGAATTGCTGGTGAGAAGGTAACTAAGCGATATTACTAAAGGAGCTGCGACTGAAATCAGTGCATTGTTCAAATACTCTTCAAATGACGGGACATATTTGCTGAAATACCACTTTGCTTCTTGTAAATATGCCCCACATAAATCTGCCCACTGAATATATATACTAGAGAATTAGTTTTAGATGGATGGAGTATAATACTGTTAGAAAGTACACCATGCAATGGTTCAAGTTGGTGCACACAAAATTAGGGTTTTGATCAAGACTTTCGATCGAAAATACTTAACGGGCATGTTCATCGAAAGTTTGAAGTAATGCTTAACTGATTTGGTTAAGTATGGAACGAGATTCAGTCCAAGCTGTTTTGGAGCGTAATAAGCCGCTTCATTGATAAAGCTGTGAAGACCAATAAAACAGTGTTTCATGTACCCTGGAAGCTCATTAACTGAGTTGACATCCCATCTGAAAAGCTCAAAAGAAGGAAGAAGAAGATGTAATTAACATGCTTGAGTGCGTAAAAATTCTCGATGATATTATGTAAAAGAGTTCGATTTAATCAAAATTTTCAGGAAAAGAAAATCGATTCCCGTCGTTGTAATGTAAAAGTCATAAAAAACTACTCTTTTGATTTTTTTTGTTTCTTTATTTTATTTTTTTATTCTTTTGGTTTTGTTTCGGCATTGTTTTACTTCAATAAATGTAAATTTAATTTCCATCCATCCAGAGTGATCGTAAGTAAATAAGGGTGCTATAGCTTATTAATCCCCAACCTTTGAATAGCGGAAGTGAAGAGTTCCAATTCATCCAAATTAGCGTAAGTATCATACAGGTCGTCTAACAAGGTTATGAAAATAACAGCCTTGGTCCCCATAATCCTGGAGTATCCTTGTTCGTGTTTCCAAACAAATCCCACATTCCACAAGAAGTTATCCACCAATATGTCCCTCGCGAAATTCAGTTCTTCTCCCATTCCTGTATTCTTCCACCATCTGGACCAAACCAAAAACATCAGTATAAGAGTCCACTTGTTTGATTAAATAAAGTGAACTATTTTTGTCACCGTCCTATATTAATGTAGCTCACTATGTTTAACCATTATTATTGCATGTGGCTGGTGAAGTCTCCATCTGTCCAAAAGATAGTACTCTCTCTATTTTTTTATATGTGTTTCTAGAGAATTAATCAAAACCAAGAAAATATTAATTAATGTAATTAAAATACAAAAACACTCTTATTTATGGTTTATAGAATTCATCACAAACAAATAAAAATTTATTATCAATACTATTTCATTTTCAATGCAGGAGCAATATTGAAAAAAAGTGATCAAATATGTTTCGATTTATTAAAACGACATATATTTTAAAAAAATAATATATAATAAAAAAATATAATAAAATAATAGAGGAAGTAATAAAATCTCAAAATTTAATGTGGATTATTACAAATTTCAAAACCCAATGTAGACTTTTTTTTTTTTAGAATAGAGACAATTTATGTTTCACTTAGCAAATTACACCAAGCTGGGTGGTTATGGTCAAATCTTTTACCTTGACACGCGTTTGAGTTCATCTTGATAAGATTTCTGAACAACGTTGAAATCAATTTTTGCAAACTCGAGCAGAATGGGATTCATGTTAGGGCTTTTCTCGTACAAGTCCACAAACCATCTTGACTCCAAACGCTTCATCCTCCAATGCTGTGGAATCTCCAAGGAATGTCGTACCAACTCAGCAAGTGTTGGTTCTTCTTCACCAAATCCATTTTCGTCCACTCTCTTCTTCAGATATTTGGTTGTGAATTCTCTTGCCATTTCCAAGTTGGTTTCCTCATCATTTATTTGAAGGTGTGAAGCTTCATACAAGTACAGCATTCCCTTGGGATCCTTAAGAAGACTTGCTGCGAAAGTCCCTTCTTCATCTTTGAAAGCATCAAAAGCATCTGCACAATGTGGACTAATTCAGTGCTATTATATATAATGATCAAACTTTCCTTTCGATCGTCTATCTTTCCAGGAAAACTAATGCTCCCTTCCTCCTGAAATTATTGTCTAGTTTGGATTTTTATTTTTAGTACAAATTGAATTCAAAATGAAAATTCAAACGGAACAATAATTTTGAGATGGAGAGAGTAAATTACAAGCTGAAAAATGAACCTGGAGAGACATCAAATCCATGCTGTCGGAGGAGTTTAAATTCAAGAGCTTTTGAATACAAATGTTGCTTCTCATTAGTACGGTCTCGACTGTGTATTCTGGATAAGAGGGAAATGATTCTTGGTTCAAAGTGGTAACATATTCCAAGCCTTTCCAAGTTATCTATCAATTCCAGTCGATGTATAAGCTCCACTTCTTCTTCGTCCAGCATCATCACCACTAGTCCCTTCAGAACCTCAATTCGTTTTATTTGCTCTTCTCCCTGAATTAACCGCACCAAAATATTGTGTCATGTTAAATAATATGACAAATAACTATAAAATAAATTTTATTCAGGCGTTTTATGTTGTGTATAGTGCAATTTGAAGAGCATAAATGGTGACCGCAAGTTCCCCAACTCCTTGATTAAATATTATCTCCAACTAATTCCTGCCTTTAATATTTTTAAAGGCCACTGTACACCCAGTTTTCCAGTTCCTGAATTTATTCCTTGATTGAATCCATTATTCAATGTAAACTTAGATTTTTGGACAAAGAGTATATATTTTGGAAAGTTTAGTTAGAATTCTTCTTCCCCCTTTTATAGTCAATCGGTAAAAATCTTAACGTAAACAATAAAAGTCAATTAGGTAACACGTATGATATATTCTGGTGCATTTTCATGCACTCAGATAAAAATATATTAAAAAAAAATTTATAAAAAGGTTTCCCTGAAAAATAATAATTCAAGATGATTAGGTTAAATTACCGCGTAGTTATGTTGGAGTGACTGAAGAAGATTGAAATCCCAGTTGGGAGAAGTTTGATATTCGTCGGATGATCGTTTTCTCGACGGCTGCAGCTTATGACTACCACTACTACTTGTTAGTAGCGCAGTAGTACTTACATTTGTCGCTGAGAATGAGAGTTTAGCATCGGAGACGCCCGCGGCGCCAGCGGTGGAAGACGACGGTGTTGTTGTTGAGTTTGCAGCTGAAACAACATCGAATTTTGGATGAAAACGACGATTTCGGCCGGTAGTACTACTACTAATACCGGTGAATTGGAGAGGATTGATGAAGTGTTTTTCTGCTAAGTTCTTCATTACTTATAATCAGTGTCTCCGAAAACCTAAGACTAAAGCTATAGCTTAGAGCAAAATGCTTTGAAGTTGAGGGACGGAGGATTGGTGCATTTAAGCTAGCTAGCTAGCAATAGTCGGTTTATATAGAACCAAATTTCTTATTATAGGTTGCATAAGTTCTTTTTATATGAATATTAAGATAACCTCCACATGAACGATTCATCGTGCATGAGTGAAGTTAATCACGAGTACGCTCTATCTACAAATCGATATTAACCACAAGATTCATCGACCGACAAGTAGATCAGTAGTAGTGTAGTGTAGTACAAGACGATTAATTTTTAAGATGTCTGCATGATGTGTAAACTCTCGGACCACCAAAACTAGCAGGCAATGGTTATGTTTTTCACTAAGAAAATGAGGGCTTCCTATAATATGGTTCACTAAAAAAAAAAAAAAAAAGAGAGAGAGAGAGAGAAAGAATATAGTATAAATTGCTCATTTTGTGTGTTACACCGCCTTACACGTAGTTCCAACTCCATATATAGAAATCATATGTTTCAAAAGCGAGTACGGATTTGGAAGTTAATAATCAAACAAACTGATCAAATCATTGCCGAAAAGAAGAAATCAGTGGCGTCAGCGCCATCTCTTCTATGGAAGTTTGAATGACTGAATTAGCATGTATTTACTCACTCCGGGATGATTGTCCAATTTGAATTTTTATATTTATTATAAAAATGAAAATCGAAATTAAACAATCAATTTAGAATAGAAGATGTATTATTTCCTCTGTTCAAAAAAAAAAAATCTGTATTATATAATGCAAACCAAATTATAATGTAGGTTCTTTTAATGGAACGAAAACCTTAAAATTAAACTGAATATTATGTTTTTAAAAAATTAATCAAAACCAAGACATGATACAATCGAATGTGACGGGACAGACGGGACACGTACCTGGGAAAAGGCGGAATGGTATCATCATTTTAAACGTGCTTAATATATATCTAGAACTATCGATCATACATTGGTTATCCACGGCCCAAGGCAGCGAACAATTACAAAAATACCTTCAAGAAGATGTATCACTTTTAAGTCCATATCCTCCATGGTACTGTATTAATAAGACTCGATTTTTTTTAATTATTTTTTACAAATTAAGCGGAAATGGAAAATGGTAAAGGAAATAACGCAAGAAAATTAAACTTAAATGTTGACATTACGTACGGTAGAGTGATTTAACGTAAAGGATTTTATTCAAAAAAAAAAAAAACGAAAAGTGGAAAAACGTAAGAAGTGGGAGGTGGATAAAATAAAACAACCCGAAAAAAAAAAAGAAAATAAGTAGACGCTTAATTGGGGTCGCCGACATTCATCCAAGCACGCATCCTTACGCAAACTGATAGCGATTTCACTAGGCATATTTTTGTGCCATCAAATTTTACAAAAATCAAATGCATGAAACTTGTAATTAGGGACCAACTTCTAATAATGGATGCATAGACGTAGACATTTTTTCCTTTTTTTTTGGTGTACAAGACATAAGAATAACCCCCAATTTAAAGTAAGAATCATATTTATTAATTCTTTTCTCTAAATTTTTTTCCTTTAATTCAAAAATCAAAAATATTCTTCTGTTCTAACCGTTATATTTTAGCCCTACAGTAAAAGAGCAAAATTACGATACAGTTGTCCTTTTTTTATTTTTATTTTTTTGTGAAACAATCCACTAGAGTTAAATTGGATATAGCTTTCCATTTGTTAAGACTGAGCCCTTTAAAGAAATATATATCCGAACCGACAATTCTGAAAAAAGGTTGGAAATAGTTTTTTTTTCTTTTGTTTATTTATGATAAACAAAATGTCTGTAGATTCAATAGGTTTGTACAGTACTGTTTGTACTCAGTTTCGATGAAATGCAAAGATTCACATTATCTCCAAAAAAAAAAAATGTCTATAGACTGAGCCCTTTATCATTTTTTTTTTTTTGTTATTAAAATATCTATAGATTCAAGTAATTTTGAAGCTGGACGTCATTATAGGAAAAAAAGAACTAAGGCGATTTAATGATTACTTATAAAATTTCCTGGAGAACATTATACAAATAAACCAAGATTGCTTATTCACATAATGTACTCTTCTATATAATAATTCTATATAATTTAAGAATCTGGCATCTTTTATATTGTGCCAAAAAAAGTCCTTACACCAATTGATATATCATTCAAAATAGAATAGAATTTTTTTTGTTCTTTTTTCTTTTTATGTAATTATTATGCATATTTGATTGTTTAAGGTGTCATGTCCACGGGTTTATGAACGTTGTCTGCCACAAATATCTTTGTTCTTCTTTCTTTTTTATCGCAGGGATTTGTTGCGCCTTGCTGCCACAAGCCCACAACATTGGCAGATTATTTATAAAATAAAATAACATAGCATCTTTTGTTTTTCCAAGTACAAAAGAAGGAGTGTGACAATTAGAACGAGACTTTATTTTCTTTATAATCAGATTGGTTTTTTGTTTTGGATACAGAGCATCTTCTCTTCCCTGGCATTAGTAGTAGGAGTTTGTGGATTTGACGAAGGTGAGAACTATCCGTTGATACAATCTCCCCTGGACCGATCGACGTTCTTAAACGTTCTCTACTATGGCAGAAAAGGTGGGAACCCAGCCTCTGCAGAGCGCACATTCAAGGACCAGTTTCGATTTCGGGTGGGTATGAAAAGGGGGCCACTGCGCTGGGTTTCATCTTCAAAATTGATGATGATGATGATGATCGAAGGGGTAATGATAGCGCGCTGTTGGACGAAACTACTCAACTCGCACTTGCTTGTTTCTTTCTCTGGTGGGAGCCAAGCTTCACGTCAATACTTGCAGAATGATCTGCCAGAGAAGTGTCAAGAACATGAACTCAAGGAGGGGAGAAAAGCTTCTGCGGATGAAGCATCCAAGTGGCTGGCTGACTTTCTGTGTAGTCATCCTGACAGCGTTGACAGTGGGTCAATAAATCGGGACTTGCCCTGTATAAAGTAAACAGTAAAGGAAAACTGCTCCAAGACTCATTGGCTGCAACGCGATGTGGTTCACGTGCATGTCATTTGTTTGGTGATGCCCCCTTTCGATGTCAATGATATGTCCATGGATAAAGCTATGGAGTTGGCCAAACGTACACTTTGTTTTGCTGTATATTTCCAGCATGAAACTCATAAATGTGTCAGTGTCTTCCATGTTGGAAGAAGCGGGGTTCAACGGGTGGTCTCGAATGATGATAAATTAAAATTGCAAAAGCAGCAGTACTTCCGCGAAGTCGGTGGGCTAGTGTGGAAAAGACATGCGTAGGCACAACGAAGCTCAGGCTCTTTGTAGGGAAAGAAGTATGATCTACGAAGCGCATTGTAGGGAAAGAAGAGCCAACGCTAAAGACTCTATGTAGCTTCAGCGAAGTTCAGGCTCTCGTAGTATGGAAAGAGCGCGTGCAGCTTCAATTATGTCCGCGTTCAATGAATTGCAAAGTGATCCTAGCGGCCATGTTTTCTCGATTGTCATTTTTGTGTCTCCTTGGTGGCTTTTTTACTTTGGCTATTGTGACTACGGACCAAACTATTTGTATTTGTGCTTTGGTTGAATTTTCAACCCAATTAGTGAAATGCAAAATTATGGAAATTTAATTTTAAAGATAAAAAATAAAATAAAAATAACTGAGTTTGTATGTCTGACTTCTCTCCAAAAGTTTTTAATTATATTACTTTTTTCTCAGTCCTTAAATTGTACGTTTTAAATTTTAATTTTTCATATTATTAAATAATTATGTTAACATACATAGAATATGGGTTTTTTTTGTGTTCATGCTCAGTAATAATTGTAGGTTGAGGTTCCATTAATTATTGGCTCTGATCTCGTCGGGATCTAAAAATTTGGCTATGGATCTTCTATACCCAATTTTACAACACTTCCTAAATTATCATTTAAAATTTGTCACATTTTGTACATAATCATTACCATTGGATAAACCTGCCGGGCCACATGTTAAAATTTTGGTAAATGATGTAAGAAGTAGTGTTTAATTATGATATAGGACATCTTTTGTCGAAAAGTTTAACACTTACTCTTGCTCCATTGCATATTTATTCCTTTCTCAAAGTTTCAATAAAAACGTATTACCAAAAAAAACTTCAATAAAAACAAAATCATTAGTAGCGTGTAATACTATTTGGCTTCATTAGCTATGATGGAAAATATAGGGTTTAGAGATTTAGCAATCCACTAATTAGTATCAAAACGTAATTGGATCATAATGTTATCATTAAAATTGCTTTTTTCACCCATGCATGGTTCGTGGGATAATAAAACGTTATGATTTTTGTTAAGCTTTCGACTCCTTTAATTTGTTGTACTACCAAGAAGAAAAGGCTAAATTAAATGAAGAACATTTTTTTTTTTGGGCATATTTGCAAGGTGTCCACCTCAATGCTGAATTTTAATTTAGCCATTGCTGAATTCTGGGCACTTCAATGGGTAGGATAGCTGGTCAAAGTATTTAAGATTATTCCATGCTCATGATCATGACCTCAATGCTGAATTTTAATTTAGCCATTGCATTTAGGCACTTCAATGGGTAGGATAGCTGGTCAAAGTACTTAAAATTATTCCATGCTTATGATCATGGCGAGGTTTGAACACTTGACCTATGGTTAAGGGTGGAAGAGTCCCTTCCACTCCACCAAAATCACTTTGGTTAAATGAAGAACATTAGTCCACCATTAGCAACTAAATATTATTCAAAAGATAAAGTAATCGTCCGAGAAGTTTTGAGTCCATTACACCTTCGGCCTCTGGGTGGAACATATTTATGATTGGGGAATGGAAGTTTGCTGGATCCATGGGCCGCTTGGCTATATGGGCTCCTCCTGAGAGAACTCGTTTTATCGAGACGGGTAAACCTGATTATCATCGCACAAGCAAGTTTGGACGGTGGAAAGCTTCCAACAGTAAGTGATGATATTAATAATCTTTTATCGATCGCTAGACGAGGTGCTCAGAGGCTGTTAGGGTTGATCATTTTTCACTTTGGGGGCTGTACTTTAATTAGATTTGCTATTTTTACAACTTTGAACATTCTTTTCCTTCCAAGCATAATAATCACCTTGAATGCAGACATTTTCTTTTGAAAATTAACAAGCATAACACCTTGGTATTCTATTTCCTATTGTAGCTTTAAAATGTTGTTTGTTTCGCGGCTATTTTCAGTGTAAACGTCACAAAAACTTAGGCAAGTACAAATTGTTCCCGTTGGCTTTATATGTCTCCTTGGCAAAGTCGACAAAAAAGTCGACAATGGTCAAAATTCCTTGTTTTGTACTGCTACTGTTATAAAAGAATAGATACGTTCTTTTCACCCGGTGCCAAGGTCTCAGCTAAGATTGATCATCTTTTACTGTGAGTTGGTTTTTGAACTTAATTAGATATTTTGATTTACTGCTTTAAATTCTTTTTCTCGTGTAGCCATACTGAAAGCACATGGCATGCTTCTAAATTTGATATCAGAAACAATGGGTCAAATTATCATTGCAACTCTAATGGCAAACAGATACGTTCAATTAATATTATTCTCGTAGAAATTTTGACTCAGTGGTATTATTTAGATCAGTTGTCCATAGGCCTGTTCATTCGGGTCAAATTAACGAGTTTCGGGTCTAAAAATTCGGTTAATCGGGTCTTCGGGTACGAAACGGGTAGACCCGAACTTAAGCACAAGCCATCTAATAAGTAATCCGAATAACTTGTTCGGTTATTCGGTTTCTGGTCGGGTAATCGGGTATACCCGATATAAACCCCAAAATGACCAAATGCAGCAACGCTCAACCCAGATGCGCAAACAAACTTACAGAGAAAAAACCAGATTCCAAAATCAACAATGGCCCAGAAAAAAACCCGATCTTGATGGAGTTTATGCAACAACACAAGATGTATAAATGTAAACACACCATAAGATTAAAAAAGGAAAAGGTGAATATAACACACAAATGGAAAAGCCAAGCACCAAAATGTCCACCATTGGAATGAAGAATTCTAATATCCATAGTAACAATTAATATCACTACATCAGTAATTATCAAAAGATATAATTGAAAAAAGGGGAAAAAGAGGAGAACCTACAAATCTGGTTCCATCTCTTACATGGAGAGGGGAGGAAGAATAAAGAAGCAGAAATTCATGAATCCCTAACCGGCCTGGTGGAACTAGTTACTTAATTAGCCGAGAGGTCTGGTGGCAAGGGGGACAACCTCCGTCAAAGGGGTGGAAAGCGGCGTCGGCAATGGCGAAGTCCGGCAAACCGGGCAAGTGGGATGGAGGCGCAACCAAAGGTCAACGCTTTTCAAATGGAAGAGATGGCTGCAGTCCGGCAACACCCTCAACTGGAAAAGCCAATCACTAAAATGTCCACCACTGAAACGTCTACTAATGGAAGTTAGTACGCTTCTGAATATTTGAAGGGCACCGTCGAATCGCCGAAGAGCCGTACCGTCGCCAGTCAGAGCGAGAGTTGCTGAGAAGGGAATGTGCAATTGATGGATGAGCCGTCGGATTCTTCTCGGATTTATCCATCTCAGATTGAATTTCGATTAATGAGAGTGTGAGGAAGGTCGCCGGCGATTGGATTTAGAGGCTGAGGATCATGAGAGATTGAATATTCGGGTGACAATGGAAACTAGGGAGTGCCAAATTCGGGTGTTTATTTCATTTCGGTTTTGTTAAATTGAAACCAAAAGAACCGAATTTCATTTAACCGAACTTAATAAATGAAGTTCGGGTCGGTCGGTTCGGGTACAACCCGAACCAATGAACAGGCCTAGTTGTCCAAATAGTTTAATTGAACATTTGGACTTAAGATACATCAGTCCTCACTTCACATAAACAGGATTTGCTTAAGCAGATATGCTGTAAGAATGTAATGAAACTGTCAACACATTCAATATTCTAACTTTGCTTCATACAGACATCAAAGGCACAGCTAAAATGAACAAGACACCACCATGTGCGTATTAAGCAACACTATTTGGGATAAGAACAACAGAACCGGATGTTTTTCGACTTTCAATATCAGCATGAGCTTGGGCAGCCTCAGATAAGGGATATGTATGATTTACCCGCACCTTAAGTACACCTGAAACAATGTTTGCAAATACTTCTCCTGCAGATTCCAGCAGCTCATCTTGAGTTGAAGTATAATGCATCATAGAAGGCCTTGTCAAAGTGAGAGATTTTGCTCCAAGAACAGACAAAGCTACTGGGTCCGGTGTTCCAGATGACTGTCCAAAACTGACCAGATGACCGCGCATTTTTAAGCATGCTAATGATCCCTGATCACCATAAATGCAGTGATAAATAAGCAATGTAGCCATTTCAAGAACAGATACATGAACTAAATGATCTAAACAGGAAACCCCAACCTGACAAGGTCTTAAACCTCTAGGTAAACCTTTGGCTACATTAAGGATTGATTTTCAGGAAGTACATGATATTTGGCCTTCAAGTAATAAAATATTACCTCCAAGGTGTCTTTTCCTACAGAGTCGTAGACAACTTCAACTCCCTTCCCCGATGTAATCTCGCTAACACGAGCTACAAAATCCTCATCTTTATATATAATGGTATGGTGACATCCATCTTCTTTTGCTTGGGCTGCCTTCTCTTGAGTTGAAACAGTTCCGATAACAGTTGCACCGAGTGCGCTCGCCCACTGACATAACAGAGACCCGACTCCACCTGCCGCTGCATGGATAAGAACGGTATGTCCAGGTTGAACCTGTGGCATTTCGGCAGCAAGAAACTATTCAAGAAAGGTACAAAAAAATGTGTACATTTAAAGACCGAATACTTGAACAAAAAGACCATTACACACCATTCTTTTTTATTAGGAAATTTGGTCTTGACAAATTGGTAACATAAGTGTTTTTAGTTTTTCTCTTGAAGAGAAAGGTAGATGTCAATGGAGATAATTTAGACGAGAGGATGGTTGATTGAAACAAGACCTCGTTTGGATCATTTAGGTGCAGTAGGAAGTTTCAGTTTGGGTCCCCCTACCTTAAAACAGCGACGAAGTAAGACTTCAGCGGTCATTCCTTTAAGCATTACCGATGCTGCAATGATGGGATCAACGGAAGAAGGGACTGGTACAACTCTATCAGCTGGTAATATCTGCTCTTCTGCATAGGCACCCATTGGATTACCAGCATAGGCCACGAGATCTCCCACTTTCCGACCAGTCACCCCAGGCCCCACAGCCACCACAACACCAACTGCTTCCATCCCTGCATGCCAAATCTAAATCTTGAATTCCCATTGCTTGCATAGCCAGATGAACGAAACAAAAGAACACTCTAGTTCACTACTGACTTTAATGAACAAACTTTAGAAGATAGCAAGTTTATGATTTATCAAGGAGTTTCACCATATCAGGTAAGAATTAAAGATAAGCATAGTAGTTTAGTTCTGAAATCAGGATGAAACATCAAAATGATGAAAAGAAATCAGGAATCACAACAGAGGTGAGTACAGTTCAAACCTGGAGTAAAAGGTGATGTGGCTGCCTTATAAACTCCTTTCCTAAAATACACATCAATGAAATTAAGGCCAATGGCCTCATTTCTCACTCTAATCTCTCCTACCTTTGGCTCTCCTACCTCCACATCTTCCCATTTCATGACCTACAATCACAACACAAATACGTCCTTAGCAGAGATATAAATTCATCCCTCAAAACCATAACTTAGCACCAATGGTAGGGATAGCCACCCAATGCTTAGACCCAAGCTCAACAAATGCAATTATATCCTCATAACGGTAACAGTTGCCATATTGATACGAAGCACAAAATTCATAAATGAATTAGGAAACTACTCAACTAGCCCCCCCAAAAAAAATATCACATAAAAATATCCAGAAAGGATTCTACCAAATTCAAAATTGCCACAAAAAAATGTATGACGGAGTTATAAGAGATGACAAAAGATCATCGAAATGAAACTATGGACCGACCTCTGGACCGCCAAGTTCGTAGATTCTGATAGCCTTCACCATAGTTGTGGAATCGGCGGAGAAAGCAGAGGTGGCTGATTCAGATTGAGCTTTCGGGACTGATGCTCTGCAAACTAGAGTAGTTACTTTGCTGCTCTTGTTCGCAGTAAAGCTACTAAAGTTGATGAAGGTGTCGCTGATGCTCAGACACGGCGGCCGGTGGGGGGCTGAGATGAAAAAAACTGGTGGAAATGGGTGTGGAGCGGTAGTCAATTTTGGCAGAATAAGCATGGTCGAATTAATTTAATCCTAATCTGATTTATGGTTCATTACCGTCAGTCCGTCACTGTCGTCAACGAAGGTTTTGGAGAACTTTCCTTTTTAGACATTTTGCTTATCTAAACGGACTGTGTTTCCTTAAATGTTTCTAGAATTAATCCACGCAGCGGCCCATACAGCTCTCTATTTGGGCGCCTTGTGGCCCAACCCATCTTCCATGGAAGTTTGTACGTAATATTACATCTTGGAGGTTTTGAAAAAAAAATAATAATCAAGAAAAATAGAAGTGGCAAAAAAATAATTTAAGAATAGTGGAGCGGCCAAAAGTATGAATATCGGATCTTCAAAATCCGATTTTAATTTTGGATGTTAATGAAAATCAGATTTTTGAAATCCGATATATTTCAGAAATCCAATATTCATTCTGATGGCAACTTCCCCATTCCTAAACTATTTTTTATCATTTTTATTTTTTTTGGAAATTATTTAACTCAAGCACTCTCTTTTTTCCGCTAGTTTGATCTTATTGATCTTTGATTTCCATCTTCTACCATACATCATAATTCAGTTTAGTACTATTGTCATCGCGTATTGCCCACATGATAAACATTTGCGAAGTGTAAAGTTATTTATTATGTTACCATTCTCATCGATATACTTTCACGACTCTTTGTTCGACAAAAGGAAAAAAAAAAAAAAACATTTATAAATTACAAAAGCCAGTCACCTTAAAAGGACAAGATGTATGCATGGATCCTGGGACGGCAATCATGTCATTCAGTATATCATCTAACAAGTTTTTCGCTACACAATTCATTTTCTACTGATTTGGATGCATTTGGTGAAATACATCTGGCACTTTGTGTTCCATTTCTCACACAGCCTTCATAAGAATAGATTGTGGTTGTCCTCCCAAATCAGCTGGAAATGGCGAGGATCGATGCAGCGATCGGCGTACTTTACAACTCGGTCGAAGGATTCTCCGGCCCCGGCAGTACTGGGCAAGGTTGACCTCTTACCAAGGACCTGGGAAATGGTTCGTTCTCAAGATGAGTAAATTTTTGGGATTCCAGAAGATCGATTGATGATGACACATAGTACTAATCCGGACGAAATGGACATGCCTTATTATTACAAGAAAGAAGTATAATTGGTTCCCTGACTCAGTCAGTTGGGAACTGAGTAGTAATTAAGTTCACATTCATCTACAATTTTTTTTATTAAAATGCAGACCCATACGTATCCATTTAAAACTAAAAACGTCGTTTTAACTGGAAGGACATGATCACAATTTGGCCTTTGATGGGGAAATATATTATAATTTGAGAAGACTCTCATTAAGTCTTGTAATATATTGTAGTAAGTCAGTAAGACTCGCAGTAAAGGCTCGTGATTACTAGCCAGGTTTCGTGATTGAGTAAGCACATTAAACTAGTAAGCTGAGTTTTCTTGGATGGAAGCTGGAAATGCTATCATACTGTGAACGCGGTAATAATTTGTCAATGTGTTGGGGACTCCGTAATATATATACCGAAGAGGACTCAACAGCTTTGTAGCTTTCAGTTCTTACCGAGTTCAGAAGCCAAAATGACCTGGAAATCCAATCCGCTATTGGTGATCTGCCTGTTTGCTCTTACTATCAGCTTGAATGATGCGCAGGATCAATCAGGTTCAATTCTTTCATTAAAATCTCTTGTTAACTAGCTAATTGTTTCTAATCATAAAAATTCATTTGTCTAGTGATTTTGGCTTCATTTTGTTGGTGTAATATACATCTTCCGCCATTGTATTTTACTTCTCTCACGCAGGCTTCATAAGCATAGATTGTGGTTTGCCTCCTGAAACATCTGTCAATTATACAGATGAAACCACACATATTTATTACGTCATGGATGAAAATTACATAGACACCGGCATCAATGAGAATGTAGCAGGTGATCATATAAACAATTCTATTCCCCGGCACCTATGGACCGTTCGAAGTTTTCCAAACGGTACAAGGAATTGCTACAACCTCAGCCCACCACAACGCATGGGTGCAAGATATTTAATCAGGGCAACCTTTATGTACGGAAACTACGATGGCCTGAATCACACAACAAAATTCGATCTTTATTTAGGGGTTGACTTGTGGGACGCTGTAGAAGTGAATGATTCAGCTTCAGTTGTTGTCAAGGAGCTCATCCATGTCCCTTCATCAGATTATCTGTATGTGTGTCTGATCAACAGGGGCGCTGGAACTCCTTTTATCTCCGCACTGGAGCTTCGGCCGTTGGCTCAAGATATTTATCCCGCTGATAATCCCGGTGACTCGCTTTTGTGTTTTAGTCGCTGGAATTTCGCACCGGCAGACGTCAATGGAAAAATCAGGTAAACCATAATGATGCAATCATTAATGTCAATTTCACTTTTCCACTTTTAGACCTAAAAACTGCATAACGTTTTTCCTTATATTTAATTTGTTGGGTTAAGGTACCCGGACGACATTTACGATAGGATATGGCAGCCGAAAACCATGCCTGACTTGACCGGATTATACACCACACTCAACATGACACGCACAGACAAATACTTCCCCCCGCAGCCGGTGATGAAAACCGCTATAACGCCGCTAAATGCTAGTCAATCCGTGGACTTTGAATGGAAATCCCCTGACCCAAACGTACAGTTTTATGTCTACATGCATTTTGCAGAAGTTGAAATCCTGCAGAGCAATGAATCCAGAGCATTTTATGTTCACCTGGATGATGAAATATGGTCGGACTCTGACACTAACCAACCTTTTGTTCCTAGATATTTGCAAGTAATGTCCATGGAACCCCTAATAGGGAAAAACAAAGCCAGATTTAATTATTCAATAGTAAAAGCAGAGAATTCAACGCTGCCACCCATCATTAACGCTTTGGAGGTTTACTCTGAGGTGCGGTTCGTGCACTCTCAGACAGATGACAATGATGGTATGAGCACGACGTCTCCTATGGAACTTCTATAGTATGATTATTTCGTAATGTCTTTCTTTAATCAATTGTTTCGTTCTAATTAGTACACTAGTACTTCCTCTGTCTCAAAATTATTGCCCAGTTTGGGATTTTCACATTGAGTACAATTTGAGCTAAGGATGAAAATCCAAACTGGACAATAGTTTCAGGACAAAAGGGAGGAGTATCATGCATGCTTGTTGACTTAATTGGAGACACCTAGAGCATGAACTAAATATTTTAGATGCTGATCAGAATAGTCTTTCACAGCGAAACTGTTCAAGATCAACTAGTCAAGGATTATATCATTATTCATCATCTCAGATTTCTTCTCTTCATATTTTTCTTGAACTCTTAGTAAGGGCAATGGTTAATATCAAATCAAGATATAAAGTGAACAAAAATTGGCAAGGGGACCCTTGTATGCCCAAAGAGTTCAGGTGGGACGGCCTTGATTGCCTCGAGAATACTAGTATTCCTCCTCGGATCACATCACTGTATGTTTCTGACTATAAACCATTTACTGAGACTTAATCTTGTGTCACTGTGTTTTCTAATTGTTCAATTTCAAATGCAGGAATTTGTCCTGGAGTGGATTGACAGGGAACGTGCCTTCTGATGTGTCCAATCTAAATTTCCTTGAGAACCTGTAAGTGGATACATCTCTTTCTGATGGTATTAGATCATCTGAGATTGAGTAAACCTGATAGTTCTTGGCATAATGCGATGAATTTCTCAGGGATTTGTCAAATAATGCTTTGAATGGAGTTGTACCAGAATTTCTTGCCGAGTTGCCACAATTGAAGTTCTTGTAAGCCGCTAGACTAACAACGGCACAAAGCCATTCAAAACTGACAGCAAAGTCCTTCGAATAGCAGATTACTAAGCTCCATATATATTGGTTGGCTTTTGTAGGAACTTATCAGGAAACAAGTTCACAGGCTCAATTCCACAAAAACTACTTGACAAGGCAAGCAGTGGTCTGCAGTTAAGGTTTGACATATTCATCTTGGCTGTTTGTCCGCTGAAGAGTTTATTCATGCTCTCTTTTTTCTTCTGTCAGTTTCTCACCCTGAAATTCATTTTGGCAGAGCTGATGGATATGATTCATATGCATGTGAAGGGGATCAGTGTAATAGCAAGAAATCAAAGAAGTTTGTAGTTCCACTTGTTGTCTCACTCACGCTTATTTTGTCCTTGGTTGTCTTAGCTAGCTTAATTGTGACCCTAAAGAAAAGAAGGACAAAAAGATCAGGTATGACAGTTTGTTCTGATTTGAAAACATGGTCTGCATATTTCTTTCATTTATGCTTTTCCGAGCAGAAATGGAGTGATAATTATTAATGCCAAGATCGATTTTTTTTTTTTTTTTACAGTCATAAAGTTGGGAGCAAACAGAAAAGATAGTTTTTTGGAGCCGAAAAGCATGCAGTTTAGCTACCGGGATATCTTAAAGATGACAAACGATTTTGAGAGGATTCTGGGAAAAGGAGGTTTCGGAACTGTCTACCACGGGCTCACAGGAGATGGCAAACAAGTAGCCGTCAAGTTACTCTCCCCGTCTTCTACACAGGGATACTATGAGTTTCAGAGAGAGGTAAGGCAAACTCAATTATTTACAAACCAGCAAGCCTTGCAACTCAAAGTAGGTTCAGGAATTGAGAAAACTGTTCCTCCGTCCTGAAATAATCATCTTGTCAAACAGGCCGAGCTACTGACGAGGGTCCATCATCGCAATTTAACCAGTCTTGTTGGGTATTGCTATGAAGATGGCCACATGGCCCTCGTATACGAATTCATGGCTAAAGGCAACTTGAAAGAACATCTTTCAGGTATACCAAACTTCTTTTTTTTTTTTTTTATTCCCTTATCCTTTCTTCATTGTTTTGACTTTTGATTATCCGACCAGTTTTTGTGAAATTCATAAAGTTTTTGTGTAGGACTGATGTAAACTAAGTTACAATCTATGGTAAGAATCTAATTTCTTATTTCCAGGAAGCAATGGCAACGTCTTGAGTTGGTCGGAAAGGCTTCAGATTTTGCTGGATGCAGCACAAGGTCAAAATTCAATTTCTTCAGAACTTCAAAACCCGCCTCATGATTAGTTCATTCTTATATATCTAACCTTGAAAGAGTTCAGTGCATTGACATGATGAGAAGTGAAATTTGGCAGGATTGGATTATTTACACAATGGCTGCAAACCTCCAATTGTACACAGAGATGTGAAGTCCACCAATATCTTATTGACCAAAAACTTTGAGGCCAAATTAGCTGATTTCGGACTATCTAGAGCATTTGCCGTTGATGACGTCTCTTCTGTGTCAACCAGAGTTGTTGGAACACTAGGATACCTTGATCCTGAGTAAGTATTGTTTCTTTAGTATATTGTAAACAATGAGTAAAATTACATACTCCCACTTGACGAAGCCAACATTTTCCGGGTTTTTTGCTGTGATCACGATCAGGTACTATGAGACAAATAGACTGCATGAGAAAAGCGATGTATACAGCCTTGGGGTTGTTATGTTAGAGGTAATCACAGGGAGGCCGGCGATCGTTGGGATGGTAGAGAAGCGAAACATAGTACAGTGGGTTACTTATTTGGTGGCCACAGGGGATATTGCGAGCATTGTGGATCCGAAGTTGAAGAGAATGTATGACGTGAACTCGGCATGGAAAGCCTTGGAAGTAGCCATGGCCTGCACCTCTTATTCCTCTGCCAAAAGACCAACCATGGCTCAGGTAATAACAGAGTTAAAAGATTGCCTGGATGCACAGAAAGTATGCTCAGAAGGGCAAGATACACATCAGAGCTTTCTACTTGAAGTCAACCCCCAGATTCTGGAAATTGAAATCGGGCCTAGGTGAATTATTTTCAGGGGGAAAAAATCATAGGATTTTGTTTATTTTATCTTCTCCATGACTTTCTGGATGGCTTTTAATACTATATGAAATAAATGCTGTCTGTCGTCAATGTCTGTACTAACTATATCACCATTCCAATAAAATCGATTGATGGCACACAGCACGGATAGGGTTTCAATTTTGATTTCATCTTCGATGTATAATGCCGATTTTTAAACATAAGAATCAAATAAAATGGGACAAATAAAGTGGGACAGGAGATCCCAACTCACAGAAGCGAACCCTCCAAGATTTTTGTGAAGAAGCAATACAACGTTGACCTTTGCCAAAAAAAAAAAGAAAAAAAAACCCAATCTAAAACAGGCATTGATTTATTGACTGCTGCAGACTTAGTCACAATGGAACTGTTTAGTAAATCAGATTTCCCTATTTCAGAACCAAGTCAGACAACAAGTTGCAGATTTTAAGCATTTGGTTACAAATCACGTATGAAGTAGAGACGCATGAAAAGCCCTTCACAAATTAAAAAATGTCGTTGAGTTGTAGGAACAGGATCCCTCTCGCTGTCTCGAACCGTAATCGATAAAGACTCTCAAATATCTCAATATATTATAATCCCCAAAGGCTGCAACTGCTACAATATTCTAAACGGGGTTAAATTTTCGTCAATGTGTTGTGTACTCTTGAAAATAACCCTTAATGATGTATAAATGTATGCGTACATTGGAGAGTTCTTACCTAGTCCACAAGCCAGAAAAAATGACGAAGGCGTTGCGGTACTGGAAATCCAGTCCATTGTTATTGATCTGCCTGCTTGCCCTTACAATCCGCGTTAGTGATGCACAAGATCAATCAGGTTGAAATAATGCTTCAAAGAAGTCGTTGATCATGTACTTTATAAATTATAGCTGCTCATGACATTTCATTATTCAACTAATTTTGGTTTACAAAATCTTTCATTTTGGCTTGTGTTTTAGTTCTGACCCCGGGATTCATCAGCATAGATTGCGGGTTGCCTCTTGAAACCGGAAATTACAGCCAGGCCGGCATTACTTACATCACAGATGAAAGCTTCATCGACACCGGCATAAGTATTAATGTAGCTAGAGAATACATGGTGGACTCTGATTCCCAACCCCGGAACCTATGGAATGTCAGAAGTTTTCCCAACGGAACCAGGAATTGCTACAACCTCGAATGGGTACAGGGCAAGGGTAAAAAATATTTGATCAGGGCAAGCTTCCTGTATGGAAACTACGATGGCAAGGATCAAGCTCCAAGGTTTGAACTTCATTTGGGATACAAACTGTGGGACAATGTGAATCTGACAGATTCAATTTCCACCGTTTTCAAGGAGATCATCCACGTCCCTTCATCAAACTATCTGTTTGTTTGCCTGGTCAACGCGGGTGACGGAACTCCTTTTATCTCGGCCTTGGAGCTTCGGCTTTTGAATGATTCAATGTATCCGCGTGCTGATACTGGTAACTCATTAGCGAGTGGCGGTCGCTGGAATTTGGCTGCAACAGATCCCAATAAAGCTCTCAGGTGATCTTGATCGGATCAGTAACTCAAATGAATACTCCCTCCATCCCAGGATTATTATCCAGTTTAGATTACCACTAAAATAAAAATCCAAACTGGACAATAACTACGGGACGGAGGGAGTACTAAATATTAAAGTCCCTCCTCGGTTTGAATTTTCACTACTTGGCTTAATACCTATTTACTGATAATATGTGGTATCAGGTTCCCGGATGATATCTATGACAGGCGATGGGAACCGTATTTCCTTGCTGAAAAATATGCTGCACTTAACACCACATCTGCTATTCGAAATACCTCCATTTACGCTCCACCAATGGCGGCGATGCAAACTGCGATGATGCCTCTAAATGTCAACCAGCCCGTGCTATTTGATTGGACTCCACTTGACCCTAACGTACCCTACTATTTCTTCCTGCATTTTGCCGAAGTTCAACCACTGCAGGGCACCGATTACAGAGCGTTTTATATTAATCTCAGCGATCAAAGATGGATTGAGGAAGCTGTCGTTCCCGCTTATCTCTCGGTTACCACCAAAACGTTAAACATTTCAGATAACAAATCAAAGTTCAATTATTCACTTGTGAAAACTGAGAATTCAACTCTGCGACCCATCATTAACGCTTTGGAGGTCTATTCAGCTGTACGGTTCTTGCAGTCTCAGACTGAAGAAAATGATGGTACGCGGTTACTTACACATACACACACACACACACACACACACACACACACACACACACACACACACATATATATATCGTTGTTGTTTTCTTTAACTGTTACCAAAAGAATGCTATCTTTCCAAATGACCCAATTCTAGGATGAACAGTCTCATCCAGTATATCTTTTTACATTTCCAATACACTTTTTTATATTCTCAATACAAAAAACACTTAAAAACACACACTAAAAAAACGAAATAAACATAAATTTCTACTCATGTGGACACGTAAATACACTAGTGCAGCATGCACTTTAGGTATGGGGTTTAATATCAACCGTTGTATTTTCTCTGTTGGATATAAGCGGCTGTGAACCATATGCTTTTTTATTAAACGCTGCAGGTGGTACCTTTTTAGTAATATAAAACAAAATCATAACTAGCAGTTCATTGTCTTCACTTCTTTTCTTTTGTTTCATAAACAGATCTTGATCTCATTTTTTTTAAAAAAAAATAAAATTAAAAGGTACTTAGTATATTTCACTCCTGAATTTCATTGAAACTGTAGTGGGGGCTATTCTTAATGTCAAGTCAGCATACAATTTGGTCAGAGATTGGCAAGGGGACCCTTGTCTGCCCAAACCGTTGATGTGGGATGGACTTGATTGCTTTTACTCCGATGATACCAGCGTTTCTCCCCGGATCAAATCACTGTATGATTTGTTCACGTTTAAATTTAGTTTTATTTTATTTTTAAAGGTTCAAAATGTTAAAATTTCCTGATCAATGTACATGCAGTAATTTGTCCTTCAGTGGATTGACTGGGAGTCTGTCCTCTGATTTCTCCAAACTAACTTCCCTGGATAACCTGTGAGTGAAAATTTACATCTCTTCTGATCCTACTTACATCCTCTGAACTTGTTTGGATCTGATTGCTCTTGGTATTTTGCAATGAATGTGTCCCAGGGATTTGTCAAATAATAGTTTGAACGGACCTATACCAGAATTTCTGGCTGAGCTTCCACAATTGAAATTCCTGTAAGTTGCTAAACAAATAAGTGAATAACAGGCCACAGGAACTCAGAATATGTAGAGTCCATACAAGAATGAGGAGCAATATCTCCTCAATTGGTTTCCTTTTGCAGGAACTTATCAGGAAACCAGTTCTCTGGTTCAGTACCACAAAAACTACTTGACAAGGCAAAGAATGGTCTGCAATTGAGGTTTGACTGCACATTCATGTTTAATGCGTTTATCTGGTATAAGAGTACATTCCTACTTTTCCTTGCTTCTATTGATTACTTCTTTGCATTGTCTAATTGGTTTCAACAGAGCTGATGGATATGAAACTTGCAAAGCAGACCAGTGCAAGGGCGAGGAATCAAAGAAGTTTGTGGTTCCACTGGTTGCCTCACTTATAGCATCTTTAGTCGTCTTAGCTGCCTTGATTGTGACCCTGAGATTAAGGAGTAGAATCCCATGTATGGCATTTTTTTCTGATTTAAATATGACCTGCATGCAGCTTATTTTATGTTTGCTTTTCGCTGCCAAATAAACAGGCAGAATTAGTTGATACCCACATCGTATTGATATTTACAGTTACAAAGATAGGGGCTAACACCAACAGAAAAGATGGCCTTTCGCCGTTTTTGGAGCCTAAAAACTTGCAGTTTAACTACTCAGATATTTTGAAGATGACAGATAATTTTCAGAGGGTTCTGGGGAAAGGAGGTTTTGGAACAGTCTACCATGGACTCACACCAGATGGCAAACAAGTTGCCGTGAAGTTACTCTCGCTGTCTTCTGCCCAGGGATACAACGAGTTTCAAACGGAGGTGATTAATTTAACACAGAACCCTGCCTTTGTTGTATGATTAAAGCTTGCAAACAATAGTTCACTGATCATATTCCAACTTTACGCTCAATAAATAAAGTGTCAAGTGTATACTTGAAAAGCTGTCTTTTATGATAAATCAATATGACCTGACATAAATGTTTTAAGGCGGAGATACTAGCAAGGGTTCATCATCGTAATTTAACATGCCTGATTGGGTACTGCTACGAAGACAGCCACATGGCCCTTGTTTATGAGTACATGGCTCGAGGAAACTTAAGGGAGCACCTTTCAGGTATATGAAAGACTAGTGTTTCTTATGCTTTCCTGTCAAACTTCCCGACCTGGAGATATCGTTTCATCTAGTTGTTTTGTTTGTTTTGAGAATTTGGCTTTCATTTTGATCTCTTAGCACAGTTTCAAATGTGCATTCTACATAGCCATAGAAACTACATTTCTTTGATCTGTCCTGTTTTCCCAGCCACTTACTCTCAATTGCATAAAGTTTTTACTAGGTATGTAATAGATGCAATTATCTGCAATAAATCTTCTCTGTTTTTGTTCTAGCAACTGATGACAACGTCTTGAGTTGGTCACAAAGGGTTCAGATTGCATTAGATGCGGCACAAGGTACTTAATCTCTCAATTCTTTGAGTCATTTAGTGATTAATCTCTTCAGAACTTCAAAATGACTCAAAAAAGTTTCTTTCATTTCTTAATGGACAAAGAAGAGTTGAATGTAATTCACAATATGTTGTGAAAATGATGTGTTACAGGATTGGATTATTTACATAGTGGCTGTAAACCTCCAATAATACACAGAGATGTCAAGTCTTCCAACATCTTATTGAATCAGAACTTAGAAACCAAGTTGGCGGATTTTGGATTATCTAGAGCATTCACTGTGGATGATGGATCTCATGTGTCAACCAGGGTTGTTGGCACCCCTGGATATCTTGATCCCGAGTGAGTACATTTTGGTTCCACAAATCACGAGTGTTCCTTTTGGTGGACTGAACTGAACATGACAGAATACATATTACTGTCATGAAATTAAGAAGGAAAAGGTTGATTAATTATTTACATATACTTGGGATTTGGCCCTGATCAGGTACTACGAGACTCAGAGACTGAACGAGAAAAGTGATGCATATAGTTTTGGGATAGTTCTATTGGAGCTTATCACAGGAAGGCCAGCGATCAGCGGGACTGATGAGAAGCGACACATAATGCAGTGGGTTAGTCATTTTGTGGCTGCAGGGGACATTGCCGGCATTGTTGATCCGAAGCTGAAGGGGATATATGACACTAACTCAGCATGGAAAGCTTTGGAAGTAGCCCTGGCATGTGCTTCTCCCACTTCCCTAAAAAGACCAACCATGGCTGATGTTATAACAGAGTTGAAAGAGTGCCTAGTGGCACAGAAATTGAATATAGAAAGCGAAACTACAGATGAAAGTGCTCTACTTGAAGTGAACCCTGAGATTCTTGAATCGGAAGTTGGGCCCAGGTGAACGATACACCAATGTACTACAATGCCTGGGGTGGATACTATAAAGGCACAGAATAAGGTGAACTTTAATGATTCCCATCAATGTTTATAGAATCCCAAATGAAGAAGATCGAATCAGGGCGCACAATCACGCCTGTGTGTAGAATCAAATTACTTAAAAAGCATATTGTCTATGTGGATAGTGTTTTGGTTTTGATTTCATATGACACATGTCAATACATTGAACAATCCACGTCTCTGTATTTCCAGAAAAAGAAATGTTAATCCTAATCCCTTTTACCCTATTAAAGCAGAAGACATAAAGCTTATGTAGCAACTAAGTATGCATCTGTTTTGGCTCCAATGCAACATATTTCAGATTTCAGGAGTCTTTTTGCCACGTGTAAATCTCTTTTAATTAGAAGTTATATAATTTTTTTTTTAAAAAAAAAAACACATGTTTTACTACAAATAATGATCAGTTACATTTCAAACGAATGGATATATTAATTCAAATTCAAATGTCCAATCGTATAGTTTTTCAGGCTTAATATAAACAAAAAATAAAAATACCTAAATCCAGCAATTAAGAATAATGTCTTATAAATTAATTATTTATTATTCCCTTATAACCTCATATTTATAGGTATATTTTTTTAAGCTCCAAATCATAGCATAAATGATATATACACCAAATTAATTCCTCAAAAAATAGTAATTCAATTAGATTTTAATAAAATAGTAATTTAGAAGGGGCGCCCTGCCTGGCCAAACATCTAGTATAATTATAACACAAATTGGCATGTAATTACGATTTTGAATGGCAATAGCCATAGTAGTACAAGATATATTCGTAAGATCACAGGCTATAAACACCGGATCCAAACATCTGGGCCTGCAATATTTTTTACCAAACAGGCCCACTGACGCATCAAATAGTATTTTCTAGTAAATCTTTTCAGGGAAAACTAGGCTGAAGGGAATACTGAATAAGTTCCAGACTTCCAGCTAGACCCGCTTGAACTCAGGGTGAGTCGGGACTTTTGTGACGCTTGACAAACGCAACACACTATAAACTAATTATTACATGAACCTTAAACATAACATCAACCTTACACACAGATACACACATATATCACCGTCCAATTTCGTATGACATAAAACTGTAACGATGATCAATCAGCTCAAAGTGGCAACTTGTGAAAGAAATTCAGAGGAAATTGACAGAAGATCTGTAAGTTGCACCTGGCCTCCATGCTGCGGGAATCACATTTCTGGCCACCAGGACCTGCCTGGTGGACAGTGAGGTTAATCTGATAGAAAATGGGCCGCGCAAGCGTGGGCCTGAGTTAAGCACCCAGACAGTGCCCCAGGAGTGTCGCATGGGCTGCCATCCGAGTCTACTGTATGACTGCATCAGAGCCACTCCGCCGAGATCGCCGTCTCCTTCTTGGAACTGGATCGACACCGCCAAGTAGAAAGGGTTCGATCCCTGATCCACTCGGAATGCAATTGGCGTTCTCCCGTAGTTGCATTGGACTCTAAAATTAAATAAATAATCCAAGGTTAAACTTACTGGTGATCACATTTAATCGTGTGTCTAATAATGTTTTAATCGGAACTCAAGAGTACACTGTGTGCAATTTTTCTCAAGACTCGATATAGCTGGAAACATGTATCCAGTGAATCATGCCATGAATCACTCAATTTCTGGTCAATATTCTTTGGTGACTTTTTTTTTTTGGCTTTTAAGAAAAACAATTTGGTTTCCTGATTTAAGTAATTAATCTAATCCAAAGATGATGTTTAATATAGTACTCTCTTCGTCCCATAATTATTGTCCACTTTGCCCAAGTAGAACTAATTAAAGTTTATGTATACCGTGAATAAGTGATTGACAGAACTCCAGCGTTACGAAGTCTAGCTTCTTGTCCGCGAACAGCCATGCCGCCGAAAGCCGTTCCGCTAAGGTCAAAATGAGTTGAATCGGTGAGGCATGGACCTCCGGGGCAGAAATCTGTTATCACCACTCTCACCGGAATGCCGGAGCACGCCCGATTCTGATACTTGCTACATTTCACCTAATCAAATAATTTGTAGAATTAAAATCATCGTGTTATAAGGCGTGCGATCGAGGACTTTTGACTTCAACAAAAATAAATAAATTGATCAAATTTACTTTTTAGTGGCTTCACACCACTACTCAGTCAGATGGTTGACATATTGAGAATAGACAAGAGACAAATATATTCGATTTCGTTGGAACTTTATAGATACCAATATATTTTCTTAATTTATTCATCTAGTTGTAGACTTGTAGAAATGGTAGTAGTAATTTGACCTCCCGACATGAATTAAGAAAAAATAAATCTTGACGTTTTTAAAATCCATCATGAGTCAAAATCTGAAAATCATTAGTCATTCAAAAGTTCAAATTATGGTCACAAAAAAATTTCCAGTTTAGGCCATAACGTTTATGGTACTGAAAGATATGGAGACCCAACGGTGCAAGCACAAAGTAATCGCTAAAAATTACTTTTATATTTCCTAATATAATCTTTTGCCTTTCTAATGGATTTTTTAAATTTATTGGAATAGAAGTAAAATCATAATTTAATAGTCTAATTCGGACGGTCTGACTTATAAGACATAATTTAAAACTGAGTATAAGATAATACTCCCTCTGTCCCAGAAAATAGTTCAAATTGAGTTTTGAAATTTATACTAAAATAATATAAAATTTAAAACTTAATATGAACTATTTTTTTGGAACATGGGTAATATTACACTTAAAATATAGTCAGTAGAAGTAATTGCGTCCTTTCCAAAGCTAGATATTCTACTTCTAACTGCTTGAAAAGTTGAGAGGAAGAAAATGAAAGGGCTTTCCAAACGCACGCCTCTATGGGTTTCCTCCATGCAAGTATATTGCTTAGGGAGTTAGGGGTGTATGAGCGTGCACCATAAAGTCCACCAGTCAGAAAATAATGAAAAATAACCAGGTATATATGAACACGAACCGTGATTAAAATTTTTGAATACATTTTTGTATTTTGATAAGGACTTATCTAACTCAAATCTAGATCAGTCGGATGTGTAATATACTAGAGAAAAAGTTCCAAAAATAAGAAATGACGTAGGTAATTTAAGAATTAGTACATAGCTAGACATATAAAATACCAGGTAACAAGCGCCACATCCTTGGCCGGATTTGTAAAGGGAAGGTCCCATTCCGGTGATGAAGGAAGAAAATGGCGATTGCGATACCAGGTTACCGTACCCACAAGCTCCTCCTGCATGAATACACATCAGTATCACCATTAACAAACTATGGTATACAGTTCTGCTGCTAATCAAACACGGTAGCACTAAGTAAGATGATGAACAAGAATGTTAGTTAAGTGATCGATAAGCATGTCTCTCAGGTAACTATAAGGAGTGCATAAATATACAAACGTACCGTCACTTCCGGCACCATTAGGGCTGCCGTACCATGTTGCTTTGGCCGGAAGCCAACCACCACCGGTTGCTACTGCCGCCGACTCGTTGAAATAGTCGAATTCGACTTGGAAGCAGCGACAGAGTTGGGGGGAGAAAAGCACGGCTAGCGTGCAAGACAGGAGAAGATGCGACGACAATATTGAGTATCGGAGATCTGGCTTAGTCATGGTTGCCATAATAGTGACCCTGAATAATTAATAAACTACTTTATTATGCACTCTATCTAGTCGTACAAACTACAAACTAAACTAAAAGTAGGGAGTACTTCTTGTCTTCTACATGAAGGCTGCAACCTAACAAAGAAGTAAATGATTAGCTATTTCTCTTCTTTGCCAAAAAAAAAAGGCAAAGAGTTGCTAGTATTTATAAGGACTTAATTTGAGAGCACGGCAAAACGTGTCGTTTACTTTTGCTGCCGCCAAGAGTAATGTTTATTTATTAATTCACCACGCTGTTAATACTATGTAAGCCACATTCTCCTTCAATTAACTAGTGTATTATTTGATTCTTGGTCGCGCTATATTTCTTTATTAGCATAACAAACAAAGCAATTAATTTAATTCTTAGAGAGTTGTTGATTTGAGAGTTAATTTCGATGAATCAATGGATCTAATTAAAATTTCTTCCATAGGAAAAAGGAAGGAAAAAAAATGGTTTGGGTCAACTATGTATAATTACGGAAGCCAGTCGGGGGCTGATTCATCCATTCTGTAAGTCTCTTAATAGTACTCAAACTCAAAGCTACTTTCAGCCGGGTTTCAAGTTTTTTTCTTACTTCAAAACATTATAGCCTCTATAATTCTTTTCTTAATGGATCAAGAGGCACGTATAAAATATGCTGCGTAGGGTCTTTATACCGTTCAACAAAACTGCCAATCACCAGATGCCACATGCATGCAGCATGCAGATCTTCGGTATATAATATTCTTCCGATCGTGTATGCATTACATGTAGTTTGATTGCTTAGAAGTTAATGTATTTGTTTGTTCGTACGAATGATGATCAGAAATTCCATAACGCACGTACATGATGAAAGCAGAGCGGCAATTATACGTAAATTTTATTTGTAATTTACAATAATATGCGTATCTATTTTCCAAGTCAAACCACATAAACCCACGACTGTCATAATTCATTTTCTTCATGGAATGCACGATTTTCAGCAATTCTCAATCGAAAATTAAAAGTTACTACAAATCTACAATACTACTACTTGATTGTGTGTGTACAGAGACTGCAACTTCTGCTACTCCAAAAAAATAAAAAAACCAACTCCGTGGCTTTCGATTTAATTGCTAATTATTAAAGCACGAGTCAATTACTTGTATTGTTTAGTCAAATTATTTTAGTGGCCGGAAAAATACATCTTTTGTCGGCAAGAAGAGGTCTTTTTTTTTTTTTCAAGGAAAAAGAAAATCTTTAATCTAATCAAGTCAATTACTCTTTCTGTCGCTTGTGGCGATGCAAAATTTCCCGCAATTCCGGCGTCATCGGTGGTTAATGGTCGTTAATACTGTTGGGTTTTCTCCGACGTCACTCCCTTCAGCATTGTACGGCACAAATTCATCTCCAGGCTTCCAATCTTTTTCTATATTGCCATTTCTATTCCCTTCAGCATCATCCTAACGTAAATACTTTTGGCTTTTTGTTACTAACTCTCATTTTCAACTATGCTTAATAAAATCTCCATGAAAGGGAAATCTTAACCAACGAATCTCTCCTTCTTGCTTCTTTAAATTTTCACTTGATCACACACCAAAATAAATAAATAAAAATATCCTACTAATAAATTCATCTCCAATTCTGGGCCGATCGGTCCAGTCCATTTATCCATACCGGTTTAAACTTCAAACTTGCCAGTGGCAAACAGAAACTTAAACTAAATGGGCTCAGAAGAGTATAACTATGCCCCCAAATAGGGTCTATTCCAGATTCTGTTTCAGAAAGCAGAGCTTGTCTGAGTACAACTATAATCAACAAGCTTATCTAAGCTCAATGGTCCTGGTCCTGGCAAATAGAAATGTTACAAAAATCCAAAGGCAAATTATCCAATGAACTTGAACTTCATCAATCCATACATGGGATCTAAAAGGATGCTTGAGAATAACAAAGGTAATCTTAAAAGAATAACTCAAATTTTGTTTGGTTTTTACTATTGCATACCCTTTAATCTAACTGTTTGCTTTAGGTCTAGAGCCTTCTTCTATGTACCATGTACCCATATTGGTACCGGGAGTATACAACTTCCAGTAGCATGCTCCGGCAGAATTTTTCTTAAATTTCTCTCATTAGCTAGTTTTAAGGTTTGTCACAGGAGTCATAACACAAGTACTGAAATTTGATCAAATAATACAGTTTTGGATTTGGACATGACTCATCCAAGATGACCCAAACAGTGGAAATCTACTACCTTATTGGGCCGATTAATGTTCCTTTGAGCCCGTTCATAAAAGAATTTTATTGAAGCTAATAAAAAGAAGTTTTAGTGTTCATTTTAATTTTTTCACTTTTCATACAATTTGTACTATAATAAATAAAAATTAAAGTGAGTAATCATTTCAAGATAATGGAATATTAATGTTTGGGGACCAAGGCAGAATGCCGGTTATGATTTTGGAGTTAGAAAAAACGTCAATCGGTGGCTCATTTGGATTTGGATGTCCCGGACTAGGACTAGATTTAGAAAAGATGACATCTCAAAAGCTGTTTATAAAACGTATTATTAGGCAAGTCTTCAAACAATTTTGTAATCTATGTTTTCTCATTCTTCCTGAGAAAGCAAATTTTAGTGACACTTAGAAACTCAGAAACTGCTCCGTCCCCTCTCTCTCTCTCTCCTTCTTCTTACCTTCTTCTCCTTCTTTATTTCGGCCAAATTCTTTTCATTAATTTACAAATCTGATATTAATAATTTTCTCTTTTCTCTCCTCTTCCTTTTCTGCCACCTAATTTTCTTCCCCATCTTTCCTCCTATAGAAGGATGGAGAGATAATTTTTCTTTTCTTTTAGATTTTTTAATTTGAATAAATTAATTCATCAGTAGATCTTGTGGGTGTTAGTAGTTTGTCATTAAATCTGATTTTATTGATCGTAATTTAGTTTTTTTATTGTTGTGTGTAATCTATAGTTTATTGTTTTATCCATTTTTGTACTGTTATGGTTCATAGTTATGGTTTATGTTCGATGATTTTCAGTCAAAGTAGATATATATTTTAGATCTATTTTTTGGAATTTTTATCTGATGACAAATGAAGTATTCAAGATCAGAGATTTTCTTTAGTACGTGATGCTTTCAACAAATATTTGCGGGTGCTATGAAAGAATTTGTGTTTTAGTCGTTCGCAATAAAAATGATCGATTGATTCTTAGTTATAGAATTTCAATCGATTGTTATAATATGTTAGGGATTATAATTCTCTGTCAATTGTGGTTGGACGTTTTCCAACAAAGTTAATGAAAGTTTTTTTTATGTAAAAAAAAAAAACAATTTTGTAATCTTAGACCTTTTAGCCTTTCGAAGGAAATTTAAGAATACTTTTATATTTCGACTAGTATATATAGACATTTTTACCCAAGTATAGCAGTATAGGTAGTCATTTTTGAGACTTCGCTTTGCATGAGTAGTCAAACCTAACATTTTTATTTGGAACCGTGTAAATGTTTTTTTTTTTTTTTGTGGGGGGAAGGGTGGGGTTACCAGGAACCGTGTAAGGTTTGAAAACCAACTCAAGTTATACTAGTCGTATTTGATTTCGGCTTGACCTTTTTACCTCACAAAACCAACTATGAAATGTACTCCCTCCAACATTTATTCATATCCATTCGTATTTACAAAACATATTGAAACTAACTTGATCATCTATATTTATGGGACAAAATTAAAATTTTTATAATTATGAATAAAGGAATTACCTTTTGATGAGATTGCCACCACAGTAATTACAAAACTCGTGACATTAACGATTTGCACAACCAAAAAAGGGTTTGTAACTCAAATTTGGTGGATGAATTTATTATTACAATATTGCCAAAATTTATTTCAAATCTTATTTTGTTTATATTATCTTGTATCTGTGGGACAACATTCTGCCTCAAACTCTAGTTATTCAACCGAATATAAAATAATTTGAATAGCTTATGTATATATTTCTTATTAAACGTTGCGTATTTAACTTGATGATGATTGCCCAATTTATACGGTCGATCACGCGACTTTTTAAAAGAACTACAGCACTTATTCAGAAAAAAATGAGTGTTTCATTTAGTCGATTAACGTCTAAAATTCTAACCAATTAGTAACACAAAACTTCCAACCCTTCATTAAATTTTAATACGATGTTTTTTTAAAATAAAAATAAGAAGAAAAATGACTATATACACGTGTCATGAAGCACGTGCGCTTGACCACGGCATTTAAGGTTGGAAACTTTACAGTTGAACTATGATAAGTTCAAATTCATCCGCGCTCTCAAATTGATTTTACCGGTTCAGCCAAATCGGACCGACAAAATTTGTGTAGTCAATCTGTTTGAAAGAATTACTAAAAGCTGTTTACCATGGCGGGAGGGGTGGGGTTCGCCGGCGAAGGTGGTGGTTCTGTTGGGTATAATGGCAGGCTGACGTGGTTCGTGCTTCTTTCTTGTCTCATGGCTGCCATGGGCGGTGCTATCTTTGGCTACGACACTGGAATTTCAGGTTCATCACTTTGCTCTCTTTTTCTTTTTTTCTTGCTTTTAAGTATCCGTAAGTTGAATTTGCATTTATAACCTGTTTGTGAAATTCCAAACTATTTCTATTGTATGTTGTTTAGAGCTACTTATATAGTGGGTTTTGATGATCTGATGCATTTTCGGAGTTGGATAGAACAAGTGTTATTGCATCTGATTTCTAATTTCTAAGTTATTACCACGTGGTGAACTTTATTCCTAAGCATAATTGAACAAATTCATCGACCTAAGTTCAGTACTAATTCTGTGCCTCAAATATATCTATGTATGCTATGACTAAAGGTGGAGTGACTTCTATGGAATCCTTTTTGAAGAAGTTCTTCCCTGAAGTGTATGCTAAAATGGAGGAAGACACCGAGGTCAGCAACTATTGCAAGTTTGACAGCCAACTGCTTACCTCCTTTACCTCGTCCCTCTATGTTGCTGGCTTAATTGCTTCCTTCTTTGCTTCATCCTTCACTAGGGATTTCGGACGCAAACCCTCAATCCTCGTTGGTGGAGCTTCCTTTCTCATTGGAGCAGTCTTAGGAGCTGCAGCTCCTAATCTGTTCATTCTTGTACTTGGTAGAGTTTTGCTTGGAGTTGGGGTCGGTTTTGCAAACCAGGTAAAATCAGAATTTTATTTAAACATGAATCAATAAATTGCAACTGAGCTCCATAACTTTAAAAGTATGTGTGGATACTGAAATCATGGTCAGAGAATGTACCTAAAAAGTGACTGGTTCGATTTGCCCAGAAAGGGCTTTTAAAATTAGAGCTAAAATAGAAGGTGAGAGTGCAGTGTATGCCTCAGTTCATTTTGACATTTTGTTTCTAACTTGTAAAACTATACTCTCTTCTTGTTTGTAGGCAGTTCCACTATATCTGTCAGAAATGGCACCCTATAAATACAGAGGAGCGATTAACAATGGCTTCCAATTTAGTGTGAGTCTTGGGATCTTAGCCGCAAACCTGATCAATTATGGTACAGAAAAAATTAAAGGTGGATGGGGATGGCGGATCTCATTAGGCTTGGCTGCTGTCCCAGCTTTGCTTCTGACTTTTGGTGCCACATTCTTGCCTGAGACGCCAAACAGCTTAATTCAGCGTGGCTATGACCATGAGAAGACCAAGCAGTTGCTGCAACAGCTGCGAGGAACAGATGATATTCAAGAAGAGCTCGATGATTTGATCAAAGCAAGTAATTTCTCAAAATCTGTCAAAAATCCCTTCAAAAGAATCATGCGAAGAGAATATAGGCCTCACCTAGTGATGTCGATGGCGATACCCTTCTTCCAACAAGTAACAGGAATTAATGTTATTGCCTTCTACGCTCCAATTCTTTTCCGAGTTATTGGTTTGAAGGAAAGTTCATCACTTCTGTCAGCTGTGGTGACTGGCGCCGTAGGCTTGCTAACCACCTTCATATCAGTGCTTGTAGTTGACAAGCTTGGTCGGAGGGCTATGTTTTTCATTGGCGGAGTTTTGATGTTCATTTCACAAATAGTGATAGGAACAATCATGGCTATCAATCTTGGTGATCATGGTGGACTAAGCTGGGGATATGCTATTCTTCTGCTGTTACTGATCTGCTTATATGTGGCTGCTTATGGTCTGTCTTGGGGTCCATTAGGATGGTTGGTTCCGAGCGAGATATTTCCGCTGGACATACGATCTGCAGGCCAAAGTATCAGTGTTGCAGTGAATTTTCTCTTCACTTTCATCGTTGCTCAGACGTTTCTAGCCATGCTCTGCCACTTTAAAGCTGGTATCTTCTTCTTTTTTGGAGGATGGGTGGCTGTGATGACCATCTTTGTGTATGCTCTTTTGCCAGAGACTAAAAATGTGCCTATAGAACAGATGGACAGGGTTTGGAGAAATCACTGGTTCTGGAGGAGAATGACAGATCCGAATAGGGAAAATGTTGTGGACAACATGGAAGAACAGCTATTATCAGGACAACACTGAGTCATTAATAATTTTTGTTTGTTTGTCCTAAGGTCTGAAAATATGTATGTAGATGTAGTAACAGTGCAACACCATAGGAAAATACTATATATTTTGGAGCTGTGACAATATATGATTTATGTAATTAATCTGTAGCGAAATAAAGAATTAGTAGAAGTTGTTGGAAAGCATCTAAAGGTTCAATATTCTGGCCATAATAGCAATTATTTTCTGCTATACGCCAGATTAGTAGTGTGATCTTGTAATAAACTTTAGTAATGAGACAAATATGTTCTTTGCTACGTGTCTCTCCAGGTTTTGTTTCCATACTTTAGTAATAATTAAGCAGATTTTGTGGGATTTTGATTGAATAAATGGAGTTGGCTTGATTGCGATATTCGGTTCTTCCCTATTCGTAAAGCAGGTCTCTGTAAACAATCTTGGTTGATGCAGCGTTGTACTGAAAATTGATTCCAGAATAAGAAATTCATACAACAATATTTACTGAGAGTCTGAGAGGATAATGTCCTGCAATTAATAGCTCACACATTACTGCCCTCTTTTATGCCTCAGATTTGTTAAAAATAGAAAAGGTAAAATCTTTATCGGTCAGCAAATCACTTGAGATGATCCTAAAGTACCAGTCCAGCAGTCTTACCTTACATGGAATATTTGTAAAAGCTGTAAATCCGGGGGATAAATGTCCTAATACCCATGACAAAGGATCCTCCAATGAAACATAACATGTTCCACAAAAAGTCAACAAAATGCTTTGATTAATCAAAAGATTGGCCCATGTTGATGGGGATATACTGATATTTAGCAGTCAAGTTGGAAAACCTTTCTTTGTCCTACTTCCTCTGGCTTCATGTTAAAAGTTCAAAGTTCAAACTACTAAGTTTCTTGAGTTAAACACTCTTACATAAAAAAATTAAAAAAAAAAAAAAAAAACACTACTGCTGAATCTGAACTTCTTCTTTTTGTGGTTGTGAATTAAGAAACTTTTGGAGAGACTATGGCTGTTGGTTTGGCAATTGCAACAGAAGGAGGAAACTACAATGGCGGAATCACATCATTTGTAGTTTTATCTTGCATGATGGCAACCATGGGAGGAGTCATTTTTGGCTATGACATTGGAATTTCAGGTTTGCTTCTGCCTGCAATACAAAACTTAACTTTCTCTCTTGATGGAACTGCAATTGGATGATTGACATGCTGAGATGACCTTTCATTCTGTTATCTGTTTGTACTACATACTTGTAGGCTAAATGGTTTTCATTTTTCTTTGCTGTAAACAATGACTGATGTAAATTCTTGTTTATTCAAGACATGAAAATGGCTGACCCTTTTTTTCTGGTGAAAAAATTATGAAGGTGGAGTTACTTCTATGGAGCCATTCTTGGAAAAGTTCTTCCCAGATGTCTACAAGAAAATGAAAGAGGACAATAGCATAAGCAATTACTGCAAGTTTGACAGCCAGTTGTTGACTTCATTCACTTCCTCACTGTATTTGGCTGGACTTGTTGCTTCCCTCTTTGCCTCATCCCTCACTCGAGCCTTTGGCCGCAAACCATCCATTCTTTTTGGAGGCGCTGCTTTTCTCGCCGGTGCTGCTCTTGGTGGCGCCGCTCAGAATGTTTATATGCTGATTTTCGGCCGAGTTTTGCTTGGTATAGGTGTTGGTTTCGCCAACCAGGTTAGGAGCCTAAAAACTTAAACTTTGATTTTAGGTCATTCAAGGTCTCTAATCTTTTCTCAGCTTAAAATTTGTTTGTGGTCTGTTTGCTGATTTCAGGCTGTCCCACTGTATCTGTCAGAAATGGCGCCAGCCAGATTCAGGGGAGCAATCAATAACAGCTTCCAACTCAGTATAGGCATTGGAATTTTGATAGCAAACTTGATTAACTTTGGCACTGAAAAGATTAGGGATAATCGAGGATGGCGAATTTCCCTGGCTTTGGCTTCAGTTCCTGCATTGATTCTAACCATTGGCGCACTTTTCCTACCTGAAACACCAAATAGTGTAATTCAGCGCAGCAATGATTATGAAAAGGCTACAAGGATACTGAGGAAAGTCAGAGGAACTGAAGATGTTCAAGCCGAAATTGAAGATATCATAAAAGCTAGTGAGACATCAAAAACCATAAAGAATCCCTTCAAGAATATCATACAAAGGGAATATAGACCACAACTTGTGATGTCAATAGCTATTCCATTCTTTCAGCAAGTCACTGGAATCAATGTGATTGCATTCTATGCGCCGATTCTGTTCCGAACAATTGGCTTGGGTGAAAGTGCCTCACTGATGTCTGCTGTAGTGACTGGAGCTGTAGGTATATGTACAACATTTCTATCAATGTTGATCGTCGACAGAGTTGGCCGAAGATCGCTATTGATATACGGGGGTTTCTGTATGTTCATCATGCAGAATATTGTGGGAGCAATCATGGCTGCCAAATTAGGTGACCATGGTGGATTGAGCAAAGTTGATGCCTTTGTAGTTCTGATGTTAATCTGCCTTTATGTTGCTGGATTTGGCTTGTCCTGGGGTCCCTTGGGATGGTTAATTCCCAGTGAAATCTTTCCACTACAAATAAGATCTGCTGGCCAAAGTATTACAGTTGCAGTGAACTTTCTCTTCACTTTTATTGTTGGCCAAACCTTTTTAACAATGCTTTGCCACTTCAAGTATGGGCTTTTCTTCTTTTTTGGAGGGTGGGTCGCACTGATGACTGCATTTGTTTACTTATTGTTGCCAGAAACCAAGAATTTGCCAATTGAGCAAATGAATAAGGTTTGGAGGAAACATTGGTATTGGAGGAGATTAGTGGGATCAGACAATGAAGAGAAAGTTGATCAATATGATTGATCTTTTAGGATTAAACACAGGAATTCAGATTCAGGTTTGGTGAAAATTGTCATCATCTTCTAAATTCAGTGCTTACGAATATCAGACACTTCTGATTTTTCAATTATTACTCTTGCAATCGACCTTTTAATATGATAAGATGTGAAAGTCGACGTGTTACAAAATTAGTACAACATTTTTAATTTGGTATAGTCAATTTTCTTAACCTGAATAACAAGTTGGCAAAATTTTACAAAAATAAAAATAAAAATTCAACTTTGAGTTAGATTTTTGACTACTAAATTATTTTACCTCGTCTTATTAGTTGGTAAATACATAATAATCTCGATTTCAATTTGCCGAAATTCGTTTTGTTTTGTGGGAATTTTGGCGGTCGACCTTTTCATCGGCTTAAATAAGTCGACGTATTGAGTTTTTAACGGTAAGAATGTTTTTAATTGTTCAAAAAGAATTATATTTCAAAAAAATATCCTCATCATTAAAGAAAATAGTAAAAATTATGAAATTTTAAATTAAAAGTTACTTAAATTAATGAAAAAATAATATATTTTTTTTTGGGGGGTTTCAAAATGTGACGAGACAGTCGTGAGTCAATGAGTTAAAGTAATGCACAAGAGATGTGTAAAATTATTGCATTGAAATATCTTTATTGATGTGAAAGTTGGCTTGTCATAAAATTGAAAGAATTCAATTTTATTTTTATATTGACTCTAATTTATTTTATTTTTTTTGATACATAGGTATTGATTTAAAATACATCATAACTATTTTTTGTCAAAACTGCTCGCGTCGACCTTCATGTCATCTTAGCTAAGATGACAAATAAGTCGGCGAAGTTAATTTTTTGAATTTTTTATTGTTAAAAAAGATTTGTGAATTTATATGTGCACACACAAACACACACGCATACATATATATATATATATATATATATGTATGTACTTGATGAATGAAAAAGTCAATCCTTTATGAATTTATAAAAACAAGTAATAAATAAATTGTATTTGAATTCATGAGAAAATCTTATAACATTTTTTCTGAAATTTTTGAAACATACAAAACATTCTATGGGTGAAAATAATAAATTTTCACATATCAAAAAGCTAATGAGACATGAATTAGTACAATTCATTTCATTTTCATATTGGTCATCAATTTTCTTAACTCGACTAAGAAATTAGTGCGATTTTAAAAAGTTAAAAAATGTAAAAGTTGATTCTTCTTTTCCTATGAAAATATCGTACAAAATATTATCTTATGATGCATAGGTACGCATTTGTGTTGATTTGAAATTCGCCTTAATTATTTTTTTGGTAAAAATTTTTCACGTCAACTTTGTCGTCGGATTCACTAAGTCGACGAAAAAGTGGACAAGTTGAAAAATTATAATTTGTTTATGATTGAAAAGAATTTATAATTTCTTAACTGTATGATTAAGAGATTAAAAGTAAAAAATATGAATTTATCAAACTGAATAATTTATAAATCTTTTAAATTGATCAAATATTTGTATCTCGTTATCCTCTTATTTTCAAAAAGTTACGAAAAGATTGTCAAATGAAAAAAAATACACAAAATACAATATATAAACCCCATTTTAGTTTGATCGCCGACATTTTACCCTGACTAAAAAGTTGGAGAAGTTTTGAAATATAATGAAAAAGTTCTACATTTAGTTTTATATTTACTGTTAAAAATTTACTTATTATGTAGTCTTTATTCGATGTAGGCATCCATTTGAAATTCTCCGCAACTAGTTTTAATTAGGGATCCATGTACGTCGAGTTATTCATCAGGTTAAAATGAGTCGAGACAGTAGAATTTTTATGATTTAAAAGAATTCTGACTTTCTAAAATGTATACATAGTAACGATAAATGGTGAAAACTTTAGAGCTTATAAAATTAAATAATAATATAAAAAATGGAAAAGAAAAACAATTGTTAGTACTTTGTAAGTTTCAAAGAAGACAAAACGGTCAACGACTTAACATAATACAAAAGTACAACGAGTTAACAATTGTTTTGTATTTTGATTTGTAACGTAATTATCATAATATACACTCCATTTTCAGTTTCAGGTAGACTTTCTTGACTAGATTAAAAACTCAAACGATTTTAAAGTTCATTAAACAATTTCAATGTTGAATTTTTTTTTATTGGACATTGAAATTCTTTTATGTGGTCTTGTTAAAAAAATAAATTGGCATTTAAATGTTGATTGAAATTTAAAATTTGCCGCAATATTAAAATATTTTTCCCTTTAGAGGAGTCACTGTCACACTTGTTATATATCTAAAAAAATTGAAAGAATGTTGAAATACCGAGCGGACCACTATGGATAAAGGGAGGACCATCCTCACTGATATTTTTTTTGCGTCTCTGAAATTCTTTTATTGGTTTTAAGTATGATTTGTTGACTTTTTTGTTTTTTTCCCAATTTGATGTTATAGTAATTTTGTTTGGATGACCTGATCGGTTTCTCCTTTTGTAGCATGCCTTGATTTTGATTGAGTGCGCCAACTTGACGAGTGAAGAAGATGTTCCAAAATACGAACCACACATTTCACCCAATTCCTCTAAAGCTACAAGCTTTATTTTATGTATTTATACACATGCTCGTAATGCTGAAGAATGAAGATCATGAAATGCTTGTCCATTAAATTACACTTAAACAGAGCTTCTTAATCCCTGCTTTTCCTCTGTAACCTCCATTGCTGTGTGAAAAAAGCCCTTTGAGATATGGAGATATCAGGGCAAGCTGGACAATACAACGCCAAAATCACTAGCTTTGTGGCTCTGTCATGCGCCATTGCTGCAACTGGTGGACTTATTTTTGGCTATGACCTTGGAATTTCAGGTTACTTTTTTTTTTTTTTTTTGTTTCAATTTCCTTCATTTTGTTTTCTTTGCTTTATTTACCCACAGCTCACAAAAAACTGAATTGGGTTGGTAGGCTGCTGAGAAATATGTGAAAAGAGAATCCCTTTTTACTTTTAGTTCAGTGGAATAGACCAATTTGTCGAAGGAAAGTTTTCTAATCAGCAAAAATGATTTTGCACGATTATGTTCTGATCATGAATGCAACAGTAGCCACACAATTAATACAATGACTGATTTGGATTGATCGTCTTTGTGAAGGTGGAGTGACTTCAATGGGTCACTTTTTGAAGGAATTCTTCCCGGATGTGTACATCAGGATGAAAGGAGATAGCAAGACGAGCAATTACTGTAAATTTGACAGTCAACTGCTGACCTCTTTCACCTCTTCACTCTACATTGCTGGCCTTTTTGCTTCAATCTGTGCTTCATCAGTTACAAGGGCGTTTGGTCGCAGGACATCCATCCTTCTCGGTGGAACTGCATTTCTAGCTGGTTCCGCCATTGGCGGCGCCGCGAATAACGTTGCCATGCTGATCATTGGTCGAGCTTTACTCGGAGTTGGAATTGGCTTCACTAACCAGGTATGGTATTGTTTTGTCAAAATGTCTCTGGTCTTAAAAATCTAATCTTGATCTTATGAATGTTTTTGTTTGTGTAGTCGGTCCCTTTATACCTTTCAGAAATGGCACCACCCAAATACAGAGGAGCTTTCACCAATGGCTTTTCGTTCTGTGTTGGAATTGGAGTTTTAGTGGCCAACCTGATTAACTATGGTACTCAAAAAATCAAAGGTGGTTGGGGATGGCGAGTGTCCTTATCAATGGCTGCTGCACCAGCCATGATTCTAACTTTTGGGGCTCTTTTCCTCCCTGAAACACCCAACAGTCTGATTCAGCGCGGATATAGTCCCGATAAAGTGAAGAAGTTGCTGCAGCAAGTCCGCGGTGTTGATGATATTCAGGCTGAACTGGATGACCTTATCCAAGCCAATGATACTTCAAAAACAATCAAACACCCGTTTAAGGACATTTTAAGAAGGAAATACAGGCCTCAACTCGTAATGGCAATAGCATTGCCATTCTTCCAGCAAGTAACAGGAATCGATGTGATTACCTTCTATGCTCCGGTTCTGTTCAGAACTGTAGGCCTCGGTGAAAGTGCATCGCTTATGTCCGCGGTAGTAACTGGAGTCGTTGGCAGCTTAGCGATCGTCATGACATTGTTGATAGTAGACAAAGTTGGAAGAAAAGTTCTGTTTTTCATTGGGGGCGGCCTGATGTTGGTTTGCCAGTTCCTAATTGGAGGAATCATGGCAGTGAAGCTAGGGGATCATGGGGGGATGAACAATGTATATGCATATTTGGTTTTGATCCTAGTGTGCATCTATGTTGCTGGTTTTGGGTTGTCATGGGGACCATTGGGTTGGTTAGTACCAAGTGAAATCTTTCCCCTGGAGATAAGATCTGCGGCGCAAAGCATTCGAGTTTCTGTGGATTTTGTGTTCATATTCCTCGGTGCGCAGAGTTTCTTAGCCATGTTATGCCACTTTAAGGCTGGAATTTTCTTCTTTTTCGGAGGGTGGGTGATGTTGATGACCGTTTTTGTGTATCTATTACTGCCTGAGACTAAAAACATCCCTATTGAAAAGATGGCCATGATTTGGAGGGAGCATTGGCTTTGGAATAGATTCGTGCTTGATGATGATGATGATTATGAGAAATCCGGACTAAAACAATCCGAAAACAGATCTGCCTAAAGCACTGCTAAATTCTAGCAGATAACTGAAATGTCCATGGCTTTTGTTGTTGTGTAGATTGATGAACTTCAATATTAATCAATGATATATCCATAAGCTCCCGGATTTTCATAGCTATATAATCATCTCTAATGTTTTTATCATGAAAATATCAACTTGAATCCATCGTCCGCCTATCCTTTCTCTCCCGGAATTTTATAGTTGCAATCATCTCTAATATCACTAACAATAATAGTACAACATTCTGATCACAAATTCGACCAATGAGAATGAGAATTGAGAGGTTATTCCATTTAAGTCTACTCATAAGCAAAATTTTAAAAATGTTGCCAATATTGCGGAAACTTGATAATCGTCGACTTTTTTATCTCGACGAAAAAGTCGACAAGAACTTATACAAATGCAATTCACCCAAAAAAAGTTGTCACGGGAAATTATTTTTGCTGATACAACTGTTCATTTAACTACTACTGTATTATCATTAATTAGCATTAGTGGAGCCATTTTGCAAAAGAAAACCAAAATTGTGCCCTGTTTGAGAATCCCTCATGAAATAAAATGTTCTTATAATGAGTTAAGATGATTAACAAATCGAAGAACCAAAGCAAAGATGTCATCTTGTTTTGGTGGATTAGTCTTTAATTTGTTTGGTTTCTGAATAGTTGTAGTATCTTGAAAAGTTTTGGAAAAGCTGGAAGAAAATAGAAAAGAGAAAACTCTTGAACACCCTAATCTTAGTATGCGCTATCTATTTTGAGACTGGGTAATCCTGGAGTTAACGCTAAAAACCTGCAAGTCCAGCGTTCTGTTCTTACGCACATACAACAAATTTTCAGCTCAAGTACTATCAGTCACTTTGACTCTGTAGCACTGGTAATTAATGATAGATTGATAGTGATAGCTAATGAAACAAAAGTAAACAGAAGCCCTTTAAGTCAAAGAAATAACAAGTGATCTTGCTTTTGTCATCTTGATCTGATAGCAATGTTTTGTTTGGGCTGTCCAAATTTCAGTTCCACATGTTTTTATGGTCCAAGAAAGCATGAAATATCATCATCTCAATAACATCAGACACAAGTGGACAGATAGATGACGGTGACTGTTGATCTCCAGCTGCCAAATTGGACTTGCCAAAGAGGAAATTTTAGACTAAACTTCTTTTCATTAGTTCCGTTTCTTCTTCCTCTTTGTGTAGCAAAGTTTGGAGGAAAGCCATGGCCACAGGATTTGGGATCTCTGCTGAAGCTCAGCAGTATAATGGTAGGATCACCTGGTTTGTGGTGCTGTCATCTATGGTAGCTGCAACTGGAGGAATCATCTTTGGTTATGACATTGGGATCTCAGGTCCATTCTCTTGCTGTTTAGCAAATATAGTAGTTTTTGTGTATGTCCTAATCTTCTTTTTTTTTTTTTTTTTCCTTGGTTGTATTAACATTGTTCTGTATAGGTGGAGTAACTTCTATGGAACCATTCTTGAAGAAATTCTTTCCAGAAGTGTTTGATAAAATGAAACATGACTCCAAGATAAGCAACTACTGCAAATTCGACAGCCAACTGCTGACATCCTTCACCTCTTCCCTCTATGTTGCTGGCCTCATTGCTTCTTTCTTTGCTTCGCCAATCACTAGAACCTTTGGCCGGAAGCCGTCAATCCTGATCGGGGGAACTGCATTTCTCACTGGCGCTGCGCTCGGAGGCGCTGCTTATAATGTCTACATGCTAATATTTGGCCGGGTTTTGCTTGGGGTGGGGGTTGGTTTTGCCAATCAGGTATGTAACATAATTTGGACGCTTTGTTCTTTGTTATGCTTTTCTTTTAACTCTTACTTTGCTTTGCTATGTAGTCTGTCCCTTTGTATCTCTCAGAGATGGCGCCGCCTCAATTCAGGGGAGCTTTCAACATTGGATTCCAGTTTTGTGTTGGCATTGGTGTTTTGTCAGCAAACCTAATCAATTATGGGAGTGAAAAAATCAAAGGTGGATGGGGATGGAGAATATCCCTGGCAATGGCTGCTGTACCAGCTACTATTCTCACAGTGGGTTCACTGTTTCTTCCAGAAACTCCAAATAGTCTCATTCAGCATGGAAATTCTGAAGAAAAGGCCAAAAAGATGCTGCAGCGAATCCGGGGCACCACGGAAGTTGAGGCCGAGCTAAATGATCTTGTCAAAGCTAGTGAAATATCAAAGACAGTGAAACACCCTTTCAAAAATCTTCTGCAGAGAAGATATAGACCTCAGTTGGTCATGTCAATCATGATTCCATTCTTCCAGCAGGTTACAGGAATCAATGTTATCTCATTCTATGCTCCCATTCTTTTTCGAACAATCGGATTAGGCGAGAGTGCATCACTAATGTCAGCAGTGGTTACTGGACTAGTCGGCACAAGCCTAACCTTCTTGTCACTGCTGATAGTGGACAAACTCGGCCGAAAAACTCTATTCAACATTGGAGGAATTCAGATGTTTGTTGCACAGATGATGATTGGAGCAATAATGGCGGTTAAGTTGAAGGATCATGGTGGCTTGAGCAAACCATACAGCTACTTGATTTTGATCTTAATCTGCATATACGTCGCGGGTTTCGCCTTGTCATGGGGTCCTTTAGGATGGTTGGTTACTAGTGAAATATTTCCTTTGGAAGTAAGGTCTGCTGCACAGAGTATTAATGTTGCTGTGGGATTTCTGTTCACTTTTCTTGTCGCTCAGACATTCTTAGCCATGCTCTGCCGCTTCAAATCTGGGATATTCTTCTTTTTTGGGGGATGGGTTGCAATAATGACTGCATTTGTGTATCTTTTGTTGCCAGAAACGAAGAATGTTCCCATTGAGAAGATGGAGGTAATTTGGGGAGAGCATTGGTTTTGGAAGAAAATTGTGCAGGTGTAACCAAGATTTTGCATATCCCGCAAAATATACTGGTTTTGGCTTGTCATGGGATCCCAATCCAAATGAAGAAAATGATTTGGAGAGAGTATTTGTGCAAAGGAGATTTGTTACAAATTCTGATAAGTAGTTGCTGATGTCACTATTTTGTGTAATCATCAGAAGTAAGGTAGGAGTAGAGTAGAGTATCTCTTTTTGAGCAAAGGGATATTCACAAAACAGAAATAATTTAGTGAAGAAACCCAAAATTTGTCTGGTTTGAAGTGAATTTTACACTTCATAAAATCCTTTTCATGAAAGAAACATTTTTAGTAGTGTAGCTGATTCCCAAACCCAAAACCCAAAGAAAATTACAAAGTATCTGGAAAATTATTTTTTCACTTAGAACTTCCTAATAATTCAACAAATAAGATTCTTATTTTCAGACGGAAGAGTGATTGGACCATAACCCGGCACGTCTAACTTTCTGCTTTTTATCATTTTAGGAACTCATATATCAAGTTTTCAACACGGCACTTGAGTCAATTGTATTCCAGATCGCTAGGAGTATAGTAATTGGTGTGACCTTTAACAGATAAATCAAGATGATTAGTGATCCTCCATTGAGAAAAAGAAGTAACAGAGTGATCCTACTTTTGTCATCATCTTTTGATACCAACGTTTTGTGTTGTGATGTCCAGAATTCAGTTCCACGTATTATTATATATATATTTTCCTAGACAAGGAAGCATGAACTACAAAACATCGGACACGAAAGTGCATATTTTTAGTCAACAGTAATTTGTTGATTTCCAGTTGCCAAATTAGACCCGCTTCAGCAACCAAAAAAATAAATAAAAAATTCCAAAAGGTATCTCCTTTCATCAGACCTCCCTTTCTCCAATCTCTTCTTTTCACTAGAAGGAAGCCATGGAAACTGGATTCGGGACGTCTAATGGGAGGATTACCTGGTTTGTGGCGCTGTCATCAATGGTAGCTGCAACTGGCGGAATTATGTTTGGTTACGACATTGGAATGTCAGGTTCATTTCTCTTGCAAGCAAAATTATAGTCTCTGTGTAGTGCTCTAACTCACCATCATAAGGATTTTCAGTTTTATGCATAGTGCAGAAAGGATTACTACTATTAACGTTGTTCTGTTTAGGTGGAGTAACTTCTATGGAACCATTTTTGAAGAAATTCTTCCCAGAAGTTTACAATCAAATGAAAGATGACTCCAACATAAGCAACTACTGCAAATTCGAAAGCCAACTTCTCACATTCTTCACCTCTTCCTTTTATCTTGCTGGCCTCATTGCTTCTCTCATTGCTTCTTCAATCACTCGAATCTTTGGTCGGAAGACATCAATCCTCATCGGAGGAACTGCAAATCTAACTGGTGCTGTATTCGGAAGCTCAGCTTATAATGTCCGCATGCTAATCCTTGGCCGGGTTTTGCTTGGCTTTGGTGTTGGTTTTGCCACCCAGGTTTAACATACTTCACCTTTCCATGAGTTTGGGGGGCACATCATTTGGCCATTTTGGTTTTCTTACTTCTGCTTTTTTGCTTCTTCGCAGTCTGTCCCTTTGTATCTCTCAGAAATGGCGCCGCCTCGATTCAGGGGTGCTTTCGGTTTTGGCTTCCAGTTTTGTTTTGGAATCGGTGTTTTGTCAGCGAACCTAATCAATTATGGCACGGTAAAGATCAAAGCTGAATGGGGCTGGAGAATATCCCTGGCTCTGGCTGCCGTACCAGCTACCGTTCTTACTTTGGGGGCACTTTTCCTTCCAGAAACTCCCAATAGTCTGATTGAGCATCCTAATGGTCATGAAAAGGCCGAAAGGATGCTGCGAAAAATCCGAGGTACCACTGAAGTGGAAGCAGAACTAAATGATCTGATCAAAGCTAGTGAAATCTCAAAGACAGTAAAAAACTCTTTCAGGATTCTTCTGCTTAAGAAATACAGGCCTCAATTGGTAATGGCAATCACGATCCTGTTCTTCCAGCAGGTAACGGGAATAAATGTCATCACATTCTATGTACCAATTCTTTTTCGGACACTCGGTTCAGGAGACAGTCAAGGTCTTTTGTCAGCAGTGATTATTGGACTTGTAAGCACAAACCTGAACTTCTTATCCCTATTAATAGTTGATAAACTCGGCCGAAAATCGCTGTTTAACATTGGAGGAATCCAGATGTTTGTTACAGTAATGATGATTGGAGCAATAATGGGAGCTAAGTTGGAGGATGAGGGCGGCCTGAGCAAATCATACAGCTTTTTTATTTTGATCTTAATCTGCATGTACATTGCGGGTTTCGCCTTATCATGGGGTCCTTTAGGATGGTTGGTTACTAGTGAAATATTTGCTTTGGAAATTAGGTCTGCTGCACAGAGTATTGCTGTGGCAATGGGATTTCTCACTGTTTTTGTTATTGGTCAGACATTTTTAGTCACTCTCTGCCACTTCAAATCCGGGATATTCTTCTTTTCCGGGGGATGGGTTGCAATAATGACTGGGTTCGTGAACATTTTTCTGCCCGAAACCAAGAACATTCCCATTGAGAAGATGGAGATCATATGGAGACAACACTGGTTCTGGAAGAAATTTGTACAAATGTAACCAATATGTTTTGCATTTCCCAATATCTTTTTCTTTCTGTTGTCCCTTCTTGTGGGTGTGAAAAATGCGGTAACATTTTCAGACAAATGGCTGTGTGAACTGTGAAGTTGAAATCATCAGCCGGATAGGCCTGTTTATTTTGATACACTTTGCCTAGAAAGTTTCAGCTAGAGATAATGACACCAGAATGTCCCCAGATGAGCCAAAACGATTTTGAAACTCCATGTTTATTACTCACTATCATTATTAAAACTATTTAATGATATGTTATATTGTTTTCCCTCAACAAAAATCATTTGAAATCTGGAGATGCTTAGTAGTATATTAAATAGATTTAACTAATTCTAAAAAAAAAAAAATCATTCTAACATCTATAAACAATGGCAAATTGGCGACTTTTTTCTGTTTCAACCTATTGTCACTGTCAATCCTTCCAAAAGAAAAAAAAAAAGAAATAAATTAAAAAAAAAAAACACAAGTCAAAAGATCAACGATTAAAATGTCAAATATACCTGGAAAATTTTATATATATATATATATATATTAAAAAAAAAAAGTAGCAGCACATAAATATGTACGTAGATTTTTTTAAACCGCCAAAGGCTCTATAGCGGTTATATCCGTTGGGAACTTGGCGGCGAGCCCCGGAATTGCCTGCCGCTGTTAAATCTGTTATAAGTGCACATTTAGCGGTAAACTCGAATGACTAATTACTGTAGATTTTTTCAGGTTAGTAGTATTTGACAAGTAAACTATCCACGTGTCAGTAATCTGTCGGCTATCCCCGAAAGACCCCTCCATCGTTGACCGGTGCTAAGATTCTCTCCATAATTTCCGATACGGTTGACACTGCTTTCCCTTTTTAATTTTGTTTTCTCTCTCCTCTTAATGATCTCTCTCCCCATTTAGTAACTTTTTTTTTCTTTTCCTTTCATCCAGTTTAATTCGTATCCAGTTCAGCATCCTAACGGCTCGGACCAGAGTTCGGAGAAGGTAATTTTCAAAAACGCTAAAACCCTATCTATCTTGAATGTGTTGATTTCAGTTTTTCTTTTTCAAATCTGATGCGTGATTTCTTCCTTCTCGCTGGATAAATTTGTGTCTGGAAATTTTACTTTTTGTGGTGTAGTCAATTTTCTATTTCGCATATATGTAATTTTTATTTTGCGAAGAAAAGTAATCTTTGATCGACCTCGGATTGCTCGTGTCCTTGAATATTTTCTATCATCATTGCTATCGTTTCTTCCTAATAGGATTCCTGTGAGTCGGATATGATCTCGTGGAAAAAGATTGTTTCTACGGTCTTCTTTTTCTTTTCTTGGTATGATTTTCAAGATAATCATCCAGCATAAAAAGATGTTTCCCGAAGAGTTTCAATTTCTGATATCTTCAATTTTTTATTTTTTTTTTATTTTTTGATTTAATCAAAGGTCAAAATTCTGATATGCTTTTGGTTCTATTTGCATGTCTGTTCCCTTAGCAGGTAGAGTTTCATTGTTTGTGATTATAGGCTTCAACTAAATGCCGTCAGTAGTTTCCCCTCAGTGGCAGGAGAAAGCTAGTGGTTTCTTTCAATCCTCAGGTGATTTGCGGCGAATTTTATCTTGATTTTGCTCTAGGTGCTTTGGTATTGATTTTGGGGTGTGTTTAGGTGATTTTGATTTCTTCAACTGATCAAGCCTTTTGAAAGTAGGTGTCAAGCTTAGAGAAGCTGGTCAATCTGCAGGAATATTCTTGGAGGAGGTCGCCAAGGATGCGAAAGGTAACGTCGCAGATGTCGCAGAAAAAGTTGGATCCACCGTCAAAAGTAGGTGGTCATTTCTACAGCAGCCATCAACTAGACATGCCATGCAAGAGCGTCTTATTACTGCTGCTGCCACCACGAGCATGTTTCTGAGGAAGGGGTTTTCTGAGACTAAAGATAAAGTTACCATAGGAAAGACCAAGGTTGAAGAGGTAGTGAAGCTTTCGGTGACTTAGCGTACATCTCAGTTGCAATATTAGTAGTATTTTGGTAATTCTTAATTTCTCAATAATTAGGGCTGCAATTCATTCTTCTGATGGGAGTGCACACAAGGCATGTAAATTACTTTGCTGCTATCTTCATGTTAGGAAAATAGAAATTCTGAAGTCTGTGTTACCGAAGCAGAGTTTTTCTATCTACATCAGAGGCTTATGAAAATGAACACTCAAATATTTTGAGAATCATGTTTTTGAAAGAATAAAATAGTATTCGGAGTGTTTGGTGTTCAAGACTTACTGGGTGTTGTAATTATATGTTCAGGTAGCAAAGAAGACAGCACAGAAGAGCAAGACTCTTCTAAGTGACATTGAACGCTGGCAGAAGGTATCATTGCTTTTCATGGGGAGTAATGTTCTTGTTTATACCTTGCAAGTTTTTATAAATTTAACTTTACTCCTTATTTTTCTGCAGGGTGTTGCAAGTACCGACGGTAATCCCAAAACTAGTTTCCATAATAGGTTAACTGTTTTTGAGGTTCTTTTATGTGGAAAAGCATGAATTATCCACCGGATACATGCTTGTTGCTCTGTTGGCCCTGACGGATAATTATGCGCTTTTGAATGTTGTTGTATTGTTCCTTTTTGTTTCCTGACGTTTTTCATCAAATTACCTTCTTGTAACCGGTTTCTGCTTGAATCTCCCATCACAATCATTGGCGAATTAAACCTTTTAGATGCTAGGTTGTTCTTTAGCTTGTATTTACATATGCCTTATGTAATTGTGGCATTAAAGCAGATTTTCTACCTCGTGGATTATGACCTGCTCTTTATTTGTTAGGTTTTGTTTTGAGTATTCAGTTTACCCTAGCCAAAATTGTGAAACCGCTTTTACATCTAATAACAGTGTTTGGAGTTCCAATTCAAGCAACTGTTCAGCGCCAAGAGTCGACAAGGCCCATTCCTCATATATTGGTCAAATGTGCTGACTTTCTTGTGTTGTCAGGTAACATAGTACAGGAAAAGATACTGAAATAAGACAGTGATTATACTGAAATAAGACAGTGATGCCTTATAGTTTACATCTTCTAATCCTTGGTTTGTTAGGAATGAACTCTCAATACCTGTTCAAATCTGAAGGGGATAGAAAGGTTGTTCAGCACTTAGTATCATTATATAATCAAGGTTTGTCATGTTCAATATATCTTTTTTAACTTTTTAATTTTCTTCATTTGTTCACTTAGCTGTATAATCTCCATTTAAAAACAGATCTGAATGCTTCGCTACCTGAGGGTGTCAACCCGATTGATGTTGCTGCTCTCATGAAGTGTTATCTTGCATGCTTGCCCGAGCCGTTGACTACATTCGAGCTGTATAACGAACTCAAAAGTGCTCGTTCCAGCATAGTAGTAATGAGAAATGTTCTGAAACGGCTACCAACTGTGAATTACATGACACTGGAATTGGTAACCGCAGTTCTACTTCGTGTTAGCCAGAAGTCTCTACTTAACAAGGTATGTGGCTCTCTCTTGTGTAACATCTCCGTCTCATGCACGTGAACAAATATTTGCATGTTTATATAACTGGGGTCGTAGATTTCAGGTTTCTAGTTTATTTCTTCAATCTAGAGGTTACTTTATTTCAGGAGTTAATGAGAATTTTCAGGAAAATTATCGTAGTTGAGTAGCTGCACATCCATTCCGTTGAGCCTTTACAACTGATGGAGCTAGAAAAATTTAGTGCCAAACAAGAATCATTTATGTTCTAAACGAAGTGTGCAACTCTAATTTTTCAAAGGCTTTGGTTGCCATTCATTGTCTAGATATGAAAAGGGTTTTTGGAATTTAGTAATGTACTAAATTCTAAGTTTGTTTTAATGCTAGATATTGCGGAGTTTGAAATTGGTAAGTACTAAAATTTCAAGTAAAAAATTCTGCCCTAACAAGTGTGGTGATTACTCAATAAATGTGTAGATGGATGGTAGAAGCCTCGCCATGGAACTTGCTCCTGTCATCATGTGGCCACAAGGACAGAGACCAGAACATTATATACAATTCTCCAATCAATCAGGCAAATTTCAATCCAAATCTGGAAGGGATACTGTACAAGGCTACAGTAATACATGGGACATGCTTGAAGGTGATTTGATTTTACTCTTAAGAGTTTGTGTTGAACATGTAGTTGCTTGCCTTCTATGCATGTTTATGTGAGTACTGAGGAATTCATATTGGCTTGCATGACTACCAAAATATGTACCACATGCACTTGGTTGTCACATATTATTTGCTTGCCATGAACTTTTCGTAACTTTGGAAAGTATCTCATCGGTTCAGTGATCAATTGAATGCTAAAGATTGAGGTCAAAGGGCATTGGACAGAACACATAGGGTGCACAAAATAAGTAGCTTCTTTGGAATTTAATGAGTAGTACATAGTCCTGAGACGTAACATAAATCACTTCTTATCGTCATTTGAGATAACATTATCTCAATAACTTTGTTCATTCGTTGCAGTATTATAATCATAGTGATATAGTGTGTGAAATATTTGATTCATTTTGTCATGTAATGGAAGTCTCAATCTAGTTGGTAGCTTGTTTTGGCAAGTTTGGTCCAGAGTTCGTGGAGTTGTTCCATGTATTAATTAACTCTTATCACAACTGAGACGAGGTTGAAAGTAGGCGGAGCAGGATTACCTAAGTGTCAAGCAAGCATATTTTTACGATAGTGTACATTCAAAAAATCGCACGAATGTGAAAAGGATGAACTGAAAATGCTAATCTCAGGTTCTGATCAAAGGGATATAGGGGGCTTTTATCATATCTGTTGTTATTAACTTTGTGCATCACTCTTTAACTAATTATTAATACTTATACAACATCCCTTGGCCCTGCAGATGAAAACGAGGTGCCAGATGCGTCATCTTTAATTCCATTGGACGATGGGTCACCAGTAGACTATGGGGCTATTGACGTTATTCAATGTTTAATTGAGCAGCACAATGCAATTTTCACTGATGCAAATGAAACCATCTGGTGACGGGGAGAAGTATGTGATGTATATCAAAGATTGATTGAATTGGACATTGAACGAATAAGGTGTTTAGAAGGCATTGCAGAAGTGTTGGCTGATGATTGATTGTACAGAGGATCTTTTGTAATTGGACTTTTGGGCGTGGTTGATTTGTATAGTAAAATTTTGGTTGGCTCATAGGGTAATGGTGTTTATGTCTGTTCTATAGACTCTATATAGTGCTGGTAGTACCTGGAGTTTGAGACTCAAATCTTCCATAATTGACTATCATGCTTGGAGTGTATCTGTCCTTTAGTTGGTTTAGGTTGAATTCTCAATTCTCATTACCTGTTCAAGTTTGAAGGAGACTGAAAGGTTTTTCGGTGCTGAGTGTCATTGTAATCGAGAAAAATACCTTGTGTTCATATTTGTGATGATTTTATGTCTGCATCCCTTCAATTGTTTAACAAAAAATGTCTTTCAAAACACATACCTCCTTTGCCTGAAAGTGTCAACCCAGTTGATGTTGCTATTCCTCTGAAGTGCTTATCTTGCCTGGGCCTGGGGGTTGGTGGATATGAGAATTTTGTTTCACCAAAAAGAATGCTTTTATTTATGTTCTCTTGTTCTTTCTTTGGCTAATTTCTTTGTTTCATGGCTTGATTCGTATGTCTTTTCATTCGGCTGCACTTTGTTGCTGGAGTAACAATCGTATCAAAGCTCAGTGGTCGTATTTCTTTTATGGATTATCATTCCATTCATTGTTTTATTTTGGAAAATGATATTAATAGTGACAAATACTCCCTCCGTCCCATAATTATTGTCCACTTTGCCTAAAAAATTTTGTCCCAAAATTATTGTCCAATTTGACTTTTTATGGATCAAGTTACACATTTGTCCTTAGTAAAAAAACATTATCCATAAAATCTTAGTGGTCAAACAATTACTTATGTAGGGGTATATCTGGTTATTTAAGGTAAAATATAATTAAGTTTGATTAAAAATAAAATCTTTCATTTTAGTAAAACTGGACAATAATTATGGGACGGAGGGAGTATATACTAAAAAGATATAGTGATTTAGTTGGCCCTTATTTTGGTGACACTTTACCGTAGAACTTCTATTTTTTTCTTATTAAATTTCTATTTTTGTCTTTGTACACATCAGCCACTATTAGTTTTCATTATGAGTGTTTAGTGTCTATGTTTTATTTTAATTAAAGGAAAATGATATATGAAAATGATATATATAGTGAATAAAATATAGTGACAAAACATAGTGACTGATGTGGATTAATTATGGTTCTTAATTTTTTTCTACATGTTGAAATTTTATTTTTTTTAAAAAATTACATTTTTACCTTAATTAATAACTAGACATGTTTAATAAGTGTGTGGTGTATTTGCCTTTTTATTTGTTACTATCCAAATTCACTATAATTTTTTACTATATGTATGATTGCTCATAATTAAATAACTCAATTTGATATATTACTTTCGTTCCAAAGTCAATGTTCATTTTTATTTGAGACTCACAGTATTCAACAAACTCATAAAATATGACTGGAGAGAGCAAAATAAAAACTTTAAACGACACAGAGTAAACAGTACTTTTATACTATTACATTTATAATGGCAGCGATTGAAGTTCAATTGACCAATTAGCAGCAGCCTGAGCCTAGATAACATATAACTGCTGCCGGATTTGCAGGTCCCCGTCTCAACTGACAATCCTCGTCGATGAGCCGAGCAGATTCGGAGAGTGATCAAACCAACAAGTCCGGCCAAGTTTTCATGACTTAGATTCTCATCAGATTCGAAGAACTCAGTCGTGTTGAAGCGGGATGAAGACTCTATTTCTCCTCACTCTACTCCTTTCCTCGGTAATACCCCCTTCTATAGATTATACTTATTTTCTCTATCTTGAATTTGTGCACTCTACTGATTTTTTTTTTTTTCTTTTTTGGGGGCATTAGTTTTCCTACAATGAATTTTCTGTTCTTTTCTATATTGATTACCTTGTAGTTTACATATGTTAAAAGTAGCTAATGCTGCTGCAATCTGGTGTCTGGTTCTCTTTATGTTGGCTTCTCTGTTTCATTTGACTGATTCACTGTTTAATCTATTCTTCCATGAAGGCATTTGGGATTCAGCCTGAGAAATCTGGGAAATATCCTTTAGTTGTGAGCACCTGGCCTTTCAAGGAAGCTGTTAGAGCTGCCTGGAAGAGAGTCAGTAGTGGCTCCTCTGCTGTGGATGCTGTCGTCGAAGGTTGTTCTGCTTGTGAGGAACTTCAATGTGATGGTACAGGTGGGACTGTGGACTCATTGTGCGCTTATCATAGATTTTAGCCATGTCTTTAAAGTGGCTTGGTATGGGTATAAATAAAAGTTTCCTGTCAGAAGCTCTATATTTTTGCACTGCAACGCCGATATTATCGAATGTGTTTAAGTTGCGTATAACCTTTTGCAAATGGCTTTAAGATAGTGAGTATTGTGTTCCTATATTAGCATGCAGCTCACTGAGATTGAGTTGATAAAATGTCTGCTTCGCACCTTCTATGTTATGAGTTCAATTGATTCTAAACTTTATCCGAGTGGCACACCATTTTCAAGTTTTAGTACCACAACATTCATCTTTATGCTAGTTGATGTCCTTGCTTTTTATTTAATTGTGGTCGTTGTTTGTATCTCCAGTTGGTCCTGGTGGAAGTCCTGATGAGAATGGAGAAACTACCATTGACGCAATGATCATGGACGGGGTGAGAACCATTTAGCTCGTCCTTCATATCCTAACAAGCTCTGTTTTTCTCTATATAATCATTATGATTTTGCATTCGCTAAGACATGCCTAGGTGACAATGGAAGTTGGGGCTGTTGCTGCGATGAGATATGTAAAAGATGGCATCAAGGCTGCAAAATTAGTAATGAGGCACACTAAGCATACTATGCTTGTTGGAGAGCAAGCCTCAGTTTTTGCCATTTCGATGGGTCTTCCAGGGCCAACAAACCTTAGCTCTGCTGAATCATTAGAGAAGTGGACTAAGTGGAAAGAGGATGATTGCCAACCTAATTTCAGAAAAGATGTCTTTCCTGCTAATCATTGTGGGCCTTACCATCCAAATTCTGATGCGGGCTCAGGAAAGATGGCATGCTCTATGGTTAACATGGTTGGTTCAAATGAGTTGGGGTCATTTGTCAATCGCCACAACCATGATACAATTGCAATGGCTGTCATTGATCATGTAAATTCTTGTTCAACCGTACTTTCTATTCTTCTAAGTCATTTTTTTCATATTAAATTTGGTATCCATGTTTAGATGGGTCACATTGCTGCTGGTACATCAACTAATGGAGCCACCTTTAAGATTCCTGGCAGGTGATTCAATACATTAACATTATGAAGCTGAAGCTATTCTCTTTATTTTTGTGTTGATATCTGTGTATTGATCAGTTCCAGAATGATCTTCTTTATTCGTTTAGTGTTTAATTTTGAAAATAAAATGCCAGCAGTTAAAGTCGCTACTTTTATCGGTTGTTCCCTAAGGTACATAAGTACTTAGTTGAATCATGAATGAAGTCAACATCTAGTTCATGTATCCTTTCCTTTTTCTTTTTGCCGAGACTGGAATCAAGTTTAGGCTTTTGTATCATGTATCATTATTTGTGGCCATTATACTAGGTCTTGCAGTCTTTTGACTCTTGCCAGCCTCCATTCTGAGGTAGTAACATGGTTGCTATCATGTTGCTTTGACATAGAGTGGGCGATGGGCCTATTGCTGGATCATCTGCCTATGCTGATGCTGAGGTTGGAGCCTGTGGTGCGACTGGGGATGGAGATATCATGATGCGCTTTCTTCCTTGGTAATCTCTGATTGAGTAGTCTTGACTTTTTGACTTCTTGGATCTCATTTCCGCTGTATTGTATCTAAATTATCAGTACAACTTCATTGAATAATTCTGGATATATCATTGAATAAGTTATTGTGTAGTCTTCTTGGTGCTTGAGTTTTAATGCTTGCTAAGAGTCCGAGAGATGATTGAATCGCAAATGTTACAACATGTATCAAAGTAGTTGTGAATCAAACATTTTCAAATATGTAAAAAACTTGTGATATTGACTGTGTGCTGCAGCTACCAAGTTGTGGAGAATATGAGGCTAGGAATGCAACCAAAGCTTGCTGCTGAGGATTCAATATCAAGAATCGCGAGGAAGTATCCTGACTTTGTTGGAGCTGTTTTTGCATTGAATAAGGAAGGTGTTCATGCAGGCGCCTGCCATGGCTGGACTTTTCAGTACTCGGTAAGAAGCAGTGGAATGAATGATGTGGAGGTTTTTACAGTGGTGCCTTCAAACTAACAATAGTATACCTGTCGTAACAAGTGGTGAGACGCAGCAATTACTTATGCGGATTTTTAAGCGCATTTCTTATTGCCGTCGTGGCCTGTAATGATAATTTGGTTGGATAGGAGATACAATTTACTTTATAGTGTTGAAAACATACTTATAAATACCCAGTATTGATTCCTAATTCATTTGATGTTTGTCTGAGGTTTGTGCGTGTATATATGCTCTTTGGGACCCTCCGGTTTGTTTAGTGTTAATTTGTGAAACAACTATTATTTTGAACTAATACTTAAGAATGTAGGTAAACTCTTTTTGTCCTGAAATTCATAAACTACTAGTCTGATAGAATGAAAATTGTTATACCCTAAATGGCTAAATTTACAAATCATAATACCAAACGGAACGTCATGACTCATGATTATCAACTGGTTAGGCCATCTTTTAGAACATAAGGGAGTGGATAGTAAAGCCAAAAATGATCAAATCAAGTAAAAATACGATCATACGAAACTATCTTCCCGCCGTTTGCCACCGGTTTTGTCGGTTAGGCTGCTTTGCGTTGCGCGTGAGTCAGCATGACGAAAGGCGCTACTCAAAAAAGCTTTGATCTCAGCCCAGCCAACGCCTTTATCTCCTCTTCTGGGAAGCGCTGAATTAATTGAGCATCAAACTAACGCTTTCAGGAGGTACAAAAAAAAAACGGAAAATTGAGAAAATCACCCTGCAAATTACTAATATTGAATGAATGATTTGGACAATTGAAGTCTGATTATTATAAAAACGATGTAGCAAAAGGGGTTAAGAGAGTTAAGACTTTAAAAAGTCTTGAGATTAGAAGATGTGTTTGGCTTGATGAATGTCAACTGTTGATTCTTCTTCCTTCCTTTTCGGTCGATCTTTCCTTTTTCCTTTTTCTCTCTTTTTTTTTTTTTTTTTTCCGTCTGTTAAATGGCCGCCCCTCCTCTTTTCTCTCCCTTCTGCTCAAAGATTTAAATTCAGAAGACTAAAATGGTTTCCTTTTGAACGCTAAAATCTAGTGTTTTACAATCTTGGCTTCCATAACTAAAGGGATTGACAATCTTTTTTTTTTCCTCTGTCATCCCTTTACGAAATTCCAATTTTGGATTTTTTTTTTTTTCATGTTTTGAGGGGTTAAGTTTCCCTATGCTACAATTGATACAGTAAAAATTGCAAATTGATTTATTAGGAAGGTAATCATCAAGATACTGCACCAATGGAAGGTGAAAGTTTTGGTTTGAGTTCAATTTTCTACCTAGATAGCTTTGGCCAGGTTAATCTTACCTTTAATTCCGATCAGCTGTCCTGGAAATCGGTTGATTCCGGAGATGAAGTAAGCTTTCTTCAGAACCCTGTTAGAAGTTCATGTCCTCTTTCTTTCTTTTTTTTTTTTTTTTTGAAAAAGAATTATACTCCAACTTTCTGAATTAAGCTTTGTTGATCATCCACGTGAAAGTTCCCATCTTTTATCTAACCTATTATTTCGTGATGATGGGATTCATGTTTGTTTCGAGCTGATGATATTGAATTGCAAATCCAGTCATTTTCCTCCTGCTTTTCCTTTCGTAGGTTCGTGCATTATGTTTCGTATAGCTGCGGAGGTTGATATTTTACCGTGTTTCATTTTGGGCGTATATATATTTCCATGTAGAATTGCATTCTCCGAACCCATAATGCGTAGAAGCATATTCACCGAAAGTACAGACAGAACTTGCTTGACGGCATTTAGCTGCTTTTTGTCCTGTATGATGATTGATAATTGATTTTCTTTTTCTTTTTCTCTATTAGCTGCCTTTGCGTGATTTTGGCTCTTTCCCAATTTGGGAAAAAGATGAATTTGTGCCTTAGAACAATTATTTTTTATGGTGGCTTCGGATAACTTATAATTGCACCGGAGGTGACATTCAAGAGATACTATTATCGGTTTTAATTCTTCCGCTGGTGCTATCTCTCCTATTTCTTTCATGTTGTAGAAGTGCTAAAATACTATATTCTATTCATCTTTAAAGAAAGCTACTAAGAAGTTATTGTTATAAATTCTTCGGCATCTCAGTTGACACGGAATCTCTGTATGAATTTATATTGTTCTAATTTTTTTCTTGCTGAAATCTCGCCCTCGCCAATACATGCTCATATGCCTTGTGGTCTACTAGCTTACTTTGTCTTGTTTGGTTACCATGCGTTCTTCTTATTTTAAGTGCTTAAACGCTGCCTGTTATTTTTCCTATACGAATCTTCTTTTCCCTCTTCCTAGTTGAATCTGTATGATCTCTAGAATATCATGTTATTTGTGAAACTTAGGTTTGAGATTGTGGATTTCACATATTTATCCTGATTTTCCCCATGCTTTTGTGGTATTACCAGCATGGATCATCTTGTTGTGGGCTCATTTTACGTCCTGATTCTTCAATTAGGATCTCTGACATATATGCGGTTGAGTTTGTGGACCTCGGTATGCTATATGAATCTACTCTTGCGAATGGTGCTGGGGGGTGCCTCTTAGGGTCTCCTTCTGAGGTTATTATTTTCACCTTCATTCTTATTGTTTTTGCTTGTCCAATTTACCATAAATCAGTCAATGGAAAGGTCAGTTATATTATCTTTTGCAGATGTACTGTTTCAAAGTGCACAGTGCGAAGAAGTCTAAGACCTACCCTTCTATTTTGACTCCATCAGTTCATACTTTCCGTCATGTAGATTTGATGACATGCCAAACTTGGGTTAACAGAATAAATGCGTCTCTTAACAGGGAAAACGACCGGCCTAAGAACCTTTTGGTATGTTAAAGTAGTATGGTCAGTTAACTTTTCTGCCAATATCATTTCCTTATTAGGAGACTTATGAAAATCTAGTGGTAACTTCTCTTCCATACTTTTAATTTCTGATTGACTAGGTTTTTGTTCATCCGAGAAGTGGGAAAGGAAATGGACGTAGAACTTGGGAAGGTGTGGCTCCTATATTTTATCAAGCTAATATCAAGGCTGAAGTGAGTTATTAGCTTCTTTTTGTTATCCATTAATACAAACAAAAATTTCATGGGTTTATCAAATTGTTTTTCGCTCTTTATATGTTTGTAAAACCCTATTCACTTTAAATCCTTTCTGGGTTATTTTTTTTGGCGGAATGTGATTACTCCTTAAACCAATTAGATGGAGAATCTGGAATCAGAACTTGAGAACCAGGATGCCAATACTTGTGAATAGTTATCCTGACACCGTCTGATTCTCGTTGTTTAATTATGTCCATTCCCTACACGTGATTCTCTGGGTGCTGGAAGTGATCTGGCATTTGGATAACATTTTTTACTGCTATTCTGTAACGATCTGAACTCTGAAGTTGCATTCAGTTTGGAGAAGTACATTGATAACTGGATGAAAATGCATGTTGCTCGCATATCCTGTTTGTACTGAAGAATAAAAATGGCACAATACGTCCTTTCACTAGTCACTTTCACTCTTCCTAAAAATGGTAATAATGAGCACCAGAGTTCAATAGAAGCATCATAGGCAGTTAACTACTAGTTACCCTTTAGACAACGCAGTTTCTTCAACTTATTTGTTGGTCTTCACATTCTAGATTCTTCAAAGTCGTTTCCAACTTTCCTATCAGGTCATTGTCACTGAGAGGGCAGGACATGCTTTTAACATTATGGCTTCCACTGCAGACAAGGAGCTGAATTCATATGACGGTGTCATTGCCGTTGTAAGTCATTGTTTCTTTTTCTAGTCGATGGATTTAGAGTTTATTCAGATAACAAATTTCAATTATCTGATTAAACTCTGAATCCTCATTGTTGTAAGATGGCATATTTTAGCATAAGCACACTCCTTTTGTTGTAATAAACTGACAGACACCCATAATTACTGATCTTGTTATTTTGGGTTTTATGTTTCTCAGGGTGGTGACGGGTTATTTAATGAACTCCTGAATGGACTTCTTCTGACTAGGCATAAAGTTCCATATCCTTCACGACCTGCAGATTCTAGAGAATCTGTTGAAAATGATGACAATTTGCCAGCTTCCGAGGCATGTGAAGTTATTGTGGAGCCTTCTGATCCTACCGAAGATTATTCCCCTCTTTTGATGAGTGCAGAACATAATTCAATTCGTGTTCAAAACCTCCGTATGTTGATAATTGCAAAATCTCCTCATACCTCTTACAGTATGTCAACCATAATAACTTTGAAGATACTTAATTCAAATGTTTGGAAGTTGCAGGGTCTGAAGATGATTCTTGCCTCATAGGTTAGTAATGTAAAAAGAATATTTAAGATCTTCCTCATAGATCTTTCTTTTAAATGCAAATGTTTTGAAGATGATTATGTTTTGTTTGACTAATGCTGGATGTTGCTTTGAGCAGAGCATGAAAGCGAGTTTTCTATTCCACATGAGCGGTTTAGATTTGGGATTATTCCAGCAGGATCCACTGATGCCACGGTGATATGGTATTTCCTTTACCATTCCCCCAATTCCCTCTCTGAGGGCTCCCCCAACCCCCAATAAATTTACCTTTAGATAGAATGTCTTGAGACTTGAGAATCATCAATTAGATGGTGCTGGCTTCCAAGGCTATTCTTTAACATTCATGCCTCTATCAGTTGTGTGAAAGTGGGGTTAGTTGTTTGTGTAGACAGCTTTGTTATCAAAGCTCTCGTATTTTGTTAGGGGGGTTTTGGCAAAGGAATGAATTTCTCAAGCCAGTGTCCAGTTCAATAGATTATTAAACAGAGTTTCAAACAGCCAATCCCGTAATCTCATTTTTGTGTGTTTTTTCCCCTGGTTTCTTTACTGTTCAAAGTAAGGATGCTTGTTCTTAATGACTTTTGCAGCACAACTGGGGCTCGAGATCCTGTAACTTCTGCTTTGCAAATTGTCCTTGGTAAAAGGTTGAGCCTTGATATAGCACAAGTTGTACGGTGGAAAGCAACATCTATGTCAAAGGATGAACCTTATGTGCGCTATGCAGCGAATTTTGCAGGGTAATCTCTCTTTTCTTTTGTGTTTGATTGACTGTATTTTTGTTTTATCTGTTCTTTATCTAATATCATTGAGGGGTCAGCTCCTTTCACCCCCGAAGATTTGTAGACAATTGTTCCCTTAAGTTTGTATTACTCGTCTTGCTTTTAGTTTTGGTGGTCTGGCTGTGTTCTGAGGATTCTGTGGTTATATCCTTGTAAACTGAATTTCCTGCAGAGTCATGGCTCCTGATGGTTTTCTCAACCGTTGACTGGTGGCTGACTTTACGAATCTAATTGATGATTTAATTTGAAAAATCCTCTACTTCTTCCTTGAAGAGTTTTAGGACTGAGTCTGTTTGATTGGAAGTTTTCGCTTCACTACTTTGCACAGAACCTCCTGCATTATATTTCTTAAGATCTGTCAATTTAATGCTAATTGATTTGTACGATTTAATCTCTTGATGAAAACTACCGTATTCTTTTCCATCTAGCTAGTCCTGTTCACCTCCGGTTTTAGAGTGATTAAGGTTCTAACTTTTATGTGGGTTAAGGTGATTGCTTCCAGATTTGTGTACCTTATCTTCAATTGATCGAAGTTACTGTTCCTAAATGCATGTCATTCTAGTCTATTGATTCCACTTTAGGCTATTCCACTTTGTACTTACTTTTTTCATGGTCCTTCGGCTATAACAGATTAGTGGGTTTAAACAGAATCATCTTTATATTCGTATGCATGTATTATAAAGTGTTATGTTTGTGAATCATGCCACGGAAGAATGAGCTTAAATCTAATGATATGTTTATGAATCATGCCACTGAAGAATGAGCTTTAATCTAATGCTTTTTCTAATATTAAGCTTGTAAGAAAATATTACTTTTGCAGATATGGATTTTATGGGGATGTAGTTACAGAGAGTGAGAAATACCGTTGGATGGGTCCAAAGCGATACGATTACGCAGGTACAAAGGTGTTTCTCCAACACAGGTATGTTCAGCTGCAGGCTTTTTTTTTCACTCTGGTACCTGTGAACAGTTGATCTTAGCTTGTAAAATCCTTTTTTCCTGTTATTGCTTTCCCCTCAGGTCATATGAGGCAGAAATTGCTTATCTTGAGGTTGAACCAGAGAAAGGCAATTTTTGTCCTGAAAGAGGCCCTTGGTCCAGCAAGGTGAAAGCAATGATAGGTCTATCAAAGGAAGCTGAGAAATCTACTTGTCTTGCCAATTGCAAAGTTTGTAATAAGAAGCCAGTTTGCTCACCATCAAGATCTGCTAACATGGGTCCATACTCAAAGGCTTTACGATGGAAGAAGTCCAAAGGCCGTTTTCTTAGTGTTGGTGCTGCAGTTATATCCTGCCGAAATGAAAAGGCGCCTGATGGTCTAGTAGCCGATGCACACCTTTCAGATGGTTTCCTTCATCTTATACTGGTCAGAAACTGTCCTCGTGCGCTGTATTTTTGGTAATTAATTGGATTTCCTTTCTCAAATCTCAATCACATTTGAAGACGGGTGCAAATCTCCCTGTTCTGGATATCTCATCAAACTCTTCTGACATCTATATAATGCATTCCTGCAGCCACCTGTCCCAGCTGGCAGTAAAGGGTGGTAAACCCTTGGAGTTTCAGTTTGTCGAACACCACAAAGTACATCTCTTTTCAAATAATTTCCTTCCATGTTTCTTAAAACCACATAAAAGCTTACCTTTTTCATCTGTCGATGTGTAGACCCCTGCGTTCATGTTCACTGCTATAGGCAAGGAAAGCGTTTGGAATGTGGATGGTGAGATTCTCAAAGGACATCAACTTTCAGCCCAAGTTTTTCGAGGCCTTGTCAGTTTATTTGCTTCTGGTCCTGAAGCCTAGTAAAATGCACTGTGTAAGGCACTTTTGTAACTCAGTACCTGTAGCATATCAGTGTTGTAATCTGATTCTGTATAAATATGTAACATAGCTTCCACTTGAGGTTCCAATTTTGCTCTCTTGTTAATGTGAAGTTTCATGATTCAAGTAAGCCAACTGGGTATTTATGCGAATAATCTTGATTTTTCAGTTATCTGCTAAAAGGGGCTGTTTTAAGGTTTCTAGTTTCTACATACCGGTATCTGTGCTTATGAGTTCCCGTGAACAAATGAACATCCGGGATCATATTCATTCTTCAAGATTAGTAATACCCAGTTTGTTCGTTGTTTCATCTTTATTCTTAATTCACCGCTCGATTCATTAAGACTCTCTAGCTGACGTAATTGTAAGATCTTTTTATATATCACCCGTTTTTTATGCTGGCTTTTATCACTCTCCGTTATGAAATTCTCAGAAAGTACCGAAACTGAGTCACGCCGTATAATTTGGAGGCCTTTTGTTGTTTTTAGTTTTTACTCGATTGCAACACTTTACATGGATGTTGACTCGCTTAATAACGACAGCAAACGAGAGTTTCATAAATGTTGGGATTTCAGGAGATGTAGGATACAAACTATAAAGGGAGGATTGAATGCCCCTCTGACCCAGAAATTGGTCCCGGGATAGTGCTCTCAGGTGACCACAAGAAGAAAGTTCGAACACCTTAGATACAAGAAATGGGTTGGAAACAATGAGGGGACCAAAGTATCAGGGTGTTGGACTCAGCCACCAACTCCGAGGGGGTCTGGAAAAGGTTAATCAACTCGAGTTTCCTAGACATTTCCCACTAAATGGTCCTTTTTATCCTGAGATTTAAAATATTAGCAAATCGTCCAGCTAGGCAAAGCAGTAGTACTACATGTGAACTTTAATGTCTTTAGCATTGGAGTGAGCCCCTCTCAGATTGCCCTTCCTTACTCCTAAATCCTCCTCAAATCTGCAGGCTGAGTACTGATATTGTTTTTTCATGGGTTTTCTGTTTGTCTTTGGTGAGTTATGGAATTCTATCTGTGTTGAACTTCCATATAAGAATCTAATGAGTGTTTGAATGTTTTGATCGAATGGACTTCAGCTGTTTGTGCAATGACCAATTAACATGACTTTTTGACATGCTACTATTGCATAGAAGCTTTTTGTTGTGGGATTTCGAAGTGCTTGTTGTGTAGGATTGATCAATAATGAAGACCTCCCGGAGTTTCCAAATCATTCCTGCAATTGCGAATGCCTGCAGGTACTATCAGTCCCTGCCACCAGTGGCGAAGAGCTATGCACTGGTCTGTTTTATGACCACAGCTGCGGCTCATGTGGAACTTTACAATACCCGGACAATAGCCCTTTACTATTCAGATGTTTTCAGAAGATTTCAGGTACATTCCAACACATACAAGTAGAAATGAAGTTTGAGACTCTCATTTTTCTCATGTCTATCTCCTTTTCTTTTACTGCTTTGGAGTTGTCAACTTCCTAGTATTTCAGGTCTGGAGGCTTGTCACTAACTTCTTTTTTCTCGGGGGATTTTCATTACCATTTGCATTTCGGATCCTTGCAATGTAAGCACTGCTCAGTTTCGTTTGTCCATTTGTGGGTTGTTAGTAAGTGCAGTTCTAACCAGAATCATTGTTAAATGGCAGACTTTATTATGGAGCTGCCTTGGAGGGAGGTCCATTCGACAAAAGGACTGCCGATTATATCTGGATGTACATAGTTGGAGGGAGTTCAGTTCTAGTACGTACAGTAATTTCTGGAACTGATGCCTATCTTAGTTTGGTTTCAGTTTCATTTTAGCAATAATGATGATCTCATGAGGCTAATACAAACAACTATTAGGTGATGGCAATCATTCCATTCATGTGGGCACCATTTAATGGATCAGCTATTGTTTTTATGATCCTATACGTCTGGAGCAGGGAGAATCCAGATGCCAGGGTTAAAATGAAAGGCCTTTTCCAGATTAAGGTATGCCACTAACTTCAACCTAACAGTCTTAAGTACCACTTCTCTGCTGAAGATCACTATAAACTACGAGCAAGTCTGAATGTCCAGTTTCATTGCCTATAAATACTAGAGTTTCTGAATTTTGAAGCAATAATGTATGAATACTGAAAGACACCTGATGAGGTGTGCAGGGACTACTCTTGCCATGGGTGACACTGGGAATCGATACAGTCTTTGGATATCCATGGATGCCGGGTATTCAAGGGATCGCGGCAGGACACATTTACTTCTGCACTGTGCTTCTTCCCTTCTCCACTGGGAGTTACTACTTCAAGACTCCTCATTGGGTGTATCCTTCTTTTCATTATGTGTTTGATTTAATCTTGAATTTTAATTTGTCACATGAACAATCCCTAGGAATCAACTAGTTTATATTTTACATGTTTTGAGGCAAGTGTTGCAGAAGGCTACATTGTGGAATAAACGTATATTAGCTGCAGTGTTCCTTGATCATTTTACAGTCACAATATGGTTGAATCTTGGGCCGAGGCTAACCAAACCAATGCTCCAGCAAAGCAAGATCCTGATGCTGAAGTAGTTTTTCGATACAGAAGCTATCGGCCAGGCGGGAGCGGGAGCGGGAGCAGTCGAGCCTCAGCTAGGCCAGAAAGTAGCAGCTCTTCTTCACAGGTGCCAGAAACAACACAGCCAACCAGGACTATTGTTACTCCTAGTAAAGCTTTCCGTGGCAAGAGTCGCCGTCTTCTAGTTGGAAGATAATGAAGCCCACATTGTTGTGCTTTCAAATTCGCAGAAAAGTTGTGGATTGTTTTTGCAGTGAAGGAATCATCATTCTTTGGCCTAATTGATTGAGCATTTGTGACTCTGAATTTCATGAAGATGTGAATCATATATTCGATTGTAACACCCGTTTGACATTCACAAATCTCTATATTATTATTAATAACATTGATTTCCCATTCAGAATAGTAACAGGGTTATTTGAATATCCATATTATTGTAGTCTGTTAAAAAAAAGTCAATTATTTGAGCAGAGAAAGAACCAGTTCGGTGGCCCGTGGGTAGGGTTTTTTTTTTTAGCCCCAAATCAAAAAAGGCGCAGATGGCCGGATTCGGCTCGCTGCCACCGCCGTCTCCGCCGTTCCCTTTGGCAAAGAAACAGAAGTCCTCAATTAACGACGTTAACGACGATATACTCTACCTGATATTTGCCTCTCTAGACGTTTTGGAGCTCGTTGGCTGCTCTGCCGTTTGTAAATCATGGGGTTCATTGTTTGAAAGATTCAATTTGCTGCTATCAAAGCTTTATAACCCGCAGTTAATTGAGCAATTGGCCATGGAACGGCACAGATCGTCGTTGGTGGGGGGCTCTGCTAGCGTGTTTCAGTGGATAGGCCATTCTTCAATGGTAAGTCGATGCCGAATGCAGAACGGAACGATTCTTACTGGTGTCGGTGACTAGCTGCTGCGTCTCTGGTCCGTTGAAAATTACAAGTGCTTGGATGAATACATTCTTCCCTTTAATTCCCCTCTGATTGATTTCCATTACGATGTGAATAACGTCGTTGGTTTGGTCGGAACTCGGATATGCATATGGACGCGCACAGGGAACAAAAGAAACGTGTTTTCGTCTCGTGATGGAATGTTTTCCGGGGGATTGTGCTTTGGCTATGACGAGTCCAGATTCGTCACCGTCACTGGGTCGGCCCACTACTTGGCCTTAGGGTCAAGACCGTCCCGATGTGACGGTCTATTATTGTTAACCCTAGTAGAAATCGGATTTCTCCCAAGTCTATAAATAGGGACCTACGCTAAAGGTACGCAATCTGAACTATCATATCAACACATACATAACCCTATTTTCTAACTTAAGATTCGGAGTGTCTACCCTCGGGAGATGCCCGAGGCTCTGTTTTGCAGGAAACCCTGGTCGGAGGAGTTCTGTTTTGCAGGAAACCCTAGTCGGAGTTTCACCTTACACCGGCGGTACAATTCTGGGTATCGTCAGGCTACATGGATACTGAGGCTGTGGTTGGCTGTCAGGATGGGAATGCTCGGGTTTTCGACATATACAGCAGGCGTTGTTGCCGAGTCATGAAAGTGCAGTCTGTACCAGTGACTTGCTTATCTCTCAATGAAGGTCAACTGCTCATGTGTGGTTCATCTTTTGGAGCTATTTCAATCTCAGATTTTTCATCTGATCGACCAGGAATGATGTTGGTGTCGAAGAGTTTGGCGGAAATAAAGACGCTGTGTTTCAACCCTGGCTCCACTCCAAGTTGCTGGTTGCTGGATCAACTGATGGGCACTCATCTTGTTGGGATATAAGGGCGTCGCGTAGACTCTGGGAAACCCGTGTGTTCCAATGTCGTTTATTCTATGAATCTCAGGAGGAACAAGGACACGTCAGTGCTAGTTGTTGGTGGAATAGATGGTGTTTTGAGAATCCTTGATCAGAATACCGGTGAAGTGTTATCCAGATGCATCGTGGATGAGAGTAACCGTTCATCTGTTCAATTAAAGGGCGGTGGGGGTCATCAGGTCATTGAAAAGAAGGCCGTGAGAAGGCTACAGAAAGATGAGCGCCTTGATCTTATGTCTGTAGCTTCTCGGCCATCTATTACTTGCTTGGCTGTAGGAATGGAGAAGGTTGTGACAATGAATAAGGATAAATGCATCAGGATGTGGAAATTCTTGAACTAATATTTTGCAAAATGATTTTCTTTTGCCTTATGTGGTTTGTCCAAACCTTCGATTCGTTACTAGTGGCTTGCATAATTGCTTTGATGAATTCTGCTCGAAGCATATTACATATCTGCAATACTGCTTGAGATTTGTAACATTTGAAGAATATTTGACATAATCCCCCTGGTGACTTATATAACCTCTTTTGTTTAGTGCTTTAGACAGAAAAGGTTACAAACAACTGATTGCATTTTGTTATATTATTGATCTGTCAGGGCATTCCAATACATCATGCCTGCTGCTATTCCTGCTGTGGTTTTCCTGTGTTGAGAGTCATTCATAATTTCATATTCTTGTTGGAAGCTATAGTGCTTTGTTTTTGCGATCCATACCGCCTTTATGAGTTGCGGGAAACCTGCTTAATGAAGTGGTTTGATCCTGAAACTGAAACTTCATGTTCCTGTTTCCCCTATTGTAGGCATAAACACATTCCCTCTTTTGTAAACATGGAACTTTTGTAAACCAGCGAGGTCCTTGAATGCTGCTTCTATTGTGATTAACAATTTAACATAAACCTATTCAATTGCTAGTAACAAGAAATTCTTGTAGCTCGGTTAATCTATTGTTTTATATGATGCAGTTTATTACATGTTAGAAGTGGATTTTATTCGACCTTTTGATTCTTTGATTACATCTCAAAAAGAAGGAAAAATTTACTCTTCTGTCCCATTTTACAATAACAGATCCAGCTATTAAAATCGGATACTGCAAAATGACCTATCATCAAATCAATTACATCTTACAGGACCAAAATCACAATTAAAACAAAGTTTAGGTACCGGAATCGCTAGTTTCCTCATAGAGCCACAGCCCCACGTAATGGCATAAAGGCCCCTTTTTGATTATTTGCAAATAAGTCCCTTTTTATTTTTCAACAAAGGTGCACCACAAGAACTAGTCCGGCGGTGGTGGGTAGGGTTTGTTCCCCCTCAATCGGAAAGAGCGACGATGGAGGCTTCGACTTCCAGATTGGGCTTCAAGCCGCCACCGCCGTCGCCGCCGAAACCGAAGAAGAAACGTAAAACTACAATCCTCGCCCTTAATCACGATCTTCTCTGCATAATATTCGCCTCTCTGGACCTGGTCCAGCTCGTCCGCTGCTCAGCTGTCTGCAAATCATGGACCTCAGTGATTGACAAACTCAAGTTGCTGCAACTAAAATTCCATAATCAGCAAGTTATGGGTTCGGTCAGTAGTCTTCCCGAAACATCTATTTCCGCAGGAAAATCGTTGAACTTTCAGATGGAGCAGCTGGCTATGGAACGGCACAGATTCTCATTGCGTGAAGGCCCGGCTAATGTTTTTCAGTGGAAAGGCCATTCTGTTGGGGTAAGTCGATGCCGAATGAAGACGGGAATGATTCTTACCGGTGTGGGTGACAAGTTGTTGCGGCTCTGGTCTGCGGAAAGCTACAAGTGCTTGGATGAATACAGGCTTCCTGATAAAGCCCCTTTGATTGATTTTGATTTTGATGAGAATAAGGTCGTTGGTTTGGTTGGAACTCGCATATGTATATGGACACGCACAGGGACAAGAAACATTTTTTCCTCGCGTGATGGTATGTTTACAAGGGGGCTCTGCTTATGCTACATGGATCCAGAGGCTATGGTTGGCTGTGAAGATGGGAAAGTTCGCGTCTTTGATATGTACAGTAGGAGATGTTCCCAAATTATTAAGATGCATGCTGGATCAGTGACTTGCTTGTCTCTTACTGATGATCAATTGCTCATTAGTGGTTCATCTCTTGGAGGTATTTCATTATCAGATCTTTCATCTGATCAACAAGTGATGACATTGAAGTCGAATAGTTCTTCAGGTGTAAAGACCATGTGTTTGAACCCTCGTTCCAATTTACTGTTTGCTGGTTCAACAGATGGACATTTATCCTGTTGGGATATTAGGTTAACACGTAGTAGACTCTGGGAGACGCGCTTGAGTTCCAACGTCCTTTATTCAATCAATCACATGAGGAATGACACATCAACAATAGTTGCTGGTGGGATAGATGGTGTTCTGAGAATTGTTGATCAGGATACAGGGGAAGTTTTATCCAGATGCGTTATGGATGATAGTAGCCGTGTAGTATCCAGTCAATTAAGGGGAGGTGGGAGTCATCAAGTCACTGAAAAGAAGGCGGTGAGAAGGCTCTCGGATGATGAGCGCATTTACCTTATGTCTGCAGCTCCCAGGCCACCTATTACATGTTTATCTGTAGGAATGCAGAAGGTTGTGACGATGAATAATGACAAATGTGTTAGGGTGTGGAAATTTTCTCAGTAAGTTTTGTTGGAGTGTTTCTTGATTTGCCATTGGTTTTTTGTCCAAATTATCCACCATTAGCGGCTTTCTCTGTTGAACTCTGCAGGAGGCTCAGTACATATCTGCAAGAGGTTAGTAAATCTGAGAAATTTATTCTTCCCCATTGAACCTTTTTGTGAAATGCTTTAGACTGAAAAGATATAGAGTGATTGCATTTATGTCTTTAAATGACAATACCTTGATTTGGTATTTCCTTGTGCAGTGTTATTGCTTATTAACTACATTGTCGATTTGGTGAATGTCTTGAGAGTCATCCACATTCTTATTGGAGGATTCAAATGCTATTCTTCATGGCGCATGCCCCTTTTATAAGTTTGGTTGTGCAAACGCTGTGTTAATCATTTTTGTAGTGAGGCACAGGAAATGAAAGACTCTGGTAATGAACGGCAAGCCTCCTTATAATGTCAAGATCCAAGTACATATCCGCTGTCCACAAATAGACTCGATCTTGCAACCAAAAATTCGCGTATTTGTTGTTTTTCCCATGTTGCAGGCACAAACACATTTCCTCTCTTCCCTGCCATTTGTTAGGAAAAACATATTTGAATAATGGAACTTGTGTGGTATCTGTGACTCTGTGATGCCTGATTAATTGGCAAGGTCCCTGATATTTATTCTAGCTTCATTGCAAGCCATTTTGTGGAGTTAGAGAATTGCATTAGTCATCAAGCTAAAACTAATCGTTTGCCTGTAAAAACTAAAAAGAAATCCATTGATCTTTTGTTTATTTCCCTTAGGTCCAGAGGCAGAAGTCGTCTCTCTTGAGGTTGAACCGGGGAAGATACCAAGTTTTGGTCCAGAAAGAGATCCTTGTTGGTTTAGGAAGCTGGAAGCAATAATGGCATCAAGGCTAGCCGACAAACCAACTTCTTCTCAATTGTGAAGTGTATAATAAGAAACCAATGCACGCACCTTCAAGATCTGCTAACCCCACCCCCTCAATACTCAGAAGTTGTAAGATGAAAGAAGTCTGAAGGGCGTTTTATAAGTGTTAGTGCAGCTGTTGTCCTGTGGAATATTTTACTTCATCAAATTTAGTACTCTATTTGGGCAGAGAACTTTTTAGTGTCAATTGTATCTGGAAAATGGAGATGATGGATGATCGTCGATTGATTATTCTGATAGTAAAACGGTTGCGTGCCCACCGCGGGATTTGAACACCTCTTTGGTTAATTAATGGATAGCTCTCTATCAGTAGTTCATTAATACAACTTCAATTGTGATTGATAGTTGATACTATGTGAGGTGTAGTAGAATGAGATGTTGGATGCTCTTAGTTTTGGTGTTTTCGTGTTTGGTAAGGTCAACCAAACGAATTATTATTATTATTATTAGTAGTAGTAGTAGTTTATTAGTTTTTATTATATTCTCTGTAATGCAAGAATAGTGTGGGATGACCGTAGCTTGAAGCAGCAGCTGATGCTAATGGATTTGCTAGCAATAATGCTCTCAGTAAGGGACAACCAACCTCAGTTTGAAGAATAATTAACCCCAAAAACAAAAAGAATCCAAAAGACACCAATTTTAAAAAGAATATAATCTTACACTATAATTCTATCCTACTACATCTGCCGTATCGCACCCGTCTAAGTCCAAGTGTTTAATTTAATCTGCAAAAGAAGACTAAAGGCAGATTTGTTTGTTTATTTACGGGAGGAATGAATGACTGATGAACATTCACCCAATCATGTCATTATGCAAAAGTTGGGTGTGGGATAATTTGAATATTATTATGAAGATGTGGTACATTACATGGAGGGATTTTGATTAAAAGGTCATGGTACAAAATCATGGCTGACATTGTCAAACGGTAGATATTGTTTTGGGTCTTCCCAGATTCTCTATCAATCAAAAAGGGAAGGGGCTTGTGTTGGCCGATAATGATATATGTCTTTATCTTGCACGATTTATGGGTTATTAATTAGGATCGGACCATAAAAGGCCATATAAATTCTCATTCTACGTCTCCGGATAAAATTTGATTTTAAAAATCTTCTCATTCCCATAGTATTTTTGTCACTCACACAAAAACATTAAAGGCTAGTGACAACATTTTAAGTTAGATGAAATTTCCGGTAGACCGGAGCTATCAGACACAAACAGAAATAAAGGATATATGATGATGAATTTGGTTAAGCAGTTTTTGATATTGAGAATTCTGGGCAGCTTCTACTTAAAAGAACAAGATACCAAATTTGCCTTGTTGTGTGGGATCACATGGAAAAATCATGGGTATCCAACGTGAGAAACCGAAGACATTTTGACCTTGTCTGCCCTTTTCTGCCTCATTTCCTTGTAGAAAAGGTAGTAAGACAAAATTCGACCCTACAATTTGCAAACAAAACCAATGATTCATTATTCGATTTAAGAAAGTATGATATTTTGATTCATTCTCACTTTGTCAGATGCAACGTACTTTATCAACCAAGCACCCTCCCTTTTTTATTAAATTTTTTTTTAAATTAATTATTATTATTATTACTCCTGAAAGGAACAATTGGAGCAGAAAACAAGTCGTGATAAATTGATAAACAAATAGCCTAAAATGCCCAAGGCCAAAATACCCAACAGTAGTCAATGAAAGGAGCAATTAAACTACCAACAAACATCCTTTTCTTGATTTTTGTATTCAGTCTCACATAGAAAATTCATCAGAAATACTATGTGTTAACAATCATCAGTTACATTTGACTGAAATTGGGCCGAATCTTGGAGGAGAATATGCGATTACTGAGTAATAATTAGTTAATTACCATGTATCCAAAAAGGGGAAAAACTTTATTACCGGGCTTCAAAAGTTCCATCCATCCATGAATCCAGATGAATGAATGTGAAATGAATCCTGGGGGCAAACTGGACAAGTGGAACCCACATGAACTAAGTTACGCGCACAACATTTAAACGCATGGGGGGAAAACATAGGACGAGTTACACACGTAAGTTGCAACTTTTAAGGTGGTTAAACCAACATGATAATACTAATATGGATGGGAGTGGTACGTTACATGAGTTAAACTTGGTTGGTAAATAATATCTGTTCATCATCCTTTGACCCTCTGATTTTTAACCTTATTTAGTCTCCGAAGTAATATTTTTAAGTCCTTTTGGGTAGGCGTTTAGTCAATGTTTCAAAGATTTTCGAAAATGGGTTCTTTTAGTTATGGAGAGGAGAATTAATGCTTGGGGTTTGCAAGAGCATTTCATTCTGTATTCTACTGCTATCTTCTTGTTGGGCTCTTTAATTTCTTGTGTTTTGTTTTGATTTTTCTTATTCCAAAGCTTCCTCAGTTTCAACGAAGAAAGTTGGGCTCTTTAATGTTATGAGTTTTGTTTTGATTTTGGTTTGACTTTTGGTAGCAGAATCTGATTCATCAATCCTTCTTTGGATGAAGAACAAACAATTCATAATGTTTCTTCTTCTTCAGGAGATTGATAAATAACTGGTGTAACTGTAAGTAACTCGATCATTCTGTCAGTTCTGACGATTGAGTTCCAGTCCTTGAAACCCGTGAACACTTTTGACTAAAGGTAAAGAGAGCAACCCAGATATCCGGAAGTCTGAATTTTGGGTTATCTTGAGCCATTAATGGCTTCATAAATACTAATTTCAACACAACGAATTTTGGTGTTTATTTTCACATTTCTGAGCGGCCGACGAGGAATCACAATGAGGGGCGGTAGTGAAATAGTCATGGAGGAGGAGAATTTAAGTGAAGCTCAAATCTTGGTGGATTCATCTGCTGTTGTTGTTGGGATTGCAATCAGTGGAACTAAAAAGAGCAAATATGTGATTCGTTGGGCGCTGGAGAAATTCGTTCCAGAAGGAGATGTTTTCTTCAGGTTGATTCATGTTAGGCCTAAGATATCTGTTGTTCCAACACCCAGTAAGTATGAAATGGATTCTTTCATCAATTCCGGTTCTTTTTTTTTTTTTTCCCTTTCTCATGTAAATTGTTTTTCTCCTTCACAGTGGGGAATTATATTCCGATTGCTCGGGTGAGACCAGAAGTGGCAGCAGCTTTTAAGAAGGAAACGGAATGGGAAACAACCAAAATGCTTACCCCTTACCAAAAGTTATGTGCTGTACATAAGGTTGGTTGGATTTCTTTCTTAGCACCTGATTTGGTTTATATGATATACTAAAATGTGATTGAAACCTAATGTTTGACATATACATGACTAATGTAGGTGGAAACTGAAGTTGTTCAGATCGAATCAGATGATGTGGTCAATGCCCTAACAGGGGAGATTTCTAAGCACAACATTAGTAAGCTTGTGATAGGTTCTTCATCTCGTGGGCTGTTTTCCAGGTTTAAAATCTATTCCTTTTTCCTGTTTTTGGTTTGGGTTTCATTTGTTTTTTTTTTTTTTTTCACAAAAAGAATGACAGGGTTTCCCTTCTTCTTTTTTGGTTTGATATCAAGAGGGGGAAATATATCCTCAAAAATTGCAGAATCTGCCCCAAGCTTTTGCACAGTTTATGTTGTTTCAAAAGGAAAGCTGTCATCTGTGCGGCCATCTGATTCAGAATCGAACCTAAGTGCTAAAGATAATCATAGTGATAGTCGTCGTACTACCAGTAACTTGTCAAGTGGAAATTCTAGCTCTCCTTCAGGTACAAGTTTTTCAGTCATAATTTAGACCTTTATGTTATTCCAAGCGAAATTACCTTGTAGGATTGCATCCTATGTACAAGTAATGGTTGCAAAAAGTTTCTTGCTATCCTTTATTTTTATCATTCCACTGTTCTGATTCTCTTCAAAACATAAACAGTTATAGCCTTTGCACTTGCTGCTACATTTTTATGAAATGATTTGTCCCAAAGCATGAATTACCGGCTTTGCTGGCTTTAGAACCAGAAACTTTGCATAATAAAGTTTTGGATGCTTTTCTGCATTTTTGCTCACTCTCATTTGGGCCTTTCTACTATTCTTCAGAATGGACGGATCAAAATACAGATCAGAGTTCAACGGCTTCTTACTCTCATCGTTCTTCCACCACCACCACCTCTCTGGCTTCACTGCCCCTCCAACGGTTTCAAGCTATTTCTACTTTGAACCAAGCCTTAAGTCATAGAAGATTTGATAGCAATGACCTCATCCGTCAAAGAATTCTCTCTGTCGATGATGGTGCAGAATCTTTTCTCAGTACTTCGGATGTTAATGACGTATACACTGCAGCTTCTAGTCTCAGAAGTTTATCACTGGATGAAGTATCAATTGCTGATCAAGCTTCAATGTCGGATTTCACAGATCTTTCATCTGCGAGTCAGGTATTACTCCTACAGTTTGTGCAACTTGGAATCCTGAATATAGAGATATCCCTACAGAAGCTATGTTAGAAATCCTTAAATTTCATTCGCGTGACTGCAAGAATTGCAGTTCAGTGGTGCCTCTTCCGTTTTATAGAGAATTCTACATGCTTCTGGCCTTAAAGAATGTGAAAAACAATCTTAACTTCTGAAAGATACAAGCCCTTGAAAAGCCTTTGCCTCAGCACTCTAGTGACCTTTTTTAATTGTTTATGCAGATCAATATGGACTTTGAGCTAGATAAGTTAAGAATTGAACTCAAACATCTTCGGCAGATGTATGCAATGGCTCAAAGTGAGGCAATCGATGCTTCCAGGAAGGTAAATGATCTTTTGAGATTTGAAATGATAAATGCTTGTTTTAGAGCCAAAACCAGATTAAATTGATCCAAAAAGCCAATAGTGAATTTAAACTCCAAATAGTGCAAAGTTGAATAGAGCAACGCCTCTTCAGTAATAGCAGAAGATTTTCGATATGGAGCTGTAATTGTAGACATTGTCGACAAGGTGTTAACATGCTTCTAAAAATGTTGCAGCTGAATGACCTTAACAAGCGCCGAATGGAAGACAGTATAAAGCTCAAGGAAACCATTCTTCAGGAGGAGGAAGCCAAGAAGTTGGCAGAGTGGGAAAAGCTACAATTTGAGGATGCCAAAAGAGAAGCTGATTATTTGAAGCAATGTGCTGAAAGAGAAGCTGCACAAAAGAGAGAAGCGGAGGCCAAGGCTTTGCATGAAGCTAAAGAAAAAGTAAAACTTGAGAATGCCTTGGTTGGGAATGCGTATCAGTACCAGAAATTTGCTTGGGAAGAAATCAAATCTGCTACTTCATCTTTCTCTGAAAATCTGAAAATAGGAACAGGAGCATATGGAACTGTCTACAAGTGCAGCTTGCATCATACTGCTGCCGCTGTAAAGATTCTGCACGCTGAGGACGCTTACAGAACAAAGCAGTTTCAACAGGAGGTATGAATTTTGAGAAAATTTGATTGGTTCTGTCTTTGCGCAATAACCCGGATTGCATTATTTCAAGATAACCTCAATATTGTTCCAGTCCCAATGGACTTTTTTTTTTTTTTTGGGACAGAGTACATTATTTTGAGCTTGAGTTGTAATGACTGTTAACTCTCGTGTTTTCAGCTTGAAATTTTGAGCAGAATTCGTCATCCCCACTTGCTGATTCTTCTAGGCGCATGCCCTGATCGTGGATGCCTAGTATACGAGTTCATGGACAATGGTAACCTGGAGGAACGATTATTGAGGAAAAATAATTCACCTGCACTTCCTTGGTTTGAGAGGTTTCGGATTGCTTGGGAAATAGCCTCAGCTCTTGCTTTCCTTCATAACTCGAAGCCCAAATCAATCATCCATCGTGATTTAAAACCCTCAAACATATTGCTGGACCATAATTTGGTAAGCAAAATTGGTGATGTTGGCCTTGCCACAATAGTGCAGACAGACATCACTTCTGGATCTAGCTCATATCTGGTTACAGCTCCTGCTGGGACGTTTTGCTACATAGACCCTGAGTACCAAAGGACTGGACTTGTCTCGCCAAAATCAGATGTTTATGCCTTTGGGATGGTAATTTTGCAGTTGCTCACTGCAAAACCACCAATAGGATTAAGTCATTTGATGGAAAACGCTATTGAGAATGACTCTTTAATGGCTGCCTTAGACCAAGATGCTGGTGAATGGCCAATTAAACCAACAAAGGAACTGGCAGTTTTAGCTCTGGCCTGCACAGAGCTTAGGGGCAAAGATAGACCAGATTTGAACGAACAAATTCTACCAGTTTTAAAGAAACTGAAAGAATTTGCTGGTAGAGCTCAAGATTCGGCACCAACTACTGCTCGGGTGCCTCCTACCATATTCATCTGCCCCATTCTGAAGGTATGGATGTTTTGAGAAATCCTGAATTCTATGGACAATCATGCTCTAACTGAAACACAGTTTGCTGGAATGAATTTTAGTTCCCTTTACATCATGCCAACATTGACTCGGAACTAAAATTAAAAATTCGTACAAACTAACTGCTGTCTGAGTAATTTCTAAGTACAAATTTTGTTGCTTCGAAGGTATTTGGTATAGAGAGTTCTCGTCTTTTTCTACTCAATTAACACTTTTTCCAAATTTCTCTCATTACAGGATGTGATGGAGGATCCTTGTGTTGCTGCTGATGGCTATACTTATGACAGGAAGGCCATAGAAGTATGGCTCGAAGATAATGATAAATCCCCCATGACGAACTTACCTCTTCCGCATAAGTACCTTCTCCCAAACTACACTCTTCTTTCTGCAATTATGGAATGGAAGTCAGGAGAGCATTGATCTGTTATAGCTTTCAATGTGTGAGGGTGTGTAACATTCTTAGGAACCTTTCTGGCTGTAAATTGCTTTGTGCGTGCAATTTTAGGAAGGAAAAAAGGATTAGAGTAGGACTACTGAATCATTATGCTGATGTACTCTGATGTATGGATCCCAAAGTCATTGATTAAAGCCAGGCAAGATGTTAAATCCATTCTGCAAGTTTCTCCCCATAGAGCTAATGAGATTCGACATGTGACACTTGTGTCAACCCGGACAAGTCTGCAAGGATACCTAGGTTCTCTTCAGTTTCCAATTTCTTCAAGCTTGCTGACTATCTGCTTCATATCAGGTCTAAGTGATGGTGAAGGAGAACAACAAGCCATGGCTAGTTGAAACATTCTGAATATCCGATCTTCTGTTAATGCCCTCTCATCACTGCTTTGGCCTCGAATTATCTCTGGATGATACAATTCCCTGATTTGATCATCAAGTATTGCAGTCCTAATCGCATTAGGCAAGTGAAAATCCTGATCTGGGGTAGGATTCTCATCAATGGGATCCTTCCCTGTTAACAGTTCAAGTAAGATGACTCCAAAGCCATAAATATCACTCTCTTCGTTGACATCTTTCATCTTTATCAACTCAGGCGCTTTGTATCCCTCAGCGGCCGAAGCTTCAAGCATTTGTTGCGCTGCAGCTGTGTTTAAAAGAAGATGCAGTCCAACGTCTGAAAGAAAAGGTTGATAATGCCGATCAAGCATCACATTCTTCGACTTTATATTTCCATGTATTACAGGCATCTCCAAATCATTGTGAAGATAGCTTAAACCACTAGCAATACCAATGGATACTTTATGTATGATTGGCCATCTGTGAGCCTCACCATTTCCATCTGTGAATAAGTAATACACAGAAATCTTTTACTTGGCACTTGAAACAATACAGAATTTGACAGAAGCGTAAATCGGTAAAACGACCTATGGATTCGAGATTAATTCCATCAATCAAAATAGAAAATACCAATTTCTTAATACCTGAAATCTTATGGATATTAAAAAGTTTATCTCAGCATGTGGAGGGGCATCTTGACTATAACAAATGACAAAAATGCATCTATATCCAGCTAACGAACAACTCAACAATGACAATGAGTTCTCCATTGTTTAGCCAACTACCAAGATTATAATACACAGACGAAAATGAAATTTCCAGTGATACTTTGTCTGGTTGGGAAATTATGAATAATTTATGAGCCATAAAGATTCCATTAAGGAAAAAATTAAAAAAAAAAAACAAGTTATTTTCAGATCCCTAAATAAGACAAGAAACCAAAAAGCAAGGGCCAGATGCGAATAGTCTAAACCGAAGACTTTATGCCACACCAAAGAAGGATCCAGACGCAAAAGCAAAAGGAAAAGGAAAAAGAAGAGAAGATTTCCTGCTCGAATTTTAGTCCAAAAAGAAAGTGAAAGAGGAAAACAAGGTTGCATTGAAGATCAATCTCAGATTACATCTCAAGATTTGCCCCAGAAAAAAAAAAGGGGGTTACATCTTACATCTGTAGACATTAACTATGAAGAAGATGAGAAGCATTAACTTCCATTTACAGCACAATGTAGCCCAGAAAAAAATGTAGCACCTTTTCCATTGTTCCTCAGAATTGAAAATATTGGACTTGAAGATAATGCACAGAGTTTTTGATTGAATCATTACAGACATGAGAATGGAAAAATCAAAGAACCAACGAAAATTAGAAGGAAAAGAGCTACCAAAAAATCAAGTATTGTGAGAGTTTTACCTCGAATGAGTTCAGCCAAGGTGCCCCATGGATAAAATGGATAAACAAGCAGTTTTTCACCTCTTGAGCCTGCATAAAATGCTAGCAGAGGAACCAAATTTGGATGCCTCAAAGACCCAAGCAACTCAACAATTGGCACAACTTCTTTAATCCTCAATGTACAAGTAGGCCTAACAAATCTAAGCAGTGCAAGTGAATTAGAACGCAGCAAATTAGCCCTGTACAAACTCCCATAACTAGATTTCCCTATCACTTCCCCTGGAGCTTCCAGTATATCAAATGCGGTAAGATCTTCAGCACCATGAAACCTAATCAAGTCCTCTTTATCTGTTCCCTCCCGTTCTTTAAACTCGAAATTTGTCTCAATGTCTTTGGAGCCAATTTCTTCTGTCTTTCTTCTGCAACAAGAAGCCATCAGGAACAGAATGATGATGATAACTCCTAATACTGGGAGCCCAACAATTAATGCCAGCTTATGCTTTTGTTTCATTTCTGTGACCAACTGGCGAAAATTCCTTGTCCTTGGAGGGTTTTATTTGTTATGATATGTGAAAAAGATTGGAACTTTACCACTGGGATATACAGGACAAGAAGAAAGATCCAAAGCACGGAAGGCAGAAGTGAAAGTGAAATGTGATTACAAATTACTACAATCACATGGGTTCATTAATATTAACAAGAAAACTGGAAACAGGAACAGATTTCGGAAAATCCCATGAAGATTTTGGAACCACCGGCACAAAAGCAAAAAACAACATCTGCTCTGCAATTGATGATGATGAATGATGATGATGATTGCAACAACAGGGATAGCTGCTGAGCTGAGATAAGCTGAGCAAATGAAAATAATCAGTAGAGAAGAAAAGGGAACAAGAAGTCAATCAGAGTGATGTTTTGGCATAGAAAAAAGGGAAAACGGATGGAAGCATGTGCTGTTTGAGAGTCTGTCAATCTGTCTTGATTGTTGGGATTATAGGGAGGTTTATGCTGCTTGGAATTGAGGGGTGGGCTATACTTCTTATAATCTCTATAGATTCATACATTATTAAAATGGGTTTCTACTACTCTACTCTGTAAGTTACTGTCCAACTGCCATCAATCAACTGAAAAGCTGAGAGAGGAGAGTATTGAGTCTGGAATTTTGGGAATACAAAATTCGCCTAAAACAGTGCTTTGTAGTGGGCAAATACGGTTAGAAGAAAAATAAATAAATAAACCCCAATCATTTGGCAATATTTATAGATTTGGCCTTATTCTCCAACTTTTTGTCTACAGAAAAAAATAATCTGAAACCCCGTAGCATTTAGCCGTTTGCACAGTTTACACAGTTATTATTTCTGGGCCGAGTCGCTGAGGAGTTAGGAACCTGGGTTACATTTATACGCATGCTGAGTAAAGTCAAGTGAAGTATGCATCTTTATAGATCATGAAAACCTTATAGTCCAATGCGAAGTAAAGCGCCTATATATTAAAAAAAAAAAAGGCTATTCTAATTCTATATATATGCAGGTTAATTTTTTGGCCCATTTGTGAAAGTGACTGAAAGGCTCATATTTAGCGGAAAAAAACTTGTGTTTTTTTACTTGAATTATTCCTTGCGACCAATAAATTGAACAATCTAAAGTAGTAGTTAGGAGATCAATATGGTCCAGAGTTATAAAGTGGTCCTCAATCACTTTGCTCTTAAATTTTGCATCTTTCTAAGTTGGAATCGGATCAAACTATGTTGTTATCTTGTCTGGCCTACACCCCCAAAAAAATCCTTTTCAAAAGAAAAGAAAGAAGACGACGATACCACCACCCCGTGACCACTGAATGAAAACAAAATACACTCCTTCATTGGTACATATAACATATGGCAGTAATTTACTGGTACTAAAGCCAACTAGAAATACATCCAAGTTCTTCTTCAGTCTGCTGGTGAGATCTAAATTTGCAATCTTGTTCAGTTGGTTGCCTTTGGCCACCCCATCAGTCCATCACCAAATCAAACTCATGTCTATAATGATTTTCATGCATAATCAAATGGTTAGATCACAAATGTGGCCCCCCTCCCCACCTCATTAAGATGATTATATGCTTAGAATTCTTAGACATGTGGGACCTTGAATTTGTCCACCTCAATCATTTTTCATTACCGTTCAAGTTATGTCTGAGCAGTGATCAAACGAACATGACCATTTTTTTTTTCTTGAGTTTGGGGGTCAAGTTTACAGTCTTACTGTAGTTGAGTACCTTTCTCCTTATACGATCACCAAATGTAGTTAGATTTGCCGATTATAAAAAGAGAAAATGCAACCTTTCTCCATAATTTTACTAACTCTGATTAGTGTTAAACCCTTTAATGACACGGGTTTGAGTCGCACCAGAAGTTAAGAGAATCACTATTAATTCCGCCCTCTATAATAGAAAGTTGATGCAATTGGAATGAATGGCAAGGAAAATTAGGGAATGTTAGGTAGGTAGGTAGATGGAAACAGGAAGGCAACATGCACTAATTATTGGGATAAGTCAGCGAGGCATCGACATTCCCTTGAATAATCAAACTGCTCTAATTCCATTCTTTTACCACCAACCAATAACTTTAGGTTTCTTCAACCTATAAAAACCATCAAATCAATAATGAGATGAAATACTGCTTTAACTTTATAGTGAACCAAATAAATCCAACCATGTGAACCCACATCTTGACTTCTTATACTCTGTTGATCTTAAGATAACTCACCATTGAATGAAATTTGGTCAGAACTGTCAAATAAAAGAGCTGTGTAATATCTGGCCAGAGAATGAAGAGCGCAGACCAAGAGGGCCAAGGACCTAAATTACCAGCTAAGAAGGGAATTTCCAACTCCTGCTCTAAATGATAGTTGAAAAATAAAACCAATACAGCGAAATAATCTTTATTATCCCAGCAGTAAGTGCACGAGGGAAGTAGTGAAAGTGTTAGAACCATTCTTTTTACTTTCATTTCAAATGTCTAGACTTAAGGATTAAAACAAGAACAGGTTTTTCCTAGTCAATTTCGATATGTACAGTTTACCAATGATACAACGATCAGTAACATTAGGCAAGTATCAGGGAATATAGTACATGGGATTCGGGAGTTTGAAAGACCGAGTGGCAATGGAGGAGCCTAGTAAATCGCTCCACTGGTCACCAGAATTGCCCAGAATACGGTAACCTTCTTTTACCATCTCGTCCCTTTTCTCGGACTTGTACACAGTTGCCTGCTTTTCATGGTCTTCTGAAGATCTGTACAGTTAGAAACAAAAGATTAGTCGAGGTTGGTAACACCATATGCATCTTGGGACAATACCCACTACTCATACCAATGCAAAAAAGCCCATTCTTTTCAACAGAGACAAACCATACCAGCTTAGTTTGAGGGGGGACAAAAAAAAGAGTAAAAAAGCTTGTAAGATGGAGATGGAATAAATGACTGTTATATGATTCTTGAGGTTACCTGGGGTCACATAAGCAACCAGTCATCTAATCAGTCATGAACAACTGTAAGAATGGCCTATGCTTCATAAGTTTGATTTGATGAAAGCGAAACCTCATATTAACTGTCACCCTAACTTCATCACTTAAATTCTGCTTATCTATTTTCGCCATCGTCATATTTATGAATGTCCCCAAAAAGTATGTATTTTTAGACATTTACACATGAAAATCAAATGGAAGTAACATCAAAACTGCAACGTTGATTAGATCTTTGAATTAAATTCATGACTATGCATCTAGAACCACAAATTAATAATGAAGGTAGCAAACCCAGAGGTCATTGAATGAAAGCCAAGGGAAATGACATTTTTCAACAAGATACACTGCAAGATGTATGTTATCTATTTTTAGATCAAACTTCAAAGAGCTTGATATTGATGAAACACACAAGCAGGGGTATCTTTGCAAGACTTCAAATTTATCTCCATGGCAAGCTATAACTAACTTCTACCAAGTGGTGCTACTTCCACTAGAGAATTTAGATTAACAATCAAACTTCACTTGCCAATTTAATATCAATTCTCATTGAACTATTCAAACAGCTGTTATCAGAACGCTGGTAACTAAGTGTCAGATATAAGAGACAATTAAAGAACAACAGAAACGGTAGTGATAGTTGTGTTTCATTGATTATAGTGATTGAAGCACATTTCTGCTTTCATTAAGCTGTTGAAGCAAAAATCTTAAGCCAAGATGTGAAAAAAAGTTGTCCTAGAAAGTTAATACTCCAATTTAATTGATGAGAAGCAAACTGACCTTAGTATGAGCTTTTCCCAATACTCGAATCCAACTTTTATCAAATTCTCCACAGTGACATTCCTATGTGTTTCTCGGCGTCCTGTCAGAAAGAAAACCTTGATTCCCAACTTTAAAACATCTCGATAAAGCTCCAAACTTGAATTAATAGCAGGGGCTATTCCTTCCTCCACCCATTTATCAAACTCCGCATGATCAAAAATCTCCAACCTGAAGAGTTGCACAAAAGGGCGAAATTCCGTACATTAAACCAGACAACTTTCATATTCACATTCATGGAAATATATCAAAGATTATCCATAACAAACTCTGAGAATACATTAGAGAATACACAGACATCTATCTTCATTAATTAAAATTATTACTCCAACGATCATCGATATACAACAAAAGAATAAGGGAAATGGCTGATTCCAAAAGAAGAACATACCCGAAGCCATGGCGAGCATAATAGGGAAGATTGGACAGAAGAGTCTCATCCACATCAAAAACCCAAATGTCTCGTCCATCATCACCCAGTTTCACACTATTGGCGAAGATTTGAGCTTCTTTTGAAACCCTTTCGAGATCATAGTGGTAACCCCTGCCGGTCATATACTCCTCAATATACCCAGCACACTCTGGTGGGATAGTCTTCCATGGATTTAAGTTGTTAGCCTCAGCCGCAAACCTCCAGCTTGTACAATGAAGTCTAATTTCTTCCAACGACTCCTTCAACTGGAACTCATTGTTTTGTGGATACTCAATAATCAAAGGCCTTGGAAAAGCGCGAGAATCATAACCATCATCGGCCAGGCCAGAGGAAACAAACATCAACAGGAAGAAGCAAATTCCAAAAAATCTCATCTTTTATGTCAAAGAAGGGATTTGGAGATATTCCAAACTCCAAAGTCGTGTGTTTTTACAGAAACAGAATTGAATTTTTGGAAATTGGAAGCGAACTGGGGTTTCTATACAGTACTAATTCCACAATTGGTGGAGAAACAAAAACTCGAACGGGGTTTATGCTTTTCTTGGATTTGATGCCGCACACTTGCTAAAAAAACTTGTGCTGTAAACTTTCAATCTGTTCCTTCCTGGGTTTCTCCAAAGGAAAATTGTTAGACTTTCTATTCTGTTCGATTTTTCAGACAGAATTTGTTTGATTATTTTGGCAATTCGGATTCGCTGCGAAGTAAATTAAAAGAAAAAAGAAAAAGGCAATGGTGCTGCTTTGGCGTGCTATGGAAAAGGAAGTCGATTTTGGTCGGTGATGGATGAACACGTGTACGTGTAGATTTGAGATTGGTCCAAATAGGCAAACGTGATGTCAAAGGTTAAAAGCGCGTCGTCTATTTTGTCCGAAGTGGCCCCTACCAAATCAGAATGATCCAATTGGTTGTGTCCGCTTGCGTTTAGATAAATGCTTTTGGGCTGCAAAGGCATAGCTCAAGTCCATTGGGCTATTACCACATTTCTTTCCATCGGGCCTTCTACAAAAAATAAAAGTGCTTTGGGTTGATGGCCATTTCAAAATACTCAGTGTGTGAAAATGATTGTCTTATATAGTATTTATTTGAAACGGATGGAAATAATTTAGGCTATGTTGGTTTTTTCGGTATGTGTTTTTAGGTGTTCTTTTATTAAAAATGTAAAAAAAATGCATTGAAAATGTAAAAAAGTATAATGGAATGAGATAGTCATTATTTAATTATTTTTAAAAAATCATAAAAAAAAAAACCTTCCAAACAGAGCCTAGTAACAAAAATGATTATTTCATTTAAATGATGGGTGGATAGATTTGAAGGGTTAATGTACCCCGCCGGAACCGCGACGGTGTTCAAGTGTTGCATTCGATGCACCAGAAGTGGCTTTCCCAGAGACACTGGCTTCTTTCCGTGTTTTTCTTTTTCCATAGACACCGGATGTTCCACAAGCAATTTTCGGATCAAATTTTAGGTCGTTGATTCTGATCAATGTCGGATGGTTTGCTGATCGTGAAGGTGTAGGTCTGGTCTAGGGGGTTTCAGATCGGAAAACCTTCAATCAAATGTAGTTATTTACAGTTTGGGACTGAATGACACAACATTGAATAAACACTACTAATAAATAGATGGAGTGCTGGAATCAGGGAACATAGTACATAGGATTGGGGAGTTTAAAAGAGCGAATGGCAACGGAGGAGCCCAATAAATCGCTCCACTGATCCCCAGAATTGGCCACAATTCGATACCCTTCTTTCACCATCTCATCTCTCTTCTCTGATTTGTACTCAGTTGCGTGCTTTTCGCCATCCTCTGATGATCTGGACACTCAAAGAGCAAATTGATTAGGCAATTAAGGTCGGTACTCATTTCATCAGTTTACACTCATTTCAAAGAATCCAGGCTGCATTCTTTTTACGAGGAATCAGAACATGCTAATAGTAGGTCAGAATAGAAAGAAATGTCAGGCTTGTGTTTTACATAATTACATCGGTCAGGAAGCAAATAATGGTTATGATAATAAATCTATAGCAAACTCACCTCAGTATAAGCTTGTCCCAATACTTGAATCCAACTTTAATCAAATTGTCCACAGTTACATTCCTATGTCTTTCTCCGCGTCCACTCAGAAAGAAAACCTTAAATCCCAACTTTAAAACCTCTCCATAAAGCTCTAAACTTGAACTAATGGCCGGCGCTGACCCCTCCTCCACCCATTTATCAAACTCCGCAGGATTGAAAACCTCCAACCTGAGAAGTTACACAATATCACAGGTAAAAAGAACTCGCCACTACTGAACCTGAAAAACTTCAATCATATTTTTCAGAGAAATTAACGTAACACGGTTATCCATGACAAACTCTTTACATATTACAGCAGAGTTCACTAGTACTGCTCCAATCACACATCAACCTTGATCAGATTCAATCCAAATACAAATACTCCAGCTAGGACATCAATGCATACTAAAATAAAAGCTAATTAGGCCAAGAAATGAGTTATAATGGAATGGTCCGAAAATCATACCCGTATCCGCGCAGAGCATAATAGGGAAGATTTGAGAGCAGAGTCTCATCCACGTCGAAAATCCAAATGTCTCTTCCATCATCACCCAATTTCACACTATTGGCGAAAACTCGAGCTTCTTTTGAGACCCTTTCAAGATCATACCTATAACCCCTGCCAGTCATATATTCCTCAACATAACCAGCACATTCTGGTGGGATAGTCCTCCATGGACTTAAGTTATTAGTCTCAGCAGCAAACCTCCAACTTGTGCAACATAATCGGAGTTCTTCCAAGGGCTCTTTCATCTCAGATTTGCTGCGATCAGAGGCGTTGGAAAGGTCTGAGAGCCACAATTTTCCATTGCCGGCCATGCTCCAGGAAACAAATATAAAAAGAACATGCAATTTCTTAAAAATGCCATCTATTAAGTCAGAGAAGAACTGCTATCTACATCGGAATGGATTATTTATTTGAAGCTAACTGAAGTCTTCCCAGCAAATTTTCTATCTGTGCCTTTTGACTTTTCAGGAAAATTTAGAAGTGCGGTGGTTAGAAACTAAAAACGAATTTACCAATTTGGATTAGCACCTTTTATCTGTGCCTTTTGACTTTTCAGGTAAAACTTAGGAGTGCGGTGGTTAGAAATTAAAAATGAATTTACCAAGTTGGATTAGCAGCTAAATACTTGCTAGGGAGAATGAACTCAATTTTGGACGGTGATTTACAGGGATGAACCAGCGGCATAAAATACGTGTACCAGTAGACACGAACAAGATTAATCAGAATTGTCTGTCTCCCATTTAGTTGTGTCCTTTTTTTTTGTCAGGTTAATGTCGTTTGTTCATTTTTGCGTAATATAATCTGATCCTTCCCCTGATTTTCAGTTTTGAACCAAAAGCCAAATTCAGTAGTAATGATCAGTCAGCACAAAGCAAATATTGTAGGCATATTGTAGTATTGATTTTGCAAACTTTGTTGATTGAGAAAAGTTTAATTGAAAGAAACTGACCTAAAACTTGAGCATACAGAAAGGAGGAAACTGGAATATATTGAACTACTCCAAATAATCTGGAAAATATGAACTTATCCCTAAAGATAAGCCTCAATCAGCATTTAAAAAACCCAACTAAGCCAAATTTACTAACACTAATGTCAAACACAAGAAAGTGACTCAATGAAGTGATGACCGCAGAAATTGTCAAATCTCAACCTGGTGCTGCCTCTCTCTTCTTCTTCCGCACCATCAACAAAATCGCAGAGCTTGTGGAAAGTTTTGGTCACCAGATTGTAACGAATGGCCTTACCAGGAATCTGCAAAACCACGAAGGCATCCTCCTCTTTTTCTTCCCTAATCACAGCAAGAACTGATAATTGAAAATACTCAAGTCCGTACTCATCCTCATCCTGAATCATTTCAGGAAACATTCTAGCAACTGCTGAGATATCAACCTCGTACTTTGGAAACCACCCAGAATAATCCCTTTTCATTTCATGAATAGTGAACACGGGCTCTACAAGACCGTACACTTCAATGAGATGCAGATGGCCACCGGATTCCCCGAAGAACTCGAGGTCGCCACTCAGGTACTCTGCAGTATATAGTGGTGGCATTTCTCCAAGTCTTTCCTCATCGACGTTGAAGTACAGGAAATTATCGTAGCGCAAATTGCAGAGCCAATTGATTGCACCGTTGCAATAAACCCCATGTTTGAAATCGTGGTCGGCTGGGAATGGCTGTCCTGAAACTCTCCAACAACCATTATCGGATGAGTAGATTTCAATCTGATAAGAACCCGGAACCAAGTCGGCATCCCGGATGCAAACAACTTTGTAGACAGGGGATTTCACCGGATCAAAAGCCAAGCCTACTCCACGAATGCTTCGTCGAGGAGATGGGGTCGGAATTGTTCTGAACTGCTTCGTGGTGGGATTAAAGACATAGTAATTTTGGGAACTTGAACAGAGCAATAGGCCATTGCAAGACTGGAGGATCCTTGTGGACCCTGTGATAGTTGGATCCTTGATAAATTCAAGAGTTGAAAGAGGAGGATTGATTGGATTGTGGGGGTCACAGTGAAGGTATTCCAAAGAGCTTGTATCTTGCAAGAACAAGCCTAACGGTGGTTTGGGATTGTGGCCGTGAAGGATGGCGAACTGTGGGTTGGATATCAAGGAAATCCAGTGCTTGGAGACACTTTTGAACCGTACGAGTGATTTTATGGGGAGGCCTAATAGAATCTGCTGTAAAATGTCATCAATTGAAGCAACAATTTCAGCCGAAGTCGGCTGTTGGGCAGATCTCTTGATCTCGATTACGAAATTCATGGGGATTAGGGATTAGTATTACTTTTTGCTCTGTTAATGAGTTATTGGTTAGCTTGGAATGTACTGTATTCATAGTATTGGATTCTGGTTTTGAAAAGATTGCCCAGCAAGCTTATTTGGGTTTTTTTCTTTTTCTTTTTTTTTTTTTTGAAAAGGGACTTCTACAAATCATTCATTGATTAAGATAGTTTCGAATAGGTAAGCTAGCATCTTCATTTGACTTCAGGGAGGAGCAAGAAGCAGGAAATTTCTGAGTAATTTGACCTCACTTATATCAAAGCTACAATAAACAATACGAATTTAGTCAGTAACTAATCTCAAAGATTGCCCTAAAACCCTAGCCGCCCCTCTCCCCTCTTCCTCCATTGTCCATTCCTCTCACCAACCTACCTAGAAACTCCCCATCTTCCCCTTTATTTTTCTTTATTATTATTATTTTTTCCCCTCAAAAAAAATCCGATGGAAAAAAATGAAGAAATCTAAAGACATAAATGGCACTTTCGTTGATGACGTTTATTCATTTGGTATGCTTGTCAGGCATGATTCGAGAAACTATCTCATTGTTAGATTTATGAGTTTGATTATTAGATTCATTAATTTGAGTTTTCATCGGATGATGATTTCGGAGTAGGATCAGTAACATTCAACAAAGCCCTTAAATCAATGTAGTATTCATTCGATAAGGTTGCCCTAGAGGCTATAGCCGTGAAATGAATTAGCCGGAATATTCTCTGCATCCAAGAGTTGCAGAAGTAGTCCAAGCTTTTCTGAAAACAAAGAAATCATGTTCTGTCCTGTTGTTTTGCGAGCAATGAGCATTATAGCAAAAGGGATTTCTAGGTACGTAGCTATTCTATACACACATTCCTGACATTATTCAATCGAGAAATATTGCCTCAAGCATATTACTTGAAGCATAACAAATAAACATACCTGCCTAATGGTGTACAGATCCTACAAACAGGTGTCCGTATGGTCTACTAGTGTTTTATCACAGGGAGTTGACAATCTCCTCAGAATTTCTGGAACATCTCAATTTCAATCGCAATGATACAAGTCTAGACCTACATTCAAATTTTCCATCTCAGTTATCCATGCTTCCCTGAATATCAGCTCTTTGTGCTTTCCAGCGGAGTAAACATGAAGTTGCCTGAAAATATAGCTTCTTTATCTGTCCAGGACAAAAACAATCGTCCGTCAAAAAGCTACCCTAAGAGCAATATTATTTCAAGTTTTCCCAATTGCGCAATTTCTTTCATGGAGCAGAAGCACATTACGCAAAGCATATGGGTATACCTGTCAGTGAAAGGCAAGTAGATTGAAGACGAACATATCGTGCCATCGCCTGCAGATCAAGAAGGATACTGGCTCAAGGTGTGATCAAATTAACTTTTAATCTTCAAATATGTATGTAAACCACATCGCAAACTATCAGAAGAAAGAAACCGAAGGCCACATTGACCAGTACTGAATAATCATTGCAATGAAGACGACTACCTTGCATCACATAACAAGAAAAAAGCATGGGTACAATTACAACTTTATAGACCCATGACAAAAGTTAACTCTTAAATTGTTCCACCTTCTGAAAAACCAGCATGGACATTGAAATTCCAATCAAAGAGCCCATGGTAGTGCCCTTCCACATCTACCCTTTAGAAGACATATCTAAGGAAAATAGAGAAACAGACTTGCCTGAACTGGGTTCAATGCAACAGAAGGGGGAGCTTTAGATGAACCATCATCAGAGAATACATTCCTGCAACAGAATAATTTCATGTATCAGTTTGCTCCAAGGAATCTCGATATAGGAGTTGCTCATCTCCTGAAATTTTCAAACCATATGACAATTGACCCAATCCCCTAACAATTACGTACTACAATAGGAGACTAAATTACATAATACAATAGGAGACTGGTTATCTACACCGGAGCCTAAACCTGATCCTGCGATTTTACGTACCTCCATATTACGTTCTGTAACTCATCCAGTTTTGCTTCAGGGAGCATGGCAGCATCATAAGCAACAATATTGCCATAAAATATCTTCTCCAAATCCTTCATCCATTTGCTTAGCAGTAAATTGACCTGCAGATTGTCAGAGGAAAAGAAGTGAACAAAAAAAATTCCCAACTTAAATTGAAAGCAGAAAATCAATTATAAAGCAGATAGCAAATCCAACTGTTCTAGAGGCTGTCAAGGGTAAATCTATAAAGTAACAACAATGCTTTTCCCATCTTTCGTTCCAACTCTTTTCACTGGAGAAAGCAAAAAGTGATCATCGTAAAAATGATTCATCAAAGTCCAACAACTGGAACCTAAATCGAATTGGAAGTTCTAGCATCTGCTAGTAGAACAATTTCTGGAGCCAAACAGACAAGATTTAATACCAAAAAGTTTTCTTTAACAACAAAAGGATTCTCAGTGCGTAAAACACCTCAACCATAACTATTTTCTCAGTTTCTGTTCACTACAGTAACTCTCAAAGAGTAATAACAAGGGATAAGCAGGTCAAGACCAAAAAGCAGAACTCTTAGAGCAAAAAGTTATCTAATCATATAAAGTTTTGGTATGGGCAACACCAAGATGAAACAGTGAACTGGATACTCCAATCTTTAAATGGACGTGTAGTATAAGTTACTAACCCCGGCCTTGGAAACTCTCAATTCGACGTCATGATTGTAAACTTCATACAGGTACTGCCCAAGTTCCACTCCTTCGTTACCCTCTTCTTTTAAGCGGCGTAAGACAAGCCACATATGGAGTACGAGCAAGGAGAATGTTGTTTTAAAGGTTTTCTCAATGCTAAATACTGCAGAATATCAAGAAAACTACAAGGTAAGTAAGGAAAAACTCTTGCTATTGATGGAAGGAAACATTTTCAAAATTAACTTACTGAGATTGAAAAAAAAAAAGGCTAAGGCAAACTGACTAACCATCATAGATAGGAGGTCGGTCAGCTTGAGAAACAACACGGCGATAAATCACATTTGCTCCACGGATAGACTTGCTCTGCTTACTATAGAAAAGCATCAATCTAAGGATAAAACGCTTGACACCTTCAAAGTTTGGCTCTTCAATTCTTTGTGACGAGTCAGCAGGCAATGCCAAAGAGTGAGGTGCAGCCCAAAACATCTTATTCAAATTAACCTGCTCAATCAACAAACATGTTAATGTCCATAAGTACGGGTTGATACCTTATTATTAAACTTCCAACAGTAAGAACAAGACGCTCAAGGCAACTTGCAAATTACTAACAACATTCTCCAGCAGAAAGAAAACACCTTGAGAATTCCAAATAATAACGAAAAGGTGATTGCTTTAAAGCCATAATCATGTGGCAAATTACAACCTAAATGAAAACAAGACAGCACAGCACTGACATCAGATCACCCGGGAGAGCAAAATCAGGAAAAGTAGCACTTACATTCGGTTTAGCGGAGGAGGTGTCCTCGACGGGATCAGGCGCAGCGGACGCCGCCGTCGAGGCGGCGGCGTTTGAGTAGTAGTTAACACAAGATGATGGAACATAAAAATGACCATCGACTACGGCAACGTTCCGCCGCGAAATAACACGAACATGATTGGTAGCTGTTCTGCAGCATCTCGCCAGCATTTTTCACTTCTGTCAACTTTCAAAGATCAAATCAAAAAATAACTTTCGGAGACAATGAATCTCTAAATTCAATCGGGAACGAGAAGAAATTGAACTGAAAACTGACCTTTTAAGTATCAATCAGTAGGAACGGCTAAGGTCGCCGAGCTTTAGGCTTGGACCTTGGGGTAAGTTAGGGCAGTGCCGGTGCAAAATGCTATAAATTGATCTTGAAGCAATTCTTGGTTTCGCTGTTCAATTTTCATTCAAATCTTTCCCTTCGTCTTCGTGGCCGCAGGAGGATGATGATTAATAAATATGATGATCAAATCATAACACTAGTATCGTGTCTTCTCCTAAAACCCTTAAACGAAGTTGTCTTACGGTCGGCTACGCCACCTCTCGGGAAATACTCATCTAACGGTTAAAACTGCCCCTGGATCCCATCTGAGGTTACATTTTAAATTTACGACGAATAATCTGGCTCGTCTTGGTTAAATTTTGGAAAAAAATCGGCGAGCTCGTTCGTACTACTACTTCTACTTAAGATGATCATTTTAATTCAACAGAGTCATTTGCAATTATCTTTTATCTACAATCATAATTTTCCCCACCTGTTGAGTATTTTCTTTCTTCAAAGAATCTTCAATTCTATATATCAATAGCTCAATACCAGAGGGAAAATACTCGAGGGAATGTAGAAACGGAGTTCCATTTTTGAATAGGGAGTATACTATATATCTATATGCAACATTGAGTACAGTAACTAAGTAAACTAGGAGAGCATATCATGTTCTCACTACAGAGGAACTACAAAAATGACAACCACAGAGCAGCTACAGCTTCCATCAACTCCTACAACACTGTGGTATTGGTACCTATGTACAACAAACATGATTCGCCAAAATTGGTTCTTTTCTCTGCGGTTGACACCTTTGAAGGAACCCCCCAACTGAAATTTATCAAAGCACGTCAGAGGTAATCTCTGAGATTTTCACCGCTCATAAACTCCATCTGTTTGAGTATTTCTTGTGAAAGAGTTTTCACGGGGCGTTCGACATCCTCAAGCAATTCACCAAGGAATGGAATGGTTTCAGGCAAAAGTACCAAATACTCTTCTTTAAGATTCTCCACCAGGTACTTGACGATTCTCAGACCCAGTATACGGGCTCGAACCATTTCGCTCCTTGTCTGCATCAAAACCTGCAGCGGATTTCATTAAGGAGAGAACATGCTCAATATCTCAAAACTTGATTGAAATGAATCAACTTTGTTAACCCAACCATTTATGATATGCCTTTCTTGATCGGCGGAAATGATGGTATATTCCCAATTTCCTATTCTTTAAATGATACGAGTGACTAGTTAAAAGACATCTCTCTTGAATATTTAACAGAAGGAATTAACTATTATCAATTTCTACCACGGACAGAACAAGATCTTGAGTTGCTTCTCATTAGAAGTCTGAAAAACCGTACAAGAGACTCACCTCATGATTCAAAGGTTTCCAGAGAAGATCTGATCCAGCAGTAACAGCCATCTGGCCAATACAGCTAACAAGTATATTATCAACTTCGTCTACTGATGGAACTTCAGGATGCTGTTGCAAAGAAGGTGGTGGCTCCATGACAAGCTGGGATACTAATGGTTTCAGGAGGATCTACAGGAATAGGAAAAAAACAAAAATAAGATTGAACAGAAAATGCTCATAATTGTACAGTAGAAGAGAAGTGGGTGATGAAAACAAGCAACTCAAAGAAATAAATTTACTAGATTCTGGTGCACTGCTTCGTAAACAGCATCAAAAGGTAATTAAAGAAAAAAAAAATGTTTTACCTGAAAATTAGACGAGTCAAGAAACTTCAGGTTCCCAGTGTCATAAACAAAACACTTCTGCAGTGAGGATATAATTAATGCTCGTAGGTGCCATAATCCAAGAGATTCTTCGCCAATGTCATTCCTCTCGATGCCCCCACGAGACTTCAATTTCTTTTTCTTTGGTGTTAAACCAACTCGTGCATCTTCACAAAGATGCTGAATACATCCATTGAGCAAGTACTTGAAATATGGCACAAATAACGACCTGAAGGAACATTCCACAATTAACAATCAAGTAGACAAAGAGCAAAGAAACTGAGGTCTTTCTACATGTATGGAAGTAGCTGCAATCAAAGTACAACAAATAACATAATCTTCAAAACTGAAACAAAAATCAAGTTAAGTTTTCCAAACAAATCATTGCTTTTCACGGAAGCTACTAAGAGAAATCGCAGCATCATGTCTTCAGGAAACAACTACATAAATGCTTTTTTAAATATGCTTAAATTACAATCTCTATTTATGCATTCCAAAGAGAAAGAGACACTGTTTTATAACTGTTGTTGTTACTATTATCCCAACGCGACAGATCCAATTCAATTGCCAGGAGGCAACAGTTCAAGGGGTGAGCACAAACATTTCTATTCCCATTCTTCAAAAACTCAACTTGGTATGGATTTGTTAAACAAGGCTAAATTCTAGCCATAGAATGTATGAGCGCAGATACACCAATACCAAATTCTCTCACTGGTAATGATGTCATAAGCATTAAGCAACCTATCAACGAAATCATCATTCTGTGCCCCGTGAGACAGCAGTATATAAAGCTACAAAGGCACCAAATTATTCATACAAAAGGATTTAATTAGGAATGAAGGGTAAAATGCATATTGGAGACAGAAACCATGAGAAGTTTGTTGATTTATATAACAATGTGTACAACAACAAAAAGCTTAATGGGAAAACATTCACAGAGCAAGGACCTGGAAAGAAAAGCCACTTCGGGCTTATAATCATAGGCATGCATTACAGCTTATACATCAATCCAGAATTAAATGCTGACATTCAAAAAAGAAAGAAGAAATCTTTGCAAATAGGAGCAATTCACTAACCGATGGGATTCCACAAGTTTATTAACCAGGCCATAGAATGATAGAGAACGGTCAATGCTTTTGCTTCCCTCACTTTGATCCATCCTTGACCACTCAATGCTCTTAACAAAAAGAGGCTTGAACATGGTTTCAGTAAGTTTCATACTCAGACGGACTATAGAATCAATTACTTTCTCCTCCACAACATAAATATCTTTGATAAACTCATTATGCTGACATCGAAGGTCAAGAGCAAGCAAACCCAGATCAAAAATTTGCACATGATAAGCAGCAATAGCAGATCTATCCATAGTTTGAACCATATTTCCTAGCATTTCAAATGTAATAGATACACTCGATCCACCAGATTTGATGGCGCCCGAGTATATCCTTAGCAAAGCAGGCAGAAGAAGCCGAACCTGATCAAGAAAGTAGGGCCAAGATAAAAAATAACAATAATGAATAAAAATAAAAAATAAAATCAGAAATATAATTAAGTATTTAATTTCTTGCCTACTGTGCCTTTTATTTAAGTATGGTACAAGGATGGTCGAAAAATAACCCAAAAGTACTCCACAAAGGAAAAGCATCTAATGAGATATTTAGAGGAGACACTTACAGGAATTTTTGCGGTTATAAGCTTCCGCACAGAATCAGCTCTCAACTTTATCCTTTCATCTGCAGTAGAAGCATAACAAGGATGCAAGACAAGAAGTTGCAGAATATCATCGAGGTATGGGTTTAGGAAACCACCAAGCTTGTCAACAATTGCCTCCAAGGAAATAAGGAGAGACATGGAAATCGACTCCTTCAAATTTCTTGAAGGGACAGAAGACTTTTCAATACTGTTAGAAATGTCTTGTTCAATGGATGTAGAAATTTCCTGTGATTTATCGAACAAAAATTTCATGATACCAGGGAGCTCAGACAAGGCCCTTGGACCAAGTACGTGAATAAAGGCACTCGCTGCTCGAAGGCAGCCGGCAGAAACAGCTGAATCGCTTGGGCTGATGGTTTTACTAAGAGATCGGAGGCACACAGCAAGAACTGGATCATCCAATGGAAATCTCTCAACAAGAGCTTCCAGCGTAGTGACTGCTGAGAGTTTCAATGCAGCACCTCCTTCTAAATCAGGATCATCGATCAACTTTAGTATCTCTAAACATGTATCGTCCAGAGACTTCTTTGCAGTATCATCAAATTGAAGCCACAAACTATTCAGGCTTTTTCCCGACCGACGTCTTTGATTGCTTTTGTCTGTGGCACCACTTTCTTTTGCCGTTTCACAAAGAAGTCCAAGAGCCTGTCCCGCAAAATACAAATTAATATTCCAGAAGCAAAACAGAAGCAAAAATCTACAGAAATAATCCAAGAAATGAGGGAAAAAGTTCTGAACTTCTAAAACATCTAAAGAACTTGCCAGAGCTTCAGCACTAGCAACACATAAAAAGGAAATAAACAAAGGGACTTAAGATAGAGTTGAAAACAAATGCACAAGGACAAGCATGACATTAAAAGTCATAAGTAATCAACTTTATATCTCTTTCTCCAATATAAATTCATCAGATCATTTATTAAAAGAAGCCAAGTGCAAAGAATCATATCAGCATTCTGCCTACTGATGCAAAAACAAAGAAACTATCAGAAATAATTTAAACATCACTGTTTGACATCTAAACTTCTCCTGGTTAGGAAACTAAAAAAAAGATAAGGCAACTCCATAATCCTTTACCTTCTTTCTCACATTTTTATCATCACGCCTCAGCAATTGAAGCATGACTTTGAAATATGACAAGGGTACCAGGCTCCTCACACTAGCCTTCAAGACAACATGCATCAATTCCTTCAGTCCTTTTCTTATGAACAAAGAAACCTCCACAGATTTTTCCCTAACATTCACCCATTGGAAAAGAGAAACAACTTGCTCCATTAAAGCTCCAAGAGTTCCCTGCAGGAAGAACCACGATTCAGGATTAAGGAAAGCAGAGAACTAGATCTACAAGTGACTCAACCATGTGAGATCCAATAAAAACTCCAAACATCATTATTCCAACACTACCAAACCCAAGGAGATAGAGAGCCCATCTAGTCCAACTCAACCAAGCTGCTAAAATCAACAACCAAAAAGGACTTTTTCCCTATATTTTTCTATTAGTAACATTTTCGAGCGATGTTATGACTTATTTTGCTATGTATCACTTCATAACATTACTAGTCAATTAAAGCAGCATATAAACGTACATTCTGATATGTCTTCCAAATAAACGTACTAACAAAAATGACTAGGAATTATTACATATGAAAATCAATCGGAACAGGGATTATGGGTAGTAAGAAGTTTTTCTTCTCGGATAATCACACAGAGGAAAAAAAAGGGGGAAAAAAAAAAGAAAAGGGTAAAATAAGAAAATGTAACTGTGCCTGTAAAAACTAAAGCCAAACATAATGAATTGAAAATTTGTGAAAAAGATAAGACTTTGTTTATAAGAGCAACAGAAAGCTTGAGTCATACAGTAAAAGGCTCAGAGCAAAAGACTTAAACAGAACCCAAAGATCCAGCTGACAATCATAAACATACCTGAATAACATCCGCATCTTCCCCTGATTCAAGCTTGAAAGAAACTTCAGGATCTTGCAGTTTCTCAAGCACGAACTGCATTGCAACTAACAACAGCGTATAATGCTCTTTACTCTGAGGAGCTGTTCTTATTCTCTTGAGCGTCAACACAAGTGAATGAAGACATACAATGCATGAATATTGAGCAGATAATTCCAGGGCAAATATATATTCCCATCGCGTGTTTATTATAGATGTCAATTGTACAGCAGGCTCTTTGTCAGCAGGTGAGAATAGCCCATCCTGTGAGACCAAAGAATAAAAAAGGAGGAACAGGAATGAACTCAAGCCATTACTCTCTCCCAGGTTCCTGCAAAAGAAGTTGTGTCAATAGAAAATATAAATAAACCCCAACCAGAAGAGAGTTTTTGCATTGTACCTCAAGAGACATGTGATAATTGAAAGCTTCTGATGCTGTGGAATTTGTGGTAGTACATCAACAAAGATCTGAAGGAAAAAATAAATAGTCACATCAACATGCGAACAAGCACCAATCATGTTTGCGCATATACAGTCAATATGGTTTCATCACAGATGTATAATACACAATCTCTTTAGTACCTGGAGCATCTTTTCTGTGTCACGAGTCTCTGACAACCAGAATGGAACAACTGCAGATATGACCTCTTCAAACACCCGTAGTGAGTGAGCATCCCACTATAAGAAATGTCTAAATATCAGGTACAGAAGGATAAACTGTAAAAATGCCAAATAGGTCTACATAATACACATATTTCCAACATAAATACAACGGTTGTATTCCTCAAGTAGAGACAGGAGAAAGAGAACCATAAAATCATTGCACAAGCAGCCACTAATACAAACCTTTGAAACAGCTGATTCCCCAATGATATTCAAAATGTCTAGAATGTGGTTCAGAACTTTGTCTGGCATAGTCTTTGCAATGGTAGAGAACAATGAGAGGACGTGATTGCGCGTGACTATATCACTAGACAAACGAGCACATTTAACCAAGAGCTCCAAGTCGAACTTATTTACCATCTCATCCTGCCACCAAACCGAAAAACTGTATGTCAGACAACAAAGGTATAGTTAGGGGTATGCATCAAAGATTATGAAATCGCAATAACCAAAATGACCTTTTCTGCAACATTGCTTAAGGGAGGAGAACAAATATCTTCCAAAATCATTAGTATTGTTTGTTGAATATAAACTTGAGCCCCGGATGCACGGCCTCCAGGTGATGCCTGTACATAATCCTTAGCTTCGTCCATGATAGGGTTCACCCACTCATCATTCATAAAAATAAAGTGAAGAAGCTCAAACAAGGAACCTATCAAAAAAGATCTACAAGACAAAGTTGATTTCAGTACTTAAGTTGCATAAGCTCAAAACTATTTTATTAAAGAACAACATTACTCAAATAAATAAAAACAAACCTGCTGTCCATATTTTTCTTCAATATCAACACATCAAGCAGAGAGCTTAGAAAAGATAATCCACTGTCCCCTCTCTGGAACACATTTACGAACAAATCACCCTGATGAGCAATCGATTTCTTTTTCTTCTTTCCCAAATTTGACCCACTAGAGGAACCAAGATGATGCACAATGAAATCAAGCATCTTTTTAACCACCAAATAGCTAACCTGCACGAACCGATTTGCAAAGACTTAGAAATTGGTAAAACGAAAATTGATAAAAATCTATTCATTTGTATTTAAGATTATATTATTAACAGGAAATGATCGCACTCCACCGAAAAGAAAAATATAGGTACTGCACCAGCCCCCACAGGAAAAAAGTGAATAAATTAAGAGTGTTTGCCCAAGGTGTGAGAAAGAAGCGTGTGACACATCAACATTTTGAAGGAACCAAGAAAGGAACGAAAAGCTACAAAGATGCAACTTTTATTTTCTTGTGGCGACTGCAAATATGGCATGCTCGTCATGAAAGTGAGACATTAGCAACACGGTATGTCTAGAGTTTTGAGCAACACTTCTACTGAATCAACCATAAATTCGACATTCATACATCAAATATACATCTACGTACAAGTTGCTCATCACAATACTTCATCACCAAAATATATGAATTTTAGTAAATATTAGAAACAGTAGGTAAAAGATAAAGAAATTTCCATAAACTACCAAAGAAAACATCAACGAAAGAAAAACTGGAATGAAAAGAAACTAACATTTAGCTGAAGCAAGGCCTCTCTGGCTGAATTTTGAATGTCTGCATTCCCATTTCGCAAGAGAATAACAAGATATGAAAAGAGCTTTTCCTGTAAAAAATGAACAACGAAAGTTTAGCTCTAGAGAAGAGATAATAGCCTTTATAAACTCAAAACCAGCAGGAAACCATGCATGAAACCCCGATTTCGCACCCACACCTGTCACTCAGGGTTTGCCCTGGGTGGTTTACCTCCTCTTATGGTTTTGCAGGCTACTGCAGTGGGCGCGAGGTCACATCTTCGGTGGGTATTACCCACAAAAAAAAAAGAAAAAAACCCAAAAAAAAAAGCCACACAAAAACTCACCACCTTGATAAGCTCTACTAGACCTGGTTTCAATATTCCTACCATCAATTCTAAAGTCTTGATCTTCCTAAGCATATATCCTTATTTCTGCCATTAATCAGGATCTTACAAGTTTTCCGCTACCCCCAAACCCTTTCTCAGATGCAGCCAGTTCTCACTTAGTATGCTGCGTCCGACTCGTGAAGCTCCCCATAAAATGGAAGCTTCCTAGATATTATGTGCTTCTTTATATGACCATTTATACAGAAGAAAAAAAAAAGAATTATGTTAACTGTCAACCTAGCAAAACTCTCCACTTTTACTCGCCCTTTAGACCCAAAAAAAAAACATGTATTTATAATCAAAGCTCTCTCATAAAAGAAAGCTGATATAGCACGTAAGAGAAATGCTCTATGCTATTAGGTCCTATTATTAACCTGACAAAAAATAAAAGAATATTTATATACAAAATTGGCATTCAGACAATAATAGACAAACCTGATTTTTGGCCTTTAAACATCCATATACGGAATTGTTTAGATGCTTCAAAACAGTAATGCAAGGCCCCACAATAGCTGCGTCTTCATGTGTACATCCACTTACCTAGAGAGCAGAGAATATTTGATGAGAATATAACCCTTCTAGAGACAAACAAACCAACAGCAGAGCAACACCAATTTTGATACTCACTTGCAACGCCTTAACTATAGCATGATCACCGAAATCATGCCCAACATCTGATAAAGTGGGCACCATACACATCTAGCAAAAAGATAATAAAACTCTTATCAAGACCTTTTCCTATATACACCTCCAAAAGGAACATACTCAGAGGAATGCTGTTTAGAATTATACCTCCAGCAGCAGGCAGAGTATATCATTATCAACTTGTGACAATTTTTGGGACAACTCATTCTGCTTGATGTGGTATTGGTAGCGCCTTTCTAGAAGATTCTCCATTAATGATTTTACTACAGGGTCCCTAGTAACTTTATTTCCCAAATCTTTGAGCATAGAAAAAACCTTCAGCTGCCAAAGGAGCAAAAACACATCACTTTTTCTGTCTACCATTCTCAAATTGAACAAAAAAGACAATTGTGTAACCTTAGCATAGGCAGACAGCCGTTGCACTGAGCTTAAAAGGTATGCCAATATTTTGTCCTTCGTTGACTCATCGAATCTGGAAGTTACAACCAAAGAAATTTGCTACATCAGTAAAACATGAACTACTGAAAATTCTGCAGCAAAGCAAGCTTTCATAAACCTAGCTCACTTGAGGATTTTATTAAGCGAAAAATGCTAATAACCTTCAGGTATTGACACCAAAACTTATATGGAGTAAAAATAAAATAAAAATGAACAACTTGACATTTTCATGCGAAGTTATAAGTAAAAGGATCATTAAGAATGATAATTACTGTAAAGGTGCAGCTAGAAATATTAAACACGACAAAAAGAAATAATAAGCCAACCTATTTCCAATGTTTTCCTGCACCAAAAGGCTCTCAGATGAAGTACTGAGCAAGGCCTTTAAAATTGAAGGAAGTACATTCTGGTTTGATAGCATTAGCATCTTCTGCGGAACCATCAGGCCCAAGAGTTCCCCAAGAAAGTGCATCCATACAACACTGCGTCCTGCTAAAGTTCTAATCAGTGACATCCCACCAGGAATAAATATGCCCTTGCTAAACCAACATCCAACAATTCACTACATAGAAATAGTACCATTTTTACTTCTGGACAAGTCAACGTGGGGATGTATGCTACGTAACTTTTCGATGCAGGCCATGGCAGCCATTCGCACATCCTGAAAATAGACAAATTTTTACTCTCCAAATCCACTGGCAAACAAGGCAATAACTTAGACAAACTTAGACAACCGGTAAAAGTAACATAGCCTGATTATACTTGTTGGAATTACTGGAGAAAAAATTATGGGTGGCTTTCCTTAAAAATAATATCAACTCGATGGTTAGATATACTCGTGTAAAATGCAGTTGTATCTAAGTTTTGAACTTCCAGTTTTGAATGAGTTTCTATTCTAACTTGATATTCGTGACAAGAGAAATGAAAGTCAATCATATTTTCAAACCTGATTACTACTGGCCAACGGAACAAGAAGTGAAGGAAATTCATCTAGTAGTTGAATGGCTAGTTCACATGATAAATCCTTCTCTGCTTTTGCTGTAGAACAAAGGTGCTCAAAATAATGAAGACTTTCAGCCTGGACTTGAACAGGGGATCCTAGTCAAAAAACAAAAGTCAGATTAATGAAGGCAAAAGGATGACTTCGTATCTGTCAAATGACTCATAAGGAAGGAAATATCATTATGGTGTAAGATATGCCACCAGTTAAAGACAATCCCTGGTCATACAAAGTAAAAGCATTAGCTTTCCACAAGACCCCTATAAAACAGAAACAAAGTGATCGTGTTCTACTTCATTATCTCCACTGCACTTGCAATGACATGAGAATTCAAAAAGGACAAGAAGATATGGAATGGATGTGTCTTTCCAAAGGGAACACTAATGAGTAAATCAGACATTAGCAAGGACTATCTCTGTTACAAAGGCAACTAATCCAGGCATACATATTGTACCGATAAAAATCAAACAGTTAATAGCAACACCCAACAAGCAAGCAGGCAATATCATGATAGAATCTAGGACCAGCATGTTTTCAGAATCAGAATTTCTTTATGAATAAGATTATAGATGTTTTTCCAGCTGCTAATTTCGACGCAAAGATAAAGCAATCATGACTGAAACTATAAGCTACAACATAGTCAACAACCTTCTTCAGTAAAGATGTCTGTCAGCAGCCGCACAAATGGTAACTTGCACTTTGAAACAAGGTGATGAAGAGGCTCCTTCAAAACCCGATTAGCCCGAGTGACAAAGAAAATATATAAACTCCGCAGTTGGGATAACCACATCTCATTGTTATCCTGAGAAAATGATTAGGAGCAGAGATTCAGTACATGCTCTTTCTAACTGAAAATGATCAAGCACCAAAACTAACATTTTCCTGTGCAGTGACAATAAAGCATTCCACCAATCTCCAACACAAGCAAATTAGGAGCTCTGCATTTAGTTCATTCCTGCTGGAATTTGATAGGCGCGTGAGAACTGTGCTCCAATCGCCACCAGGGCTTTTTGACTTGGTCTACACGGATCAAACAAGGATAAGCAAGTGACCAAGTTAGATAAGGGAGTAACATCAATTATAAAATTTAATTCCTTAAAGCTCAAACCTACTATACCTCTTCAGCATTGACAACAATCCCAGCAACTTCTACCATGTCCCACTCACATTGAAGTAATTGAAAAGAAGCATCATAAATTAAAGAAAACTGCGCAAAATCTAAAAACACGACCGGGAAGAAGTTAGCCAAATGTTACATCTAGGATATGCCCAAAAGATAAGAAAAGAACACGTCAAATAACCTGGTTTTGGCAACATGGATGACTGTAATAGGAGGAACAAATATACAGTCTTCGACAGCTGATTTGTTTTGGAGCATTCCAACAGCCAAGGAGTCAACTCGTTGCAGTTCACCAAGAAATATTCAGCTAACTTACTGATGTTTTCCAAATTTACTGAGGATACATGTTTAAGATCACGTTTCTGCATAATTTCAAGAGAAAATGTGCAATGATCTTAAACATTCAGAATGAGCTCCAGGAAAATATTAATGGCAGCCAACAAACTCAGATATATACCATTCTTAATTAAAACGACAAATTGAGGCACAAACTTCAAAGTATAGAATTCTGCTAAATTATATAAACTATCTATTTGGGGAGTCTACACACACCCCCAATTTACTAATCAGGGCACCTCTCTCAAATTGACGAGGAAAACTTGATAGAAACTTATTAAAGTTTCATCTAAACCTACCTGCAACACTAAAAAAGCTCCATGCTTTACAATCCCACCAAAACAACAAACTCCTAATTGTTACTATGGAAAGGCAAAATCACTAACAAGCAGATAACTCCCTCCAACTACCCCAGTGACAAGTACAATTAAGACCCATCTTATTAATAATAAGGAGGCCTATAAAGTAAATTAATGAAAGCAATTAGAATTCAAAAACTATGTGAAAAACAAAAAAAAAAACAAAACAGAAAGAGATGGTTTTTCAATCCCGCAAATGTTATCGAATTTAAATGTGTCCTTAAGGCAAAGCACCTATCACATTTTCTCTAACATACCCCTTGTAACCACTATATGAGCTTGTTTAATGTCATCAATGGAAGTTGCAAGTCAAAAGCACTCATAGTAATCTCTACTATTTTCCCTGCATCCCGCAGACAACTTGAGGTTCTTTGCCACCCAAGGAGTATTTTACTTGAATGGGCGTAGCGGTGTACATAACGAGAAAAAGGAAAATATAGACAACACTGCATATGGCATACGAATGAAGGCAACAGTAATCCCCACTCTTCTATTGTAGGATTCTATCTCAACTAAGTAAAGGGGTTACATTATAATATTATTTTGCTTATATACAAAAGTTCCTGTCGCACAGAGAACATGCATACCTTAAATGCTTCTAAACACATTCTTCACACAAATACTCATAATGTCGTTAAGAAGGCCTGGTTCAACCAGAAGCAAATAAACGAAGGACTCGATTCTACTGGATTATCAAGACAAACTTAATAGAATCTAATAGCTTTAGTGACTAAGAGGCCCTTCACTACCCTACTTAAGCGAAACCCAGAACGCAGAAAACACGACAACAGGAGAAAAGTATACCTTCTCGGCTCTCAAAAGACTCAAGCGATTCCCAAATAGAGGCCACTTCACTTCTTTAGCAAGTTCCAACGCCTTGAAGTTAACTTGTTGGATCTAAGTTGAACAAAGAGAAAAGAAGCAAAACAAAACAGCACTCAAGCACTATAGACACCAGCAAACAAAAATAAATTTAATCTTAATTTGCAAATGTAGAACCTTTGGCAGGATCAAGACTAAAGGTAAGATCATTTTCGCTAGTTTCTTTGTAAACTTGTCATGATCTTTGAAAATCATTATTGCTCGCTGCAGGCATGAAACAGCAACATCACTAGCTAGAGCTATATCATCAGATGCACCTGCAATGACGGAAGAAAAGTAAGACAATCACATATTGTCTTTTCTTAGGAAAATATCCTTTGGAGTTTGGAAATTACAAGGGAAGATACTTAAACATGTAACCTAGCAAACCCTAAGAATTTGATTCCACCCAATTATATTCAACACAACTACTTTGGCTAGAAACTCCTAAATTACTAGAGTGGTGAATACTGTCACCATTATACGACTACAATAATATGCTCGAATGAATCAGAGCAGCTTAAATATTAAATTTTGACGGCGAACAACATTGTGGAATCATATCAAAATCGAAGAATGAAGACTACTGCTATCAATGATAAACCAACTCAAATAACAGATGCATCATCAGCTGGATTATTAACCAACAGAATCACAGAGTAGAACACTTCATACGATTGTCTGTGGGATTGGATCTCTACAATTTGATTCAAAAACACTAGATTAAGCTTAAGAACCAAAGCTTCCCACATACCTGGGAACACAAACTACAGAAATAATGAACTATGTGGAAATCATGCTCTGTTCATATTTTTCAATAGATAAAAGGAGACCTAAAAGTAAAATAAACTCACTTGACATTAAAATAGAAATACATCTGTCCAACACACTCTCCAATATATCGAGAAGAGCTGACAAGCTTATAATCTCATCCAGACACTGCACATTTAGAGCTGCTTGAATAACAGTCAGATCATCATCCATAAGGCGGCGAAGTAATGCATCTTGGATGACATCAAACACCTGAACAATTAATTAATACTGAGGTCACTACCGAATGAGAGAAATAGACAGCAACTCAAAACCAGCCTATATACAATTATATTCAATGTGCACCAGGAAATTGTACATTAGAATGTCACTTTTCACACAAATATGCACAATAAAACAATCCCATAACATGCAAAGAAACATCAGCTTTTGATATTTATCAATTAAACTTTAAACCAAAAAAAAATTAACAGCTAACATAGCATCTAGCATGCAAGCAATCTCAGGTTCTCAAATATATCCTTAAGTACCATTCTTCACCCTCTCTCACGCACTTGAGTCAAGACGGTGTATTACAGTTGAAATATTCAGTGAAGAACGAAAACATCAAATATTACCATACCAAGCAGAGCATATGGAAAAATCATTCCAGAAAATTAAGGGAACTGATCAGCCGAAAAATGCTCAAGGAAATCAAGTGACACCAATTGATATGCGACCGTGCATATATGAAATGAAAGATTACATCGAGTAAATTTAAAAATACATTACCTTGGCATCAACAACTTTAAGAATACTGGTAACATCCAGCCCAGTAACCGCAGAACGACGTACCTCAGGCTGTCCAACAAAACAAAGATGTACCAGTAAATAATATGTGATAGAGATCAAGAAAAATCTAGAATGGTAGTCAGATTTGGGGTTAAACGAAAGATACAATATTTAAAGGAAACCATGCCAACCACGTGTCATAAGACAACATAAGTAAACCCCAGAGCAAAGGTTCAAACAATTGTAGCCACGAATCAGAATTATACCTTGGGGTGCTCAAGTGCAAAGAGAAGTTTTGAATCGGGTGAGTTAACAGGAAAACCACCATCTCCTTCTAATATGTTTAAGAATAACTCCTGATTTCCCTCTTTTCCAGACTGCAATTTAGAATCCTGGAAAAATGGTCAGAACCAAAACCATCAAAGCATCATAGGAGCAAATGACTCTAAAGAGAGCAATCAAAAGTTCCAATTGCACACCCACAGCAGTATCTAGGAGAATGTGAAGGATAGTACTAAAACTGAATGTACCTGAAGGATCCTTCTAACAGCTTCACGTAGTTCAATTGGATATCTTTTATACAGGGATGTCAAAATTTCATTTGCCCGACTTCCTGTTATAAGATAGAACTTACAGTGAGAATTTTGTGAAGCTACAAAAAGTAAAAGGATAAAACAAAGGCGGGTGAATAATAAGATAGGATAAAAACCCAAGAATGACACCCATCTTCGCCTACTCATAAAAGAAAAAATAAATAGAAAGAGAAACTACAGTGGAGAGAACAACCTGATTCAGATGCTTTAGGCAGACCTTCGTCTTTGCATTCTTTCACATAACTTTTAAGCAATTTGGAGACCAAACGATCAACATAGAATTTCAAGGGAATCGTGTCTATTGTCACCATTAAAGTGTGATGGTAGGCTGGGTCAGTAGAACTGCAGATGCAAACATAACATTTGATTATGAAACAAACAGAAAACAGGTACTAGCTTTTCCTATTACAGAAACAGATATAAATTTTCTAACCTGTGCTCGAGAAGGGAGTTGAGGAAAACAGTTAGAAACTGATCAATGTTGAATTCCTCAGTCAAAACGCCAAGAATTTCCGAAATATCCCTTCAAGTTCAATGAAAAAAGGTTAATCACCTTAATTCTCAATAGAGTTATCCCCAGGTAGAAGAAAATAAACATTCCTCATCATGTAATGGTTTTCTGCATGCACAAAGATCTCGCAGAAAAATACATACCTGAGCTCCAATAACAAATCCATACTCTTCTTGGGAATCAACACCACATGTTGCAACTGCCAGAAAAAAGTTTCAGAACGAAGTGAGGATACCAAATGGGAGCAATTATGCATATAATTACCTATATAATCACGTATGTGTCTTTTTTATTGTTCTAGCAGTGAATGGTGAACTCCAGGACGATAGAACTCACCGTGTAATAAACAAAACTAAGCATTATAATAAACAGCATTTAGGTGTTTCAACTATTTCTAGAATCATGTGAACTAGTTTATTCACAAGATTTAATGTGAATCTAACATCAAAACTTCTATTTAATGTGAAGGATCTGACTCAGAGATATTGTGCTAGCATCCTCATAATTTAAGCTTAAAAATGGCATCAAGTAATCCATAAAATTTTATAAATGTATTTCAGAAAGCTCAAATAAGAAAGGAACCAACATTTTATGTTTTCATGCTCAAGTACTTTTGTTTAATTACCTGAACAAGATTAATCAAGGCCATCAAGGGCATGCGGAACAGTTGCAAATCATAAGGTTCTTTTGCATCCTCTTGAGCAACATCAATTATGGAGCGAATTAAGGTTTTAACCAGACTAGAGGATAATTTTGTTTTTTGAGAGAGCAAACCAACAATCATCAATGCACCGGCCTGATAATGAGCATAAAGAGGTAACAATATAAAAAAGATGTCAGATTCAATAAAAAAGCACATCATCCAATCCATCCCTTCCCCTAACCATGCACGCGACAAGGTCATAAACTTAAGTAGCGAACAGGCAACCTTATATTGCTACCTAGACACCTCTTGGTAAATAAACCCTTCCACCCCTGGAGCTGCCCTTCTTCAACCTTAAAAGGTGATACAACAAACATGTGCACAGATACATATGGAGAGAGGGAGAGAGAGAGACCTTGTGCTCAATATTCCCCTTGGCACCAGGTTGAAGTCCTGAAATAAGATACGGAAGTATCTTATTAACCACATCACCACTAACAGTTATCATGGAGCCCAAAACCTCAAGAATAACGGCTGTGCAAAAGCTAGTAACAGCCTTCATTGATTGAATTTTCTTCGCTGGCATTGCCTGTTGAATTCAAAACTTTCAGACAAATACAAATGATATAATTGGTAACACTATCTGCAGAAGTAGCTACTTACAAAGTTGCAAATGGCCTCCAAAACACTTAGATCTCGGATACATTGCTGCACAATAACCTTCCTAGGGGCTGGTGCACCTGACCCTTTTACACCATCAAGAAACTTCCATCTACTATTTCTGCATAGAAATGTTACAATAGGAAACCCTAAGAATCACAAGTAATTCGCCACAAGAGCATGCAAGCACGATTCATCTAGGGCATAATAACGATAATGACACTCTAGCTTCCTCGTCAAACAAAGAGGAAAGTTGCAGACTTAGTGCCATAGAATCTTAGTATATGCACACAAAAGAAAGTACAACAGCTCATTTCATGACAATATTCCATTCGTACATTTAAATAGCAATATGGGAACTCACCCTGGATCAATTAATTGTATCACTCTTACAAATTCATGTGTGTCATGGTACGGTAAAGTGCATAAAATCAGCTCCTCAGTGTTGTAGACATGAATCCTACAAATTTCCAATATCCAGGGTAACATTGTGAGACCAGCCGAGTCAATTCTCCAAAAAGTGACAACTGCGGGAAAAAAAAAATGTACTCACTTGTATCTACGTATCAAATACTCGAGCGTCTTTCGTGCCGCAAGCAATTCAAAAAATCCTGATAACAACTTTAAATATGAGGCAATGCTGGCATTAATTTGATTGTTTTCCTCAATGCCCATCAGCTCCCTATCCATATCTTTACTCTTGTGGTTAAACAAATCACGTTTGAATGCACTAAACCTTTCATCTTTGCTGACTAAAACCTCCAAACCTGAAAAAAAACAACAAATAAGACCGATAAATTGTAAATAACTCGAATAGAAAAGAATCCCAAAAACAACAACAGCAACAACCAAAAAAAAACAGTACGCAATAAATGCATCCAATATTATTTACTACCAGAGAGAGCAAGGCTAAAAATTGTATCGATGTCAATGTCGGCAGCGTCTTTGGGATTATAGATAATCGAAGGGCGGATGTGTGGTTTCTTGCGCGGGTCCGCATCGACTTTCAGCTTCAGCGCCTTTATCTGGTCAGCAATTGACTTCGCCATTTGTCAATTTAGTAGTGCTTTGTTTGCACAAAATGGACTCGAGGTTTCTCCGGTGTTTATTGCTCTCCACAAAAATCAATCCTTCAAAGATAGAGTAACTAACTACTTGTGTGAGAGAAGCAAGGGGAGAGAGTAAATAAAGGTAACTAAAAGGCCGCCGGAGTTTCGGTTGGCCGTCAGAACTGATGGAAGAGCGGTGGTGGAGGTGGTGGTGGTGGGAGAGCCTGGGGTTTAATGGAACTGCGACTTCCGCAAACCGCCTTTGAATGATGGCGCGGGTTTAGGGTTTTTCTTCAGTCTCTCTGTGTTAGCCTGTTAGGGGTAGTGGGTATTTCTGTCTTTTCATTGCATCTTTAAGTTTTTGGTCTTTTTCGTTAATACGGAGAAACTAAAAGGACATTATGCAAAATAGGCAAACATTATGGGAGGTCTCGTGCGATTAAATGCCCCCTGATTTAAACTTGGAAAACTACAAAAAGTGAAAACCAAAAAAAGAAAAAAAAAATTTCAAAAAACAAAAGCGGTAAAGTAATAATAAAGTTGAAAATCTTGATACGTTGGCGATTAGCATTCCGATTTGCAGTCTCCCACAGTTGTTGAGTTCCAGACATTCTTTCTGTTGCCAATTCCAGTCAAAGATCCTACGGACTAAAATTATCCAAAATTTGGTTCCCATGCCCACCTTCCTGATTCCGTATCAGATCAACTACAATGCGGCATGATAGCGGGTCTGTAATTCTTGTAGGGTTTTTAGGTTGTAATCAAGGCTGAAGAATCCAATTTTCCTATAGTTTTCGACTGAAAAAATGGAGTTTACTGAGCCTTACAAACAAACTGGTCCCTGTTCTTTCTCCCCGAATTCTCGGTTTGTTGCTGTTGCCGTCGATTATCGTCTCGTGATTCGCGATGTTCTCACCTTCAAGGTAATTCCAAATTGTTTTCCTTGGTTAAAAATCTTGAAATTGAAACTAGGTCCTCTTGATTCTCGGAATTCGTTTTTTATGTAACTTAAAGATTTGGAAAATCCTCTTCGTATGCAGATTGCATTATGAAAATACCGAGTTTTTTTTAATTGCCTGTGGATCTTCTTGTGCACATTTTATCAGTAACGCTAATAATTTGATGCAGCTAATAGTGGTGTTAAGTCTGATAAATGCATTGTGTTTGGCTTGATCCCATGTTTGTTGGGTTTCACTTATGATGGAAATAGACTGACAGAAATGGAAACTAACAAGATAAGCAAACCCTAGCTTAAGAAAAACAGAGTATTTGAAAGGTACAAAAGGTTAATTTTATAGAAATCAGGAAACGTAAATAATAAAGCTGCCGAACTGTTCTATTTGTAGAGAGTTCTGATTATTCCTTAGTTCTATTAGGTTTACTAACTAATTTCCGAAAACCCAGGACTGAAACTAATGCACTAACCCGGAAATTAACTACTTATTGGAGGGGGGAAACCACTTTTTTTGTGAGTTAAATTAGTGAAGTTATATGGGGGTGTAATTGATTCAGATTAGAGGTTAATTATTGTGAAACCGTTCTTTCTTTTTTGCCCATTGTAGTGTGATAGGTTCATAACAAAGTTAATTTGGGGCGTATATGATTGTTGTTAGATGTGAGATTGTTTTGGAATCAAGCATGCCTTTGATTAGTTTTATGTTTGCATTTGATTTGAGTTTTACTGAATTTATGTTGTGTTTATTTTAATGAAAGCAGGTAGTTCAACTGTACTCATGCTTGGATAAGATATCTTATATAGAATGGGCCAAAGACTCTGAGTATATACTTTGTGGTCTCTACAAGAGACCTATGATTCAAGCATGGTCATTGACACAACCAGACTGGACTTGTAAAATAGATGAAGGGCCTGCCGGCATTGCTTATGCTAGGTGGAGCCCTGATAGCCGTCACATACTCACAACATCAGAGTTTCAACTGCGGTTAACTGTTTGGTCACTCTTAAATACTGCTTGTATACATCTCCAATGGCCGAAGCACGGGGCCAAAGGGGTCTCATTTACCAAAGATGGGAAATTTGCTGCAGTTTGTACGAGACGTGATTGTAAGGATTACGTCAATCTGTTGTCCTGTCACACTTGGGAGATTATTAGTGTATTTGCTGTTGACACACTGGATTTGGCTGATATTCAGTGGTCGCCTGACGACAGTGCAATTGTGATTTGGGATTCTCCTTTGGAGTACAAGGTATTAGTGCACATTTATTACTTGTTGAGACATGTATGGTTTTTTCCTATGTCCTTAAAACGTCAGAATGAGAGGTTGGCATGATGCCTGGAGATGCAACCAAGCATTTGTTTTAGTCTGAAAGCGTGCCATTGATATTTGGTCTTATTAGTTTGATCTGATATGCTTATATTAGCCTGCTAGCTGATTCACTATTTTTGTGTTAATAATCTCCTTTTATCTCGTTCATATGTGTGTGTGGATTCTAGAAGGATAAAATTTGTGAGGTCTATATGTACTTTGTTGCTTATTGTACAGATAAAATCTCCTGTATAGTTTTATGTCAATGTTATGTTAGAAAAAGGAGTTTTAAACATATGATCTTCTATATCAATTTTTTAAAATAGACATCATTAGCTGCTGTGTAATGGTTATACATATTTCCTTTCTATCGTTTAGATTTTGATATATTCCCCAGACGGGCGTTGTCTCTCCAAATATCAAGCATATGAAAGCGGACTTGGTGTGAAAAGTGTTTCTTGGTCCCCTTGTAGCCAGTTTCTAGCCGTAGGCAGTTATGACCAGATGTTGCGGGTTTTGAACCACTTGACATGGAAAGTGTTTGCAGAATTTACGCACCTGACAACTGTCCGTGCACCATGTTGTGCTGCCGTATTCATGGTAAATCATTAACCAAATATGTATATTCCTTGCTCAATGGTTTTTTCATCATCTACGTTTATTCTTACGGCTTTTTAAAATCGTAGGAGGTGGATGAACCATTGCAGCTTGATATGTCAGAGTTAACATTGAATGATTATGGCGTGCCTCAAAATGGTAAGGACTCTTGTCCTTGATGACTGATGTTGTATCTGCTTCTTCTGCACTTGATGATTATGTTTTATGGCGCAGATCCATTTTCTAGTTACTCTGGAACATTGGATGTTTATAAATACTCTCTCTCTTCCACCCCCACACACACCCAAAAAAGAAAAAAAGAGTCATGTTTGTTCTACTGTTTTAGTCCGGCAAAGAAGACTCCTTTTTTGGGACACAATCTTCCAGTTTTTCCATTGTTGTATTGCTGTCTGATGTATTTCCCATTTCTTTCCTCTGCCCAGATGATGTTCCTGAAACACGTATTCAAGTTAGATATGACGTTGTGGAACTGCCGGTTACTCTTCCATGCCAGAAGCCTCCTCCCGACAAACCAAATCCAAAGCAAGGAATTGGTAAGTAAGGATTTCCATAAATGAACGGCATGAGAGGGGTTTTATGTTTGGAGATGGGCATGTGGTCCTTACTCGGTCCTAGTGAAAGAGCTACCGTATACTCCTATGTTTAATGTACTTTTTTAATAAGATAGATCTAAGAGTATGAATAAAGTTGTAGCTCCCTTTTGGTTAGTGTCATATTTTAATTTCTACTATGGGATGATAGTTTCAGAAAGAGAATCGTATTTAAAGAACGAATGCTTACAATTTTGCGGATTCTAAAATCTGAATTATGCACTTTCAAGAGTTCTCTCTAGTTTGTGATCCTTAGTGTTGTGACCTAAGTTTATTACTGAAAGTAATTGCTCAGTTTGAATGACAGCCTTTTAACTTTTGTATAATCCTCCTTCAAAACAAATTTTTAGGTCTCATGTCGTGGAGCGTCGACAGCCTATACATCTGTACACGGAATGACAGCATGCCTACTGTCCTCTGGATATGGGATACACAACGCCTTGAGCTGGCTGCCATCTTGATCCAAAAAGACCCCATTCGAGCTGTCGCCTGGGATCCAATCTGCACGCGCTTAGTTTTGTGTACTGGCAGCTCTCACTTATACATGTGGACACCTTCAGGTGCCTATTGTGTAAGTGTTCCACTGCCAGACTTTTCAGTGTCTGATCTAAAGTGGAACTCGGACGGGAGCTGTCTTCTCTTGAAGGACAAGGAGTTTTTCTGCTGTGCTGCTTTACCGGTGCTGGAAGAATCCAGCGATTATAGTTCAGACGATTGATGCTGAGGTAATGCAAACAAGTAAATCTAATTTAAGGTTGCACCGCAGAGTACCAACCATGTTTGGATTGCCAAATCAGGTACTCTCATTCTCAGTAAATAGCACTGCTTGGTGGTTGCTTTCTAGGTGGAGGATATCGAACGCGGCTTTTCATCATGTTTACTTGTTGTAGTTGTAATTTGTGTACACTTGACATGAAGGATTAGAATTGTTCAACTAGATAAACTGAAAGCCAAATGCCTATGTGACTTGGCCTATATGAATGAGGTAGGTTTGCTGGCCCTCTGACTCTCAGAAGCCGAGGTAAATGAACTTTCATGGCAATTTCTCAGAAACTTCCTGATTTGGCTGTAGTAACTAGCGGATACTGTATGTTCTCATCTTCCTGCCAAGCATAACTTGTGTGACTCAACTGTTGGGTTCGTGGTTGAATTCTTTCAGGACGATAAGCCTTTTCTTGTAGTGGAGGACATGTAATATGCCTTTGTAACTTCCAAACCTCATAAGCTTGCAAGTACCGTATTTACAGTTACTGGCTGCTAAACAAAACGTCAAATGACGTCGAATTTTGAGTTTTTAAATGACCCTCTTTACTAGAAACCAACACATACGGAAACAAGGAGAAACCCCCGGGGGGGAATAGGATTGGCGATCATTATCGAACGATCCCCTCTCTCGCTTTGTGTGCCCTTTCAAAAGAGGAAAGAACCAACGCAGAAACAACGAATTAAAATGTCAACATTTAACCCCACATGGTGTAGGACAAGGCGACATGCTATGCAAGTAGTCATCATCCTATTTAGACACATATCATAATTGATCATGTGGAACATGCATTAGTTGATCAACTGACAAAACATATTCGTAAACTGATAGTTTTGGATGGATAAGTTCGGGATTTGGATTACACATAAGCAACCGTTCTTCAGGACTTGAGCATATGCAAAAATCAATGCTACTGTATAATTAAGTCAATTTATATGGATGACCTCAATCTATGGCCTTTGGGTTCTCTTGGATAATCAATAGATTTTTCGAAAAAAAAAATTGGCAAATTTTTATTTGCTACCAAAAAGAAAATGGATGTTTAAATAGTGTATAAAACACAAAACAAAACACAATTGATCGAATGTTGGAAGATTGAGTTGGGCTGAGAGAATATAGTTAGTGACGGTGGACTAAACGTAGATTTAAAATGACATAAATGTTACTAACAATAGAACCAATTGGACCGTATCGATAATCGATGACACCATTCTTTGCATGTTTCTTCTTCGTAAGCAGATTCATCATCATTGTAACTTGGGAGTGCAGCAAGCCATTTCGCCAATCTCTTACTCCAAACCATAAATACTTGGAATTTGGAAACAGAATGCATCATCATTACTTTGATCGGTAATTTTCTTCCGGGGACGGCACCGCCATGTTTGGGATTACTGATTAGCACTTTTTATCACAAAAAGCTTGATGCCATATCGTAATCGCTACTACGAACTTGTAAAAGTGATTGCCATTATTAGTATATCAATAACAACTTTCGTCTAATTTCAATATTGTTGGGTACTACATAACCATGTAAAAAAGATGTTTCAAGCCACCACTTTCTTTTGCGCAATTTCATTAGCATAAGAAGAGGACTCCCAAATCCCAATAATACCAACCAAGCATAAATTCCCTCTAATGATTAGTATTAAGTTGGTACATGAAGGGTAAAATTATTTCCACTGGTGACTCATTTTTGTGCATTCTAATCAATCATTATAAAAATCTATATCTACATGTTTCGCAATGAATATATAAACTCAAGCATGAATATTTTAATACGAACTTATGCACATGGCTCTTGCAAGTTTGAAGCAACCACTAAACAACAATTAAAATTTTGTTACCTATTGAAGATATTTGGCCATCTTATTTAATATGTGTAGACTTCCTCTAATTGTGTACTCGTTTAGTAATATGTAGACTTCTTTCTTATTTAATACTCTCTGTCCCAAAATTATTATCCAATTTAAGTTTTTATTTCTCGTTCAAATTGTACTAAAAGTGAAATCTCAAACTAGACAATAATTTTGGGACGAAGGGAGTACTATAGAGTATTATATCAAAATAAAAAATTTAATACCAAATTTACAGACAATTCATCTACAAAGCAATAGCAGCAAAATATCCATAGTCGGCGGCGAAACTTTAACGTGACAGTAAAAAAAACCATAAAATTGCGCATAGCATCGGGTTCGGAGGATTGAATTGGGAACTAAAGCTAAACTACAACGCAGCTCAACTGTCCTTCGTAAATCTTCCACCCCTTGCCACGTCATCTCCAAGTTTCTTTCTTTCTTTCATCACAACCACCTCTCAGTGACTTTCTCTCTTCAACGCCAATTCAGAAACCTCAAAGCATTGATTTTTCTTCCCCCGAAGCGGGTTACCACAATAAGAAATTAATAATACTATTTGAATAAGATTTACTACAAGGATTTTTTGTTTGTAGTTCTCTTCTATTCGGCCGATGATTGGTTTGTGAGTTTTGACTGGGTAATTGTGTTTAGAGAAGAATTTTCCGGAACCTCGTACCAGAGGAAGGAAGAAAAAGAAAAGAAATGGAGAAAATCGAGAACGGACGAGTGGAGGACGACAACGTTCGCGTTTGCTCATCGGAGACGGCCGACGGAGGCGAAGATGTCTACAGTTCCAAAGAGTCGGATGCATCCTCAGCCGATCATCTCGTTATATTGGTGCACGGGATCCTTGGAAGGTATGTAAGTGTTCAACTTTGCTTATGTTTGTCATATTCTGTTACTACTTTCGTTATTGGAGACACTGAATTTTGATGAAAGGCAATGCCTTTGAATGAATTCGCCATGATTTTGAATTTCCGTAAAATCTGAAGCTTTAAATAGTTTTAGAGTTTGGAGGAGAATGGAGTTCGAATTTTGAAATCAAAATTTCCAATGCAAGATTCGGTAAAACATACCAAATTGGTCTTAATGTCTTTGGGTGGACTCATTTTCTTCAGAAGCTATATTGAGTTTGTGCGTGATAGTGGACAGAATTACTTCATAATGCAAACCATTTATGACTTGGAGAATCTGGTTTAAGAGTCATGGCAGCTGGAATGAAGGAGATTTTTCTCCTGTTCCGCTCCCAGGAAATGCCAAATCAAAGGAAGTCCTAAGGATCACTAGATGCTTGAATTCATTTGTGCTCCAATCTTTGTTGTACAATCTGGACTAACTCATTGATTTCTTTTTCTTGTATGGGGTCTCTGATTGCAGTGCTTCTGATTGGAGATTCGCTGCTGATCAGTTTGTTAGGATGCTTCCGGACAAAGTTTTTGTACACTGTAAGTAGCCTCTTTTTAATACAATGTGAGGGCATCTGAACTTATGCTGCACAACTGCCTGCTGCAAAATATAGTGGTTCATCCTTCCTTAAAACATGGGATATTGTTTCCTGTTATAAGTTGTCATTTCCGATCAACTGAAAAATAGTCTTCCTGCTAACTTTCATCCTAAGAAGTTATGTAAGTTCATACTATCCTGTGGCTCAAATGGATTTACCTTGATCCACAAATCATAATTTGACATAAGACCTGTAAGGAGCCTAATATCTGCTGCCATGGAAGTGGAGCAATTAAACCTTAGTGAGAGATTCTTTACTGCAAACATTCATTGAGAAAAAGACAAAACTAGGTTGGGTATCAGCTCTGATGGCTCCTGGTGGTTGCTGTCTTTGTCCTTGTTTATTGTCTGCTCGAAACTTTCTTATTTTTCCTTGAAAGATGTATGAATGGAGAGAGAAGTATTTGACAAGTAGCAAAAGGTATTTCATTGTACTACATAGTTATAGTATACATTTTCAGGGTATGTTTGATTTCATTTACCCTTCCATGCATGTACTAGTTGCTTCCACAAGCTCCTGTGAATCTGTGAGACACTCTTAACTGCAGAAACAGGTCTTATACTGTCTCTCCTTTTTGAGTATTGTTCTTTTCTAACCTACTTATTAATGTTCAAAACAGGCAGCGAAAAGAATATGGCAACACTGACGTTGGATGGAGTTGATGTGATGGGTGATAGACTAACCGAAGAGGTTCTGCTCTAATTCTGTTTTCTTTTCCCCTTTTTTTGTTGCAGCCCAAAATTTTGCATTTTCTCATTTGTATGTTAAAATTACGAGAAAGATATGCTCGTATTTCATAAAATCTCTCCTATATTTATATATATAGATCAAATACAGGTCCTTGAAGTAATTAAGAGGAAGCCGCATCTGCGGAAAATTTCATTTGTTGCACATTCGGTTGGAGGTTTAGTAGCAAGATACGCCATTGGAAAATTATATCGACCTCCACGCACAGGAAGTCAGGAAGACTTGCCTTCTGATTCTGGTGAAGAGGAGACAAAGGCCACTATAGCTGGTCTCGAACCAATTAACTTTATAACCGTTGCTACTCCTCATCTTGGTTCAAGGGGTAATAAGCAGGTACGTTGTGCACTTGCGCCATCGCTTCTTGTTTGATTGTTTTTCCAACATGCTGATTTGGTTCTGGAAAAGCCCTTTGATGTTCAGTTAAATTCCTTTTGGGTATAATCTTTTTCTTACTCATGAAGCCTGGGACCTCGGAAGTGCGCACCGTGTACGAAAGTCAATATCTTGACTGTGCACTTGTTAAAATTTGTTATAACATAATAACTTTGATGATGCTGGATTTGATGTTTTCTTGCTGGGATGTTCAAGTATTCAGCTGGATATATATTTTATCTTTTGCTTCTTTTGATTACAGTTTTCCATCTGCAAGGGCTTAAAACCTCCTTTATATTGGATACTTTTAATCAGCATCTAGATTTTAGGGTTCTCACGGTTTGAGACAGCAGAATGTTTTCATAATTCCTACACTTACAATTACTGACGGGAGAGAAATATGGTGAGCTGGTTTGATTTTCTTGAGAATGTGCATCTGTTCTAATTATTCTGGCTATGTTTTTCACGTGGTTGTCACATATCATCTATGTTGCCCTTCATGGTTCTGTTTCTGGACACCTTTTTTGTGTCAGATGCTCTCTAAACTTACTAAGAGAAGAAACAGAACATAGCAAATTAGTTTCTAGATATTTGTTCTCCAATTAGATTTTTTGTTCATTCAGGTGCCTTTTCTCTTTGGCCTGCCTGCATTGGAGAAACTTGCTGGAGTGACTATTCATTGGATATTTAAAAGAACCGGACGTCACCTTTTCCTCACTGATGATGAAGATGGAAAGCCCCCATTACTTATGCGAATGGTGGAAGATGACGGTGATCTACGTTTCATGTACGTAATTTCTGTCATCTTATACATCTGAACCTAAAACATTCACGTTACTGCTATACCCTCCATTGTATAGACACATTGACAAGCATGTACCTGTCTTCCAAGGCATGTTATTAAGACCTGAGTATAAAAATTTCAGGTCTGCCTTACGATCATTCAAGCGCCGGGTAGCATATTCAAATGTGGGCTATGACCGTATCCTTTCATGCTGTTTCTTTTTCCTGTACAAAGCTTATTAAACTTGAATAGGCCTCGTTTACCTTGATAAGTGATACTTAGACATTGTTGGCTGGAGGACATCATCAATTAGACGCAATAGCGAGCTGCCAAAGGTATGGTCTTTTCCAACCCTTACGCGGTAATCATGATCATTTTTGTTGTGCTTTATTTTATTAATATATTATTATGTTTCCTGGCATACAGTGGGAGGAATGTTTGAACGAAAAGTATCCACATGTTGTGTACGAAGAGCGCTGCAAGGCATATGACCCTGAGCAGTGTCAATCTGTTGTGGTGGAAGATGATGGGCTGGATGAGATAGAAGGTCTACATTTTTTTTTACAGTTTTTTTTTCACTGATTTTCTTCTTCATATCATTGAATTTTGATTACTCCTTTGTTGATCAGTGAAACGAATGCCATGTAATAACTTAATTTGACATGATCAGTTGGATGACTGTGTTTAGTCCTAACCCAGCAAACTGAACCTTTGACTATGTTGGTCCATGTTACATTAGGGCCATTTATGCGATATATTGTGGGTATCATATGGCCATCTTATAGACATAGATGCCCACAAGTCAAAAGCTTCACAGTTTGAAAGGAATTGTTTTCTTTGTAATCTTTGCTATGTTTTTTAGTTTGTTAGAGGATTCATCTCTTTGTAACCATCTGTTGTTTACAGTTTGGGCTTCTTCTATTGGTTTTCAACTTTTGGTTGTATTTCTTGCAGAGAAACTCGTGACTGCCCTATCTCGTGTGTCATGGGAAAAAGTAGATGTTAGCTTCCATAGCAGTAGGCTGAGATTTGCCGCTCATAGTGTTATTCAGGTCAGTCGGACTCTTTTCTTTCTAGCATATGTAGGTATCAATTGGAAGAGATACAACAGATGATGAGCACTTGTAAACTTAATTATGTCTTATACTAAAGATATCAGTAGCAAACATGACCTATAAATTCAGCTCAAGAATGTGTTGTTTTTCAATTTCTCTTTGGAGAAGTGTGTCAAAGAAATTATGGGAATCTAAGAAATATGTTACGCTTCACATTCCAGCTGATATTGGTACTCCGGATGCTGCAGTGTGACTATTTGCTTGATGATCACTGCAATTATTTTGTTCACAATATCAGTTGATTGCACTTGTGGCTGGTTGTATTACAGGTGAAATACCAGTACATGCATTCAGAAGGCGCTGATGTTATACAACATTTGATTGATCATTTTCTCGTATGAAAGGTTATGGTCATTTCATGTTACCGGATCAGAGACGTGGGTACACTATTATTGCAAAAACTGGTTGAGGTAATCCTATTGAGATATCATTTCTTCCCTCAAGAAAGGGCTCATAGTGGGGCATGAGCTTGGGGATCTCTGCATCACTGATAATTACCGTGGTTAGTTGGTAGGAAGTTCCCCTGAAAGTTGTCAAAGATATTAAGGCGAAGCTGTTCAACATAGAGTTATAGGTTCATAGTGGTGGATTGGAGTGTATAGCAATATGAATGACTTAATAATATCGTGAATAAACATCTTGTTTCTGAATGGTTTAGTGAAAAAAACATCTTGCATAATTGCATCCATTACGCGAGTTCTCCCTGGTCATAGGATGTATTTGTAGTTGAAATTAGAATTTGTTAGTTGTTAGTGCTGTATTGTGAGGAATGAGCACGTAACTAATTTCCTCAAAGGTAGAGCTTTGGCGGTTTTCATTTAATAGTGAAAAATATAAGTATTTCTTATTTTATTCAACCAATTCCATCACCGCCTGTAATTCATTACTGTCTTAATAAATAAATATATATATATATATGTGTGTCCAGCTTGGACATTCACAAATTTAAATGGTGGTATCAATGAGAATTTAAATTGGACTTTCTATAAAAATAAAATAAAATTATATTTATGTATTAGAGTTTTTTTTTTCAATAAATTTCCGTCTGAATTTTCCTAAACTACATGACTCACTCGCAATTTGCTCCAGTAACTACTCCAGGAGTTCGATTTTTCTCAAAACAGTATAACCCACAATTATTCATAATTCCTCTCAAAATCTTGTCCCACCGTAAAGGAATTTCACCAAAAAAAACCACCAAAAGCACTTGGCATTTTGTCAAATTTTTGGATGTTAAGCCAGATTTTCTTTACTTTTTCATTTATTTATATATTTTGAATGGAGTTTTAAACTTGAAATGGATGATATCCCGGCCCAGGGTGTTACAATTGTACCATTCCAAGAGGTCCAGATCTCCTGCAGCCCAGAAGGCAGCCACAATAGTATCACCCCACGTGTCTTCCTTCCGAGGCATTCCAAAAAAGTGTAGTACAAATCTCAGACTCAAGAAAAGTCAAAAAGTCAGAGCTGAAAGTACTTGCTCCGGCCTCCGGCACCCGCTCCTTCCTCAATCCCAAAGCTTCCTCCTCGCCATTTCTATCATACCCAAATTTGTTGGCGATGGAGATTTCTCTCTCTCCCTCCTCCTTCCTCTCTTCCAGAAACTCAACTCTTCCTCCTCGTAACGATTATCAATTCTACAGACCAATTTCCGGTGCTGTTTCTGAGTTCCCCCGCTCGCATTCCTCCTCGAGATTGTCCTTTAAGCTGAAGAAGCCTTTGGTTGTGAGACACCGCCGTGTTACAGTTAAAAGCCAGAGCTCCGGTGACGTCAATAATGATGACGACGACGGTTTCATCCTCGAAGACGTTCCTCACCTCACCAACTTCCTCCCTGATTTACCGGTAACTCTCGATTATGGATATTAATCATTAGTATGTATTTGCGCAAAACGGTTTTAGTTTATTGTTACTACCTCGTGTATTTCTTAGCTTATTATTAGTTTATTACTCCATGTTTTGAGTTTCTAGTACAGAATCATACCGTTTTATGCAGTAGCCACAACTCAGTTACTGTTGTCTCGAACGAAATTTTCATCGTTATTAGATAACGCATGATACGGTACAGAATGCGGCAGTTGATTTGGCTTTACTGCTGAAATTCGTGTTAATGATGTGTAGGATCTCTAACTTTATCTCTTCTGGCATGCTTAATGAAGTGAATAGTGAATACCGAAACGCTCCTTATGATTGTCTAAATTTCGTACCAATTGATTTAATATTGTTAGTCCGTTAAGTTGAAGCACCGTGGTGTTGTGATCTCCTGTTATTGTTGGCAGTAAATCAGTTGATCTGTAATTGACCTGATTTTACTCCCTTCTTTTCTTTTCTCTGCTTCCAGTCATACCCAAATCCACTGGAAAAGACCCAAGCTTATGCTATAGTAAAGTAAGTTGAGATTTACATTTCTATTGCATGCTGTTGTATCTTTGTGCTTTGATTTTTAGAAATACAGCATGATCTGAAGAGCATTTTTGGTTGTTTTATTCCAGGAATACCTTCGTCAGCCCTGAAGATACAGTTGCTGAGAATGTAGGTGCCTTTGTTAGTCAGTGTTTTTTTTTTTTTTTGGCAATTCAGATATGATAATTAAACTATATTTTGCCTTCAGATTGTTGTCCGGAAAGGCAGTCCTAGTGGTGTACATTTTAGGCGTGCAGGCCCCCGAGAAAAGGTGTAGTTTACTGTTACTAACATCTGCACTCAATAAAAAGTCTGGCTGCTATTTAACTGACAACTCCTGATATATTTCGATTTAGGTTTATTTCACCCCAGAAAAAGTGCGAGCTAGCATTGTTACATGTGGAGGTTTGTGCCCTGGCATCAATACTGTGATTCGTGAGATAGTATGTGGTTTGCGTAATATGTATGGTGTGGAAGATGTACTTGGAATCCAGGTGAGGTTCAAGATCCCACTTGCCAGATTTGTCATGTATATGTAACTAACATTTTAGTTTCTATTTCCCATCAATGTCTAGCATGGATTGTGTATGAGATAAAAATATTTTCTCACTTGCACCCCCTGTTTTTATTGATATCAGGGAGGATATAGAGGATTTTACTCTCAGAACACCATTAAGTTGACACCGAAACTTGTCAGTGACATCCATAAGCGTGGTGGTACTTTCCTTCAGACTTCAAGGGGTGGTCATGATACCAAAAAGATAGTCGATAACATTGAGGATCGTGGAATAAATCAGGTATAATCAAAATGTGCTATCAGGTATAATCAAAATATGCTTTTAGTAGCCACGCTTTTTTTTTTTTTTTGGTTTTTTTGGCAGCATTTGATGTTGACTCTCTATGTACAGGTCTACATAATTGGAGGGGATGGCACTCATAAAGGAGTTGCAGCAATTTACGAGGTAATTATGTCTGAATGAATTCCATGCAATCTTTTGAATTCTTTTTTACTATCTAGTGACTGGGTTTCTGACATGTTTATTATGTCAAGGAAGTTGTAAAACGTGGTCTGCAAGTGGCAGTTGTTGGCATCCCCAAAACAATTGATAATGATATTGCTGTAAGTCTCCTCAATTACAATTCTATTGATATGAAGTGTTGTTGCTTCTTGAAACTTAAAACACTACATCTTTTCTTATAGTTGAATGTTTTTGGTTTTGAGTCCTTTAAGAGATTGGATTGCAACATTATTTCTGTTGTGAATAAAATTCTTAATTGTGAGAGTTGTAAAGATGTGGGGTGCTTACGGATAGAACTACCAGCTTTTGTCTCCGAACATGGTCTATTAAAATCTTCATACGTTGTTGGTTGGATTTATTTTAGTTACTTGATTTGGAATGGATGTGACGCTGCTGATTATTCACTGATTTCATACTTTAAGCTGATACTAATTTGGTATTGTTATTTAAGCCGTTACTTAAATCTTACTTTTCTTTACATTGCAAAATCCGTGCATTTCTATGGTTTCCATTGTATAATATGTTAAATTGTGTTCTAAACCTGCAAATCTCCTGCTCTAGAAGGATTAATCCTGCTAACAGTCTAGGTGGTTGTGTTATGATCCTTTTGGACAGAGAAGTTTTTCATATTTATGATTTTGAGGTTGTAGCTGAGTTTATTCATACTAATTTGAAAATATTGTTCATCATTATTAGGACTGCTTCTCCTTTATGCTGCTTTATTGCAAACATGTAATAGGTTATTGTGGTTTGTTTTGCGTAGGTGATTGATAAGTCCTTTGGTTTTGATACTGCTGTTGAGGAGGCTCAGAGGGCCATCAATGCAGCACATGTGGAGGCTGAGTGTGTAGAGAATGGGGTTGGAATTGTAAAGCTCATGGGCCGATACAGTGGTTAGTAGATTACTTGTTTTAATGGTTCCTTTAGCCTGAGCTCGGCTTATAGTATACTTGTCTGTTGCAGGGTTCATTGCTATGTTCGCAACTTTGGCTAGCCGAGATGTGGTAAAACCTTACAGAGATTAAAGTTCATCCTTTGACCCTGCTAGTCTACTTTGTTATTATTGTGGTCTTTACAATAGTAGAACTTCACTGGTGGTATTATTTTGTGAAAATTTTGCTGCAATTCTTGATCCAATGGGCCTAAGATGTCAGGCAGCAGGAAATTCCTTGCAACAATTTATGCGCTAGGATTAGCATCGCCATTGGTGACTATTAGGACCATTCCTTGAACCTCAAAGAATCTGCCCCTTTGTGGAAACTAAATCAATGTAAATCACTAGAGAAGTATCACAAAGATAAGAACTTGAGTATTGCCGCTTTCTATCGCTGCTGTCTTTTGTGATTTATTTCTTATTTATCCTTAGACATCATTTTGTCATCACCCTTTAAAAGTGCCTTCATCACTGTTCTCAAGTTAAGATAGTGTGATTTTTCTTGCAGAGGCAGCAGTTGTTTTCTACTTTTCTTAGCTACCAGCTGAAAAATTGTTAAAGCCTGACATATATTTTCACAGGATTGCTGCTTGATTCCTGAGTCTCCATTCTATTTGGAAGGCCAGGGTGGGCTCTTTGAATATATTGAACAGCGTCTGAAAGAAAATGGACATGTCTTGATTGTCTTGGCAGAGGGTGCTGGGCAAGAATACGTCGCCCATAGTATGCAGACTGTTAATGGAACAGATGCATCAGGAAATAGGCTACTTCTGGATTCTGGTCTTTGGCTGACCCAACAAGTGAAGGTAGTGTTGCCTTTGCTTTGTTTCCTTACAAATTGCCTTTTTACAGTAACTGTATCTTCTGATTTGCATGTTCAAGGATTTTCTTTTCCAAGTTACAATTTCTTAAAGATTTCTTTTGTATTGCTAACTGAACACTAAAGAGATATTTTAGGTCTGAGTACCTGTTGGAATTCATATTGGTTCTTGAAGTTTTCAGTTGATCTGGTAACAGAACACTTTTATGTTATCAAACTAAATAGACTTCATTTGCATCTATATTCCAAATAGAGCTCGTTGCCTTCAATGCAAGTTTTGTGGGGAATTGCTGAATGGCAAATTTTGGTCCTTAGTTGCTTGATATCATACCTCTCTCCTACTAGCCTTGCATTCAATGCCTGAAAATGACTATAAATTTGCTCTTTTGTTGATGGTTTTGCTTTTGCTTTTGCTGTCATGTAACAGGATCATTTTACAAATGTCCGCAAAATGGCAATAAACATGAAATATATTGGTAATCTGAAATCCCTTCACTTTTACTTCATATTGAAGAGCTTGTCCTGGGGCGAGTTCAAATGCTGTTATTTTTTATGTAGTTTGATCTTTACCTATCTCGCCTGATTTTCTGAAACTAATTCCCCCTTCTGTAGATCCCACATACATGATTCGAGCTATTCCCAGTAATGCCTATGATAACATCTACTGCACGCTCCTTGCCCAAAGTGCTGTTCATGGAACCATGGCTGGATACACAGGCTTCACAGTTGGACCAGTAAACAGTCGACATGCATATATTCCTATTCATGTAAGTACTTTTAGTCTTTGGGTTGTGTTTGTCACTGTAGTTGTTGATGTTAGTTTCCTATTCTGGTCAGTTTTGATCCTTGATAATTGATCATATATTGGAGGATTTCAAAACCACAACATTGATGCTTCCTCATTTTCTTTGTAATACATCATTTGACAAGAATCTATGATTTTTTACGACAATGCAATCTGCTTTTCCTTACATACACGGGATGTCGAAAGTGTCCCCCTTTCTCCATAGATAGAGGGATTCATACTACATATACACAGGACATTTCTGTTTGCTAGTTTTCTGATTTAGTACAAGGGGCTGCAATGCTCTAACCAGTTAATGCCTAAAAAAACATCAACAACACGTGATTTTTTGGTTGCAGCGCGTGACAGAGATGACAAACACTGTCAAAGTGACTGACAGGATGTGGGCTCGACTGCTTGCATCTACGAATCAGCCTAGTTTTCTGCAGAAGTGTGATATTCTGCCAGTTAGTAGAGAAACCAGGGATGTCATGAATAACATGAGGCTTACTTCTATCTAGTTCCTTACTATTGCTTTGTCTTCAGTTGGAGAGGAATGTTTTAAGCATGAAGTATCCCGGGTCAAAAAGACAAAAGCTCTTGATCATTGTGAAAGAGCCCTCAATTTTTTGGCGATTCATTGTGGTATACATCGCTGCTTTTGAGCTTTATTGCATACGGGATGTGTATTTCCATTCTTTAAAACATCATGGCATCTAATTCGTTGCTGAAGGTCTCGTTGATTGGTGAGTGACAGTTTTTGTTGCAAATTGTAGTCAGGCGAAAGTGTTACATGGGTAACTCTTGACTTTTTATGCCTTCTTAGACAGCTTTTTAGATATTTTTATACTCTACTCGTAGGTAGATTAAGACATTATAGCAACAGTTAGACAATAAAAACCCCGTTGCTTTTGTACTATGCTTTATCCATAGTTTCTCCAGTAAATGTACTCCAAGATGGAGATTGTTTTGTCATTTGAGTTGACGGTGACACCTGCGTGCATAGGGTCATGGTTTTGAGGTGCTAATGTAACACTGTTGTGGCCAGGGGTCCCTCCTGCACTTGTTAGATCAATTTGCTTCTCGTCGATGATTTTAATTAGTTGATCACAGGAAATATACAGATAAGTAATTTAGCTTCCAGCTGAATCCTCCTCATCCATGGATCTTCTAAGAAAAGGGGACGGTATAGTTTCTTTTGGGTACTCAATTACATTTATTACGCAGAACTGGTAGATATATTTTCCGGTATTGTCATTGGATATGTGTGATGTCTATGTCATGAATTAAGCCCTGCATTATCCTAAAGCGCCCAAAGTCTTGGTCCTCACCTATGAAAAGCAAGTTGTAGTTCTTGCGTTGCGATCTCTTCCTTATCAATTTATGTGACATATGAAAGAGGATGAGACAGTTGCGACTTAGGGGGTAATTAACTATCTCAGATTTTGGCGTCAAGTCAAATTTTTCTTGCCTTCACCTCTCTCTGTTGTCCGTTCCAACCAGAATTCATTCCCGTCAGTAGTCAGGTTACGTTAATTATTTTTGTAGTATTTCTTTCTTTCCCATAATTTGTCATGAAAGTGAGAGGCCTCAGCTCGTCGAGTGAAATATACTCCTGTAGTTTACTTTAAGTTTTAAAAATTCTGCATCATTCAAAGTGGACTAATTTTTTCTAGAATAGAGGAAAAAAAAAAAAAAGAAGAAGGCAAAGAAATACGCGAAACGATAATAGGCTAATAGCTAGAAACCGCGATGACGTTCATGCCTGCGTGAAATGAAGCAGCACCCCATGAATAGTTTACCCCGTCATTGACCATGAAGGCATGAACCATTATTAAATTTACCCCGTCATTGACCATGAATAGTTTTTTCCTTTCCGTTTTGTTTCTTCTTCTCTCTTCTATGGTGCAAAAGTCAGTTGAAAAAATGTCCAGGATAAATCAATAATTCAATAGCGAACTTCAAAAATCTCATGTCATGGTTAGGCACATATGGTGCTTTTTTTTCCTTGTCCTTTTTTTGTATGTGAAAGGAGGATTGCATTAACCAAGCGCAAGTATGGTGTTTGGAATTAACAAAGTTATAAACTGTAGTTTTTCCATCTCGAAATAATTATTCGGTTTGGACGTTTAGTTGAAATTTTAAATCTTAATTGGTAAAAATTTTAAACTAGACAATCATTTACTAATACAGAAAAAAAAGAAATATATTATACTTCAATACTGATTTCTCTCTATGTTTTTATGATTGACGTATATTTAACTTTTTCTGGTGTTTAAATACAACTGAACTGGGAGGTGATGGAACAAAAAATAAGGGGAGTTTTTTTTTTTTTGATTGAGTATTTGCGTCTAACCATCAAACAGAGAACGAAAATGAAGACACCGAAGTTGCAATTGTACAATACATAATCTGCTTATTTAACATTTTCATGTACACGTTTAATTATGGTCTTTCGAGTAAATTTCCAAACTAAGCTCTGCAGTTTAATTTCTCACATTAGTAAACTGTAAAAAGGCAGCCGTGCCGTTCATTTCACGATTCCCTTCTATTTTTACGGCAAGAATTTACCGGCGGGGAAGACTTCCCGGCTTCCATAGGGAAATTCAGGATGGCTTTGCGTCCTCTCATCTTGAAAGCTGCATAATCGTAAGCTCTGGCTGCATCAACTGCAGTATCAAACGTCCCCAACCAGATGCGGGAACCCTTACGGATCGGGTCTCGGATCTCCGCCGCAAACTTGCCCCACGGTCTCCTCCTGACTCCTCTGAAGTGTTTGTTTTCTCTGTTCCCGCCCCGCCCATTCACAATCCGGTCCGTTTCTCCGGAACCCGCAATTCGGGTGCCCGATTCAGGGCCCGAACCGATATTTGCGCTGGGTTCCTTATCAAACTCAAAAAACTCAGGTTCGAGTTTGAAGTAAAGAGAAACAGGGGAGTTTTGTTGGGTCAGGATGGAACTGCAAGAACCCGCGGAATCCGACTCCGAATTAGAAGAGGCCTTCCCGGGGCTAATTACGGACTCATTCTCGCTACGAACATCTGCTAAACAAAAAGCAAGATCATTTAAGAAGGATTCTGAACTAGTACAATTGAAGTCCCCAAGAAGATGCTGCCTGATGAGCTCCAACGTTGTTGATTCTTCCTCTGCCGACGCCATAGTACGTAATTAATATTGATGACTAATTAACAACGTTCTAGCAGAGAATTTCAGTGTTTTTCTTTTGTCAACCTTGCTCTGTGTAAAGTGTAGACTGTAAACTGATCTGATAGTGTTTATATAGTAGTAGAAATGCCGCGAAGACAGAGTCGAGCAAGTGGCAGAAAGCGAAGGGGTTAGCCCATGAGGCTCAGAGCATGGTGTGTGTGTGTGTGTGTGTTTGTGTGCGTGTATCATGCTGAACTTCGGATGGGGCCTATGCGTCAATGATATGACGGTATTGGGACCGATCCAGAAGATGATGAATATGCATTTTATTATTTTGGTTGCATGTGTATTCAAATTACTTTAGTGGTACTTCCTTTCTTTCAAGATTGTAATAAAAAAAAAATCAAAATCAAAACCGAACAATCATTTTAAAACTGGTAAAATATTTATTGATACATAAATAAAAACTAATAAGGTATCATTGTGATGGCTAAACCAATTTACAATTGCTAAATTGCATTTGATGAGGTATGAAGACCATATATAAAGCACAATCATAAAAAGTAATGGTTATTGTTCTGTGTGGAAAAGAAAACATTGCATCTTGAAAAGGATTCTAGTCGAACAACTAATGATTTGATTAAGTGTAATGTACTTACATTTAAAATGATCTTATACTAATCAAAATAGAAAAATTATCACGTTGCTAATTGTAACAACTTGCAATAAGGATTTTCTTTGTTTTATTTTATTTTTATCTAAAAGAAAAAGGACTTTCTTTTACATGGATAGGTATCATGGTAAGAAATATAACGAGAATGTTAGGAATTCTAGCCCGAGAGATAAGACCCAATAAATTCTAATAGCGAGCTCATTTTAACCTAAAACTTTAAGGTAATATGTTTTGGAACCAATTCAGCTCTCTATTACTCTCAGTTATTGATGTGGGATAATTAATCTACTTATGACTTCAACAAGGAAAATATCTAATAAAATGGGGAAGAATTTTGAGGGTGTTGTGCTATTTTTCAAGGAGAAGACAGTGATAGAACTGGAAAATAGAAAAAAATGGGACCGCTTTATTATTAATTATGAGAGGAAGAGGATCATTGGTTTCAACTAACAAGTTAATTCTGTTCCTAAGACGTACGGGTACATCCCATCACTACAAAAACTGGCAGTTTAATTAAAAGGGCCTCTTTGATCAGGTGGTCTCTTCCTTGTCAAGTTGGAGGCTTCACGTCGGCCGCCGGCGTGTGGGTCCCCTCCCCGGCTGCTTTCCCGACAGCTATAACGTCTCTACGGTCTCGACTCTGCATCCATCCGAGGATTTACTCAATACTACATTATTATCTTGTTTTTCCTTCATGGGAGAAAAAGAAAAACAGTACAATAATTTTTGGTCAAAAAGTTTGAATTAAATTTCTATATTGTCGTGTTAAATTCTTGAATTCCTTCCTAGAAAAAAAAAAAAACACAGCCCCCACACACACACACACAAATAAGCGACTGGAGATTTTTGTTCTCCTAATTACATTTCTTCAATTTCTTGGTCAAGCATTCCTTTTGGCCAACAAGGGAATGACCCAGTGGTTTGGGTGTGGTCTGGGTCTTGACATCAATTCTGGGAGATCGAGATCAGGTTTCAACTTCCACTAACAATACTTTGAGTGTTGAATTGTGCAGGTTGCAGGTTGCACGAGTTGTGCAGGTCTCAGTTTGTTAAGTTGTGCAAGTTTCAACTTGCACCCACCAAGAGGCGGCGCGTGGAGTCTCTCCTGGTAGTACTACTCTCTTTCCCATGACTCCAGTCACACGTAATATACTATGTGCTTGTATAATATATCTAAAAAAAACACATTCTTTTTGGCCTATTGGAAATTCAATAATTTGGAAAAGAAAAATACATATTCCAAAAAAAGGACACCGGGGACACGTATATGAGGAAATATTTTGTGACGTAAGAAATAAAATATCTATAAAACAAGTTAATGTATGGCATTTGGTTCCTTCTAGGTCCGCCGATATGGTTTTTGTTGTTGTGTTCTTTTTATTTTAGTTCAAGATATTAATTTGTTTTAATTTAAAATATAGAAAAGTAAATAATTAAATGAATTTAAAAATTGTAACCAGGATGACCTAATTGGGTCTCCTATCCTTATTATGTTATGATTTGTAGTAACTAAGCTTTGGCCTCTTTTCATTGTAAAAAAAAAAAAAAAAATGTTTGAGCCAGTTTTAGATCATCGTAGCTCATGAGTACCCTCTACTGCCATATTATATGAATGATCGGTCCAGATGCTGCGTTACTGCTTTTGATTATATGGGTTGGAATATTTTCTTAAGCCTGGTTTTGTGATGGATTATATTGTTGACAATAAATAATTAAATGGGGTAAGTTTTACATTTTTAATAATCTCAGTGACGTTGAAGGTGTACCTTTTATCATGTGCGTTTATGGATTTATGAAATGTAACCTCGTGGGTTCCCTGAAATTAATAATAAAAACAAAACTACAAATTGAGCGAATGAGATTAATAATAAACTTAATTAAGAATACAATTTTGAAACTCAAAAAAAAAAAAAAGAATACAATTTTTTTTAATACAAAATAACAAAAACTGAAATTTATGACAAAAAAATTTTAAAAAAACATATTATATTTAGTAACTTAAAGAATAAAAAACTTTTTTCACCTTCTTATCGCCCAAAACTTACATTTCATTTCTAGATTTTTTTTTCTTTTCTTTCTGTCCTTCAAACATAATATATGTACAATCCAAAACTTCTTTCTCTCTTATTCTTTATTATGTATGTTTTACCCTTTAAATATGATGATATATTTTCTTTTATCCGTAATTTTTTGTTGCATATATTAGGGTTGTTCCTAAGTCGATGAGAAATAAAACACGTGTACCGAATGGAGAAAAGATCAAAGAAAAAATATACTACTTCTGTCCTAGAAAAATAATTCACTTTGAGTTTTGAGTTTTGTATTGTCTTTAGTATAAATTTGAAAACTCAATGTGGGCTATTTTTTTGGGATGGAGGAAGTAAAAGATAAAGAAAGACACTTAAACAATAAATTGGAGAAATAAATAGAGATCAATAAGGTAACTACTATTGACTACGGGCAACATTTTTGTGACATGCATTGTCCCACTCTCATTTCAAATAAATGCCGCGGAAAAGAATAGATAGGCTAAAATTGGTTTATCGAACTCGATAACAAATGCTTGGTGCATTGAAGTTTGTTATTAGGGTTTCGTTGGGATAATGTTTTGTTTATATTTAGAATATTGATTTAAAAGATATTTAGAATGCAAATTTTAAATATCTTATACATAATTTTTTTAAATAAAATAATATTTTTAATATCATCACCCCAAACTATCAACCGTAGCCGCCAAACTGTCACTCGCCGCTGCTAGACCATGACCGGTTGGCGGTTGCCGTTGGCTGGCTGAATTCAGATCACTTTCGCAGGGCGGCGTTAGGTAGAGGTCTAGTTGTGATGGTTGAGAATAATTATGTTAAATAAGTTTTAAAATTTAAAATTACATGGTGTATTTATAATTTATATTTTTCGTAGTCTAAAGTATATATATATAATATATAGTTTTAAATTATTGGCCATACTGTCCTTAATTGATCGTGACTCAAATTGTATTATTTGGTTATGTTCTTAAATTTACCCCCTCCAGTTGTTAGCTACTATTATTTCAATTTTTTTTTTTTGGGGGAGGGGGTTTGGTTATTGTTTCGCTTGCTTTTTCCCCCAAATTTTAGTTATTATTGTTTTGACTTTCCCATCACGAAATTTCACATCTTTTAGGATTAAAAAAAAACATTTGCTTAGGAAACGAATTGAACAATGAGTAATAATTATCGATTTTAAAAGAAAAAAGAAAACATGAATTATCCCTTCGTTGGGCCAGACATCAATGGGTTGGGAACTGGGAAGAATTGTACGGAAGAGAAAGTTGACTTGTGTCCACTGTCCACTTCTTCTGTAATGCCATACCCATATATATGTAATATGTCGGGGAGTGGGCTCTGCTTCTTATATTCCAAATTCCAAGTTGTTAAATAGGCAACTTTCCTTTTAATCATGCTATTGCTAACCAAAGTGATTGTGTAACTCTTCCAATTTTAACTATAAGTGAAGGCTTCGAATCTAGTTGTTGTGAGCATGGAGTAATTTTAAATATTTTGGTTAATTGTCGTATCTATTGAAGTGCTTACAATTCAGCGAGAAGAATTAGTCAATGTTACTGACGGTGAACATCCTACAAATATTAAAAAAAAAAAAGGTTGGTTTTGGCATATTAATCATATCATAGGTCGTGGAATCCGAAACTATTATGGCTATGAAATAATATTAAAATTTTTATCAACTATTTTACACATTGAGGTGCTTATATTTCAAAAAGAGAATTAATCAATATTATTAGTAGTAAACACTTTTTAAATACGGTATGATGAAGAAAAAGGACCAGATTAAACATCGCGAAATCCATCTCATATCATCAATAACCGAGTCATGTGCAGTTAAATCCCTTCTATTTTTAATTTTTCTCAATTTAATAGAGATATCCTAATTTTTTTGGTAAAACATTATACATTCATCTAATTTTTGCTCTTAGTTCAAAAATATTATTATAATAATATCGATTATTTTGTAAATCTCGGACCAATTCAAAATATTATCAGTAAAACGTTCAATATAGTAGTTTCATTTTTTTAATGTGTGTTTTTCAGTATTTTTTGTATTAAAAATATTAAAAAATACGTTAAAAATATAAAAAAATATATAATAAAATGAGATAATTATTATTAAAATAATATGAAAAAACCATCCAAAAAAGCAAACAAAAACGGAGACCACCCACTAGCGGCCAGCACTATTGATTGAGAATGACAGAGCTAAAAAAATAATTCCAAACACAATTATTAATTCCACAACAAGTGGATAACCTTTGTTGTTTGGGTTTAGCGGATCAAGCTCAGGCTAGTCAGGATATTAATGTCTGATATTGAGTTGTTTGATGATACACATGAATTTATCAATTTTGAATTATTAACTTGGATTGAATACTATTTTTTTTTTCGGTACAGATTGAATACTATTATTAAATTGAAATAATACAACTTCGTTGGTAGCGTCATGACTTATAAAGAGAAAAAAATAACTCTGGAACTATCTGAAAATTATGTAATACCAATGTGTATCGTGCCATGTAAAAACTAAAAACGCCATAAACCAATGAGTTAGAAAACGGTGATGTGATATGAGCATAGAACAATAATAATATAGAGCAACAAATGAAAAGTTGATAAGGAATAGCCGTACGTATGGAGAAGCAAGTCCAAAAAGCAGCCTAGCTTAGATGAGCTGTGTTGAGAGAGAGAGGTGGTAGAAATTATTCAGAAAGTGAGAGGAATTCGAATGACATAATTTAGGAACTTGCTAATGGGAAAGTAGTATTGCCCATTAATTTTTTTGGTGTGATGAATGCCGTAATTCCTAATTTTATTTAAATCTTTGGTTCACAGAAAAAAAAACCCCCAAAAAATATACTCCCACATGTCCCTAATATAAGATATTTTAATTTGTCATAAGTTTCACCTAGTATGTATTTTTAATTGACAAAAAAATCTTAAAAATATTTTATAACAATCAAGAGAACACAACGAATGTAAAAATATATTTTTAAGATATTTTCTTCAATTAAAAATGCTTATAGGTAAAACCGAGGATAAATCAAAATGTCTTATATTAAGGACCGGAAAGAATATAACATCATAATTATGTAGCAAGTATAGCTACCTCTCAAAACAGTCTTAGCAGATAATCGTGAACATAATCCAAATGCAGCAAGACATTATAATGATTAATATATATATATATATAGATAAATACATGTGATATAAGGAATTGAAATGTAATCATGTTATCCTAATTAGTATTAGGAAAACTTATTATATTGCGAGAAATGATCAAACGTAACTCTTATTTTAATATTGCGATACAACAACGCATAAGTATGAATGGTTTAACATTACTGTCCTCACAAAGATCCGTGAGGAATTTTCATCCAAGAAAAGTAGGACTTCTAAAACCAGAAAGCGAGTCCAACTTGCAAGTTGGAGTGGTCTCACATCAGCCATACATTGATTTGATTTCGGCCCAAAAGGATGAGAGCAAGTTGGTGGGGGATGAATTCTGCTATTTGTTGGGTGGGGAATGAGATTGCCAAGCAGAGAACAGTTAGGCTCTAATAAATTGAGAAGTCCGGATCTTTGGGGGGTGTCAGCTTACTGTCTGATAATGGCAAGTTGTACGGATGATGGCCTCATGACATTCACCTCTATCAATTTTTATTTTTTATTTTTTTTTTGGTTAAGCACCTGCACCTCTATCAATTATCAATCAACAATTATGGAAGTGTAGAATTTTCGTGTAAGACTTCAAATTGTATGGTTAAAACTATCATTTGAAAAATTGATCAATAAAACTCCATCTCCATTTTAGAATACTTTATTTTGCATAATCCAGTTTACAGATAGTTCATTTTGAACACATCATGATTCATAGTATTTTGGAGATTTGGATCCTTTCTTTTTTTCTTTTTCGTTTTCTGGACGTTAATTTAGTTGGATCGTAGGAGATTTTGCTTTAATTATAATCAAGCTCGCAGCCAAAAGAGATGAAAAACTCAACCTCATATTCATGAATGAATATAATAAAATGAAGATATCAAACAAATTTCCATACTACTACGTACTTGGGCTATATGTGCATTGATCTTCTAAACCTTACACTACTACTCAGAGAAAAGGGCAAAAAGAAATCTAGAATTCAAATTACAAACTATTTTTTCTTTTGGGTCCTTCGTGCGCCTAATCACCTCAGACTAACGCTAGTCAGGTGCTCCTTTGATACAATATTGAGTCTTTTTACTTGACCAACTCAAAGCTTTGTTTATGGTGGCAATCTCAAGGTTTTTTTTTTTTTCGTGGTAATATTCCAGGTTTCTTTTTCTTTCTTTTTTTTTTTTCCCCAAAAATGTCCATTTCCCTTTTTTTTTTTTGGATATATTTTTGGGTGGATAATGTTCAGGGATTTTTGCTGGCCATTCAGGTAACCACAAGCCGAGAATAGCCTAAGCACGGATGAGGAGATAAAGGGGACAAAGGTGGAATCTCGAAAATACCCTTCATGTCACCGCAGTCCGTCCAACTTGACGGCGTCAACGGCACCTGATCCGCCGCTACCGTGGAGCCGTGGCTCACCGACGATGAAGTCGGAGACACCTCCTCCCTCTTCACCTCTTTTTTAACAGCTCCGTCATTCTCCGCCTCTCTGGCCCTTTTCCGGCCAACTCCGACGGTCAGCTCATCGTCCGGCAAAGTATTATTAGAAACCTCGTGCGGGAAATTCAGGATAGCTTTGCTACCTCTCAGCCGGAAAGCCGCTCTGTCATAAGCTTTCGCCGCCTCTATTGCCGTATCGAAAGTTCCGAGCCAAACACGAGACCCTTTTCGATTCGGGTCACGAATCTCGGCTGCGAACTTTCCCCAGGGCCGCTGCCTCACTCCCCGGTAATGCTTCTTCTCGGCGAAATCTTCAACCTCAGCAGCAGTACAATTAGAACCAGGAACGAAGTCCAGAACCTTCTTAATCGGAGGAATTGATATGTTCAAAGCGGGCTTTCGGTCACTCAAGCTGCTTGCTGCTTTACGGGGATTTCTAATTGTATTATTTGCAGTTATTTGTGGCTTAGAACATTCGAATTCAGTATTATCATACCACCCTGCTGGGGTTGCAAAGCTGAAATTAGAAACAGGGGCAAAGTTTACAGAATCCTGGGTGGAATCAGAGCTCGAACTTCTGGTTAATTGGGTAACACCGGAATAACAGAAATTCTCCACAAAGGCAAATTCATCAAAAAGGTGTTGTTTGATTTGCTCTATAGCTGAAGTTTCACAACTGGTTTGTGATGCCATTTTTCCGATTGTTGAAAATTGATAAATTCTTTCAGAAAAGAAGGGAAAGGAAACAGAGGAAGTCTTGTAGTAGATTTGTGAGTCCAAGAAGCGGTGAAGATTTGAGTGGAAAAGGGGGAGTGTGGTTGGGGTGGATATAAAGGGTTCAAAAATTTTCAAAATCAAGATGAACAGTTTCAAAGAACGAGGGTTCGGAGGAGCTTCTGGGCTTGGAGGAGGAGACTTCCTCGCTTCTTATCTGGTCCGGGAGGTCCCTCATGTTGACTTGTAGGTAAATTATTATTATTATTATTCTTTTATTTATTCAAATATTGAAAGTTTTTTTTTTTAATTGAAATTGGTAAATTATTTATCCTACTACTACTACGGTCCGGTCCCTCTAATGATTTTTTTTTTTAAAAAAAAATTAATGTAATAATAACCGTCTCGTTCCAGTATACGTCTTTTTACATTTTTGATACATATTATTTACGTTTTTAATAGAAAAAATACCTAAAACCACACATTAAAAAAACAAAACATTCCATAGCTATTGTTTATCTGCACTAGGCCCGTAAAGGATGAAAGATTGTAATTACCACAAAATTCAAATGCCATTAATTTTGAAGAAAAATAATCAAATTTACAAAGAAAATCGTCAATCTGAAATCTATTCTACTCGTCCTATTTACTGTTGTCATTAAAACAACCGACCTTGAACTTAAAATACGTTACCCTATCCGTAACAATACTGCCTCTGCAAGCCTATTTAATCTTTTTGTTATTCGGTTAGTTAAAATAAATGAGTATCTTAATCACAATTTACATGGATCTCCCTTTTCTGTTTTTCTTTTTAATTGTTTTTGTTTTTAGTAATAAATTTAAATAATAAAGTTAATTAATATGACTAGTAATCAAGTTAATAATTTTTTATCACATCTTGACGAAACTCCTAATTCTATGCTACGCATGTAAAAAATCATTTTGTATTACTCCCTCTGTCCCAAAATTATTGTTCAGTTTGAGATTTCACTTCTAGTACAATTTAAACTAAAAATTAAAACTCAAACTGGACAATAATTATGGGACGGATGGATTAATATATATAGACTAAAAACCTAAATGCCAGAAAACTTTACTAGAACTTAAAATTTTTGTTTACCCAATCATTGGAATTATGGCATGTCAAAAATGATGTAAAAGATTGTTAACTGTGACTCTTTATTTTTTAAAAAAATGGATAAGTGTTTCCCTTAAACCCCTTAAACTTATTGAATTAATAGCAAGATTGTTTTCCTAATTATAAAAATATCCACTAATATTAAAAAAACAAAGTTGAATTTTACTTTTTTTTAAAAAAAAATATAATGTAATATAGAAGATTAATTTTTGAGGTTGAAATATTGATTTTATATGTGTACATCATCATTACTCAAGGACTCGTATAGTCCAATTAGACATGTTACTTTCTGGAATTTTTAAAATTGCATTGGTTGATCTATTGATTTTTCTTCAGGTGGGGTTTGGAATTATAAATGATTGATTAATAATTACAACTACTAGTTGGTACTATGTTGTGATTATCTAATATAAAATTATTTGTGGGACGTGACTTGTAAAACTGTTCAAAGTTCAAACAATCAGTTTGAATACGCACGTATCAAAATGATTTAGTAATGAGTTTTCATTTACGTTGACCCGAAAATTGACTCTCTCTTTTTTTAGGTGTTATTTATAGTGAGTTGCGAACTATGTCACCTTGAGACAGAACTAAAAATAGTTACAAAAATTGAATCATCAAAAGGAGTAATACGTTGAACCTCAAGAAAGTAACACAAGTCATTGCAGCATTAGCCATTAAGTTAAAATTTTACGAGTACTTTACTTCGTTAGTAAATGACAATTTTGACAAGGTTTTGCAAATAACTCCACTTGAGCCAAAGCGTAAAGCATGAATGAGAGGCATTTCGCGATTGCATCAAACTACTCCTATAATAAAGCATACTAATGACATGTAGTGAGTAGAATTAAACTTATAGAGGAAGTATCGAAGAATTGGCGTAATTTATCAAAATCTGCATTTTGATATTTTTCGTTTCTTTACAAACACATAATCAGAAAGCTGCTGGTTTTACATGGGGAAGAAAGATGTGCTCTTACCGTTGGAATTGTGTGTTTTTACTTCTACTGGTTTGGGCCAAAAAGCGCCCATAACCATTAACCAGAACAACAACCCAACCGGTTTCCAGGATACTTCTGGAGTCATTTTTAGCCTACAATTCCAACCACGTCTTTTTGGCTTTTTAAAGTTGTTTTTAAGTCAACAAGTCAACTGAATGAAGAAAACGGGGGAACCAAGGAGGAAACTGGAAGCCAAACAATGATTTCTTAGTTGAATTAACCAATCCATGATCATCATCATTACGAACTTAACACTTTGTGCAATCAATTAACAGCAAGTGTTTCTTCCGATCCCTTGAGATAAACGCTTACCCAATTATTGTTATTGTAGTCAACTGACATAAATTAATATGTATTTCATTGGTTACACAATAATATATATGTAACAGAAAAAAAATAAGAGAATAAAAAGTTACGTTGAGTTTACGTAGATTCTTTTTTTTTTATATATACTACATAATATTCATTTTTTAAAAATTTCTTCTAGTTTTCTTGTCTAATTTAGTACGAATTTATTTGTGGTATTATATCTTGTTTAAATTACACTCGATGCTATCTTGGATAACTAGAATTTGAGCCGAGTAGATCTAATTTATTTGAAAATAAAAGTTCTACACCAAAATGTATTTTAATTACTCGTACATATATACTATTTCACAGTTCAAATCGTCATAATCTTCACAGATGAATGTCAGTTTTCATTTGCACATGCATGTTTGGTCAGTCATAAGTTGAAGGTGAAGGTGATCGATGCCTTCATCCCTACGCACTCATTTTTTACTTATACCTGGCTATAATTAATCCAAACATCCAATGAACGCAAGCTACTTGTCCAATGGAAGACTGGACTTCTTTTTGTCAATGGCGTTTTTCTATTGTTTTATTACAATCGGATCAACTGACATTACACATCACAATAATTCTCAGAGCTGCATGTAATGCATGCCTCAGAAAAAGATTTGGTTTTTTGGTTTTCTTTTTTTTTTTAAAAAAAAAAATTGTATTGTTTTTGTTTTTGTGAGGACAAAATTAAGTCCGCAAGCTTCATGAGATCTCCCTTGAAGTGGCCTTCCCGAGTTAAGCATACAAGTGTTAAATAAATGCACGAATTAAATCATTGAATTTAAAAGAGTTGCACTTTTACCCCAAAAGAACCTACAAAAGAAAGAATTTTTTTAATATACATAAATAAAAAATTATTAACATGATTGACTCTCAGGCCTCGCGTACATTGAATGGTTGCTATGATAATGCCATAAGAGTTAAGACTGGGAAAAATTACACAGTCCCGATTACGGTGCAGTGGACACATCATCACACAATGAGGAAGAACTATCAAGATTTTTACACTAGATAAGCTTTAGACCTGTGGCAGAAGAGATAAATTCTGGGAATGCAAATTTTGGCGCTTCACGGAGAATATCCACGTCCAAATCTTCGTATGCATGTGTTACACAACATCTGTAAAAGAATGGAGCTTTGGCCTTGCCTCGGTATGTACTGGAGCCGTAGAACGGAAAATACTAGAGCCCGTGAATTGGCGTTCTATGGCTCAACGTTCAACATGTGGTCAGATTTACCCTTTTTGTCAATTGTGGTTGGACCATTAATTCCTAACAATTTTAATAAAACTACTTTCATTCTCACAGAAGAAGAAAAAAAAATAGAAGATTTGTTTATCAGGTTAATTTATTTACCCTTTAATTAAAATCACCAAAAAGAAAAAGGGAAAAACAGAAAAAACTCTGCGTAAAAACTCTCATGGTGATGTCAATAATCAATTTTATTTTTTTTTCGTTTTGGGAAAAAAAGGAGGGGGAAAAGAACAATCAAAAAGAGAAACTTTAATAGATATTGAGTCAACTTAACTTTGACCTAGGATCAAATCGGAGCATGAACGTGCAATAGTAATTAAAATACAATATTTGTTGAGAGAATTTTGTTTCTCAAAAAGAACCTATTTACTTTGAATCCAGATTAATCGAAACAATGATTTCAAACACTAACACCAGCTGTATAATATAAAAAACAAAAAATGAAAAAAAAAGAAGAGAAGATTTAAGAGTCACGATTCTAGTTATGCAGTTTACACTTGGATTCATAAGTTCATCTATTTCCTAGTCAAATAATTTTATTTGATATATAGAGAGAGTATAGAAGAAAGAAAAATACCAAAAGAAAGCCAATTATTTTTTTAAAAGAAATTAACTCCTTTATTCAACACCAAAAAGAAAAAAAACTCCTTTATTCAACACAAAGGGATTAGTCTTTAGATACAATGCACTTTATGTATATGCTTAGTTTAGGAAAAATTAAGCCTTCTATCTCACTAATTTTGACTATTATGCTTCTTCTACCAAAAGCCCTTTTCCCTTTTTCGACAAAAAGCCAAGCCAAAGAAATTAACGTAATACCAAAGCTAACTAACCAGTAACCATCTTGCTGTAGTGTTGGCAGTTGGGGGCACGTGAATTGACCATAGAAACCTCGACCTTTGACTTTTCTACCTCTCAAATCAATTATTACGTACTCAACTTTTCTGCAATATTTTTCTTCTAATAAAAAACTAATAGTTACGTACAAGCCTGGCCGACCGACGAGCTTTGCATTTTCTTTTTAAGAAAAAATACTCGGATTGTCCCAAAAATATCATCTATATATAAGATTTTTATTGGTTTTAGTACAAATTTGATAAGATTATTTTTTTTTGACGAAAATAATTTTTATTTTCTTTTGAGCGTCGAAAGGCAAACTATATACTACTAGTTAGCAGTACATGAAATGCAACGATCACCATCATTGTTATAGCATAACTTGAATGTCTGTTTTTTTAACTAAGGTGATAGTTTATAGCACAACAAGATCAATACCTTATAAATGTAACACCAACTACATTACTTTGCAATAGCAATTTTACTAACAGTGCGAATGCATTCAAACTATTTTATAAACTGTTTCATTAATGATATTTCAATGTCGGCATCAATAATCAAATTCTCATCTATATATGTTCTAGCAGGTATGAAACATGATCAATCTTTATTAATAATGATTATGTGGAACAACAATTATTGCAGGGACCAATATTATAATTAAGATACAGCTAATAATTATATGTGTGCTCTCTGTTGCAAATTGCATCTGATGGCTTACTTTCTAGGTTGCGGCTGAATGTGAACTGGAATTACAAATAGAAG